AACCTAAGTGCTCTGTGGCGTGGGGGGTTTGCATCGATAAGAGTCCAGGAAGGTCCTGCACAGCCCAGAACCAGCTGAAGGGATGATTGATTGGCCTTTGGGAGGGATGTGATAAGAAGGACTTCCTGTTTCTGTGATGACTCCTCCATCACAAAGATTGAGTTTTATCTGAAATAACCTGAGCAAAGTGCCATGTGGGATCTTGAGGGAATCAGCCAGCTTTCTTTTCATAAAAATGGTATATTATTCACTTTTTCATTACTGTAACAAAGTACCTGGAACATACTAACTTTATGAAGAAAAGACACAGCTGTAGAGAGATGCAAGGCATGGCATCAGCCCTGGCTTGGCTGTAGTGAGCACTCCATGGCAGATGTCAGGAACATGTATAGGAAACAAGAATCCAGACAGACAGCTGGGTCCCACAATCCCTTCTGAGGGATTACCTCAAGTGACCTAAGGACTGCCCATTGGACCCAATTTTTAAAGGTCCCACCTCCCAACATGGCCACACTGAGCAACACAGGATGCTGTGGGGGACAGGCACATCCAAACTGTAGCACCTGGGTCCTCAGTGTAAAATGGTGTTATTTCTTAGTGTATATATTCACTTAGTGACTCACTCAGAATGTGGAGTTTAAGGTTCTTGTTTGCAGCCAGCAGAGAACAAAACTAAGTGTCTGCTGTATGTGACCTTTACATAATTACATGTATTTATTCTGTGTTCTTATTTCCCAGACCAGGATCATTAAAGTCATAGTTGGGGGCTCCAAGCCACAGCAGCAATTTTCTCTAAAAATTCTAGAATCTTCTTGTGTATCCTCGACCCCTCACCATTCCCACTTTCTGTCTCTTTGTTTTAAAAGCAGGAACCTTATGACCTACTCTGCATAACCGTGATCACGTACTAGAACTCAGTGGCATCACTTATTCCTAGTGTATTTAATTCAATGAAATATGCCTACATGTGAGACCTGCTGTATTAAGGCAAGGTGACAAGACATACACTCTCTCCTGAAGAAATTAGAGTCTACCTGAGCATAGAAACAGACACATAGAGTAGAAATAACAGAAATCAAATTATGGTTACACATCCAACTGTTGTGGGGACATAGAAAAAAACAGTTCCAGTTGGGACAAATCAGTGGTGGTAGCCTTGGAGTGAGGCCCCATGATGTCAAGCCTGCCCAAGGACAAAAACAACAAAGGACAGGAAGAAGACTCAGGATGAAGAGTGTTGGGAATTGTTTTGGGAGTTCTGGTTTATGTTAACTGTAAAGAATCTGATGTTTATAGGAAAAACTGATTATCGTAAATGAGCATAAGGTTCAGATGAGAAACCATGGCACTAATATAATTGTGCATATTTGGACAGCTGTTAACCTGGGTGACCCCTGAAATATTTTAGGATGGCTGAACGTTCCTAGAAAGAATATGTTGCTATGTGTTTCTTATGGGAGGCAGTTGGATTTGGAGCTGGAGTCATCCTGAGAGGTATCAGTGTCTGCCTGGCCTGCTCCTCTCATCCACATGGCCAGGAGTGGGTAAAACTCACCTGGCACATATGTCCCGAATTCTTGATTTGGCTATCCCAGAAAAGTGAACAACTACTGGGGAGAACCCTGATAAAGGAAAGATATTAAGACCAAAGGGACAGATTTTATAGTAAATCCTAACTGGTTCAGCATAGGTCAAACCTCTGCTGTCTGGGAGAAAGAAGACAGATGAGATGAGACCATGCTTCAATGATACTTTGCTGGGACTTGAGGTTTGTCTCCTGCAATGGAGGAAAAGGAAACGGGAAGAGGAAGGTGACACACTAAACAGAGCCTTCTGAAGTAACTCTGCCGATGGTCACAGTGGACTGGAGAGAAACTAGAGGCAGAGATAATGCACGTGGCCTTGTTACCCTTGACCTTGTAATCACCCAAGAAAGGAAGTGAGGGCCTCATCTGTGGACAGCAGTGCTGGCCATGAGGACAGAGCAGAACCAGACAGGCCAGGCCCTGAACCGGGGTGTGCCCCAGGATCTGATATGTCGCCACTGAGAGCTAACTCTCCCAGGGGATCTTGTCCTAAGCCATTCTTGAGGAAATAGTAGAGTTGATGAGATCTTAAGTGTTTAGCATAAGATCTTCACAAAAATGTCCTCTTTTTGTTCAAATGCTGACACCTCCCCCACCCCCAATTCTATTAGATTTTATTAAAAAGTGAACACACAGGAGATGGCGAGTCACTTAGTAAATAACCCATATATGAAAATTATCACTAGAACTGGACCTGGGATAAAAAATAAACAAGGGATGTTCCAAATGTTTCCAAAAGAAGGGAAAGGCTTTGTCTTTCTGTTTCCAAAGAAGCAATAGATGGGTTATTTCCATAGTGCTCTCTTTGCATACTTCTCAGACAAAGAGACAGTTCCATGGAGAGACTTAACGAGCTACTTCTAAGAGTTTTTAGTGACCTGCAAAATTTAAAATTATAGACGCAGTTGTCCCTCAGTAGCCACAGGGGACTGGCTTCAGGATGCCGTGGATCCCAAATCTGTGTTTGTTCAAGTCCCTTCTAAGTATTTGCATATATCTTACACACATCCTCTCATGTACTTTAAATCAACCTTAGATTACATCTAATACCTAGTACAATACAGATGCTAGGTAAATAAATGCTATATTGTATTGTTTAGGAAATAAAGGCAAGAAAAATGTTTGTATATGTTTAGTACACATTTAATTTTTCTTAATATTTTGTTTGGTTGGATCCATGGATGTGGATGCATGGATATGGAAGTTCAATCCACTTTTATTCAATCGATTTAAATGCTAGACCAATACTGAAGACACCACAGTTAGGTGGGTGTAGTCAAGATAAAATGAAGTTTGTTGATACCCAAAGAAAACTGAGTCCTTGACCTTACCATGTCCATCTGTGACTCTCTGCCCAGCCCAACCTCACAACGTGGCAAAATTGAGCCAGTTCCTCAAGATTTCTCTTCTTTCATCTACTCATGTAACTTGTTTTGGACTAATGGCCCCAACATCATGCACTCCTCTTTACAACATGTCCAGTTGCCGTCATCGGTTCTTACACACAGGCAGCCCTGGATAGCACCCTGCTTTCACCAGGCCAGCATGGCATCACTGGAGTGAGGGAGGGAGTCTGTGGGCAGGGCTCTGGATCAATTTTCTTTGTATTTTCATGTCCACACGCAACCCTGGAAAATGAAAAGCTAAGTAAACTTCACAGTTGGATATGCAACTTCAAGTACAAATTTCTCATCTTGTATACAAATATTTTCTACAGTCTGGGAAAGAGGGAGAGAGAGAGAGAGAGAGAGAGAGGAGATTTTACAGCCTTTGTGTAGCCTTTCCTTGTAGGGGACCATCTGCCATTCTATAGATTCTGTACGTTTTTGTGAGGTCCACACATTGCAGTACAAAATGTAGGTCTGATTCTTCAGTGCTTGTCTAGAAAGGTGAAAAATTACCTTGGAATAAATTGTGATGTCATTGGTAAGGCATGAAGTGTTAAAGTGCTGATGTGCTATGAAATCTTTGAGGAGGTACAGAGTTCAATTTACAAACAGCTGTGGAAAGTTACTATTAAATTCCTGATGGAGAAAAATAGACATTTTAAAATTGAGGCAGGATGAGGCCACTTCTAAGTCCAAGTGTGGGGACTTTGTAGGTAAAACCTGCTGCTTAGATTAACTCAAAAGACTATCTGACTCATTTGGTTTGAAATCTAAAAGCTTTTCATTTTTTATACTCAGTATAAGAAATTTACTTTTTAATCTAAGGCTGAAAAACATTTACAGAAAGTTCTGTCATTCTACAATAACACTTTTTCATTCAAGAAAATTTTCTTTTTATGTATTTAATTTTGCTTCTGAGTGACATTTATTAATTATACTTAATGAGATTCTGTGTAATAGTTCAATGCACATTTATTTCAAATGTTAAACACAAAACAGCAGTTTTCCTGGACTTCTGAAAAAAAATAAAAGCAAGCTCTAGTCTCACTTGTTTCAATAACGAAGTTGAAAAAAGTTAAATTTCTATTTGCTTACTTTAAAATCTGTGTTCAGCAGCTCAATAATACTCTCACTGCATGTGCACTGTGACCGAGAACAGCTAGGTACTAGAGGCCTTGCAAGTGAAGAAAACGTAGTTCCTGAAGATCCTACAACTGAGAATGTGAGAAAGAATTAAGGGAGTTCATTTATGAAAGGTGCAAACAAACAATAGAAAGTTGTAAACAAACATTTAAGAGTCATATTCATTTAGTGACGTCTTAGGAAAACTGCATGTCAAAATGAATTTAATACATCATACTTTACATATTTCTTAATAATTTTACACATTTCCTGTTATGTAATCAGAAGCACTCCGATTTTATCGTAGAAACTAGCATTAAAAATAAACCATTTCAAAATTTAACAAACGTCATAAAGTTGTCTTTCAAAGTAAATGATTAATTACAAAGCTTTGAAAAAAACCAAATTGCCCAAAAATGAAATTTGACAGAAATATATCTTACAGAAATTCTACTTTATAATATTTGGCTTTTATGGCTAAACTGCAGAACCAGATCCAATTTCAATATTTGCCCCATAATATCAACACCAGCTGAATAGCTAATGCGAAGCCAACCAGAAACAAAATATTTGCTCCTTTAGTTGGACTCCGTAGCGTGTTACCACATACTTGGCGTTTCAATAATGCAGGGTTTCAGTAGGGCTGATTGGCAGTTAAAACATAAATCTCTAAAAAGGGGACCTGGATTTAGTAGAAGCTGGATTTTTTGAGCTAATACAAAGATCGTGGCTAATATTGGCGTGGGTTTTACACGCCATATGACCTCGGGATGTGCATATCCCATGCATTTCTCTGCACACTGTGCAGTGATGCAGCTATATGTGTAGACCAGGGCAGATTAACCTATGTTGGGGCATTGAGTTTATTGCAGCTTTTGAAGTATGTCTCTTTGTTTTCCAACAGGTTGTTTGGTATCAAATCAGTAATCCGGACAGACTGTTCCAGCACTTGGAAGATCATAGTGAACCCGGACCTGTCCTGGTATCACCATGCTAACCCCATCCTGCTGCTGGCGATGTACTACACACTGGCCACACTGATCCGCATCTGGCTGCAGGAACCCCTTGTAAGGGTAGAAAGGGTTTGAGGATCTTGTCTGTAACGTGAAATGATTGATTAATCCCCGCTACTTATGGGCTAGTCAGTGCTTATTCCAGCCTAAGTACTCTTCTAGTGAGAGCATCTTATTCTGCAGAGAGCCCAGCCTTCCTTCCCCAGCTCCACTGTGTACTCTTGAGCACAGTCATTGTGAGGAGGGTGCAGACTTATTTGTAGTGAGCACTCGCTAAGCACCAGACTAGGCTGTTGACCACATTATCTCTAAGCACTTGTACCCATCTTACAGATGAGGAAAATGAAGTGTGAGAGGTAAATTTTTCTGGAATCACACACTTCCTGAATAGACTGAAGCCTCATTTGACAACAAAGCTTGAGTCTTAGAGACCATGCAACCCCAGTTATCATAGTGATTGGAGTTTTCAAATCTCCTCCATCCATCTCAGTCCCCAAAGATGCTGTAGTGGCAGGTAGCTGTAGTGAAGTGGGGAAAGGAGAACATTCCATCAAGCACAGTTGAAGGCTGGTCCATGCCAGGAATAGCAACAAGGACATGAAGCCGTGAGGGGGGACCAAAGGCTGAGTCTTCTCTTGATTTTCTTCAATGACAAAAGCTTTGGTCCTCTTTTATTTCCCTTCAATGACTGTGAAGAGCTCAGATGCAAGATAAGAAACTGGCAGCTAAGGAGGCAGATACTATAGGGAGGGCTGTTGCACCTCTCATCTACGACCTGCAAGGGGTGCTGTTTACATCAGTAGCAGCTCAGTGAACCTGGTTGAATCCAAGCCTGGGATGCACTCTCCCATCTCTCCTTGTCCTGTTGCATATCTAGCCTAGGGCCTGGAGCAGTTTTCTTTTCCTCCCTTCCTATCTCCACACCCACAGACTACTCCAGATCCACACATTCCATCCAGCAGTCAGGTGACAAATGCTTCTTGAGGGCCAACTGGGTCATGCAAGGCCTGCACTTCTCAGAGCTGAACGTGCCACAAGAGAAAAGGCATATTTCCACCGATCTCTGGCAGAAGTGTCACCTGCACAGATAGGGATGTCTTCCTTCCTCTGTGGCATGGCATGAAGGCAACAGCTATGTTAGGATCAGGGTCACAGAGCTCATCCTTGGTAGTGGGATTCTCACAGATCATCTTCCTTTGGGGCCATCAATGACAGTTACATGACAACAAATGCTATGTACGGTCAGAAGGAATTCCAGCCAGGCACCAGTAGCTCGCATCGGTAATCCTAGCAACTCAGGAAGCAGAGATCAAAAGGATTCCCGTTTGAAGCCAGCCCTGGCAAATAGTTTGGAAGACCCTATCTCAAAAAACCCTTCACAAAAAAAGGGCTGATGGAGTTGACTCAAGGTGTAGGCCCTGAGTTCAAACCTCAGAACAGCAAAAAAAAAAAGAAGAAGAAATTCCAGTCATTTTGTGTTACATTTTTTTCCAATTCTCTTTATAAATTTTGTCTGTGTCAATAATCAATTCCTTTAAAATTTTTAATGTTTGCTTCCTCCACAAACATACATATATAGCCATAAATTAAAATGTGTACACAAGAAATTAAGAATTAAATTAATATGATGGAACTATTTCTGAATAATGTCTTACATTGCAGAAATCAAGGCACTCAAGTTACTGATAACTCCCAGTGTCTTTAGCTTTCCCTGCGATAGCTCCTGTAGCTACTCAGATAATGCAATGGAGAGTAAATGCTCTGTCATTGCCTCTGCAAGTCTGGGTAAGACTCTTGTCCCAGCAACAAGCCATCTGGGGAGCAAGGGAAGGCAGAGAGAGTGGGGAAGGCAATCTAAGCTATAGGCCACCAAGCAATGTCAGAATTACAAACACAGCATCTGCAGGAGTCAGTGGAGTGGAGCAGAGGGCTTCATAGTAGCATCAGAATTTCAGGTGGTCTGCTCTTTAGATGGGCTGGGAGTGAAAGACTGTGTGATTGAGGCAATGTAGAAAAACAAGAAGCTATTTTCCTCAGAGTTCCCACACATTAAATGAAAAATGCCAGCCACAACATGCAACTGGGGAGGTAAAAGTCCATCAAACATGTTTGAAAGAGAGCAAAGGGCTGGGCATGGTGGTTTATGCCTGCAATCCCAGCTACATGGGAGGCACAGGTAGAGGAGCGCAGTCTGAGAGAGGCTCCAGGCAAAACCATGAGACTTTATCAAAAAAAATAACTAAAGCAAAAAGGGCTGGGGTGTAGCTCAAGTGGTAGAACACTTGTCATACAAGTGCAAGGCACTGAGTTCAAAATCCAGTACCACCAAAAATTAAAGAGAGAGAGAGAGAGAAAAAAAAATGAGCATCTGCCAAGAGTTAAATGTGGAGCCCAGCATAGTGGTACACATCTGTAATCCCAGCACTCAGGTGGCTGTGGCAGATGGATCTCTGGTTCAAGGCCAGCCTGGGGTACATAGTAAGACCCTGTCTCCAAAAACCAATAAATAGATAAATACTGTCTTAATTAAAGATTGCCAATGGCTGGCTTACACAGTTATCTGTGTGTTCTTTTGAAAGCTCTCACCCCAAGATCCATTTCCATAAACTGTACAAGTTTAGAATACACACTGAGAAGCTGTGGGTATTTGACATGATAGCATATTCTGTAATGTGTGGAGCCTTGTAGGAATCAGGGAACATTCCATACAGGTGTTCCTATCAGGTCAAGAAAAGCATTTTTGTCGTGTTAGGAATATGTTGATCAAATCCCATATACAATATGATTAACTTTGAAAATGAATCAGATGGGCAGAGATGAAAAGTGTGGACCTGTTTTGGGAGGCAGAACTGTTCCCATGTGTGTGTGTTTCAGGTGCAGGATGAGAAGACCAAAGAAGAGGACACGGCCCTGGCTTGTGACTCCAGTCAGAAGACTGCAGAGAGGAGGCGAAGCCTGTGGTATGCAGCCCACTACCCAACCGATGAAAGAAAGGTAAGGTGGGGCAAGGAGTCTGTATTTTATTGTTGAATGTGGACCTTAGGATATCAGATGTGCTCCTGGCTTGTGGAAAGAGTTGACTTAGGTAGCTGGGTGCCATAGCGAGCTGCTGAACACTGGATCTGGAACACGATTGTGCATGTCCATTCTTCCATGGAACCTCTTAATCCTGATACAAAGGATTCTTAATTTTCTTAGTTCTTTCTTTTTTTTGCAGCACTGGGGTTTGAACTCAGATCCTCATGCTTAGCTAGGTAGGTGCTCTACTCCTTAAGCCACTCCACCAGCCCTATATTAATTTTCTTAAGTGTCTTTTTAGTATCCTGTGTGATAAAACAGGACAGCAGCATAGCATGCCACATAGGCAGTCTGACAACTTTCCCGATGAGGGACGGGAGACTGAGCTGAGCTCACTTTGCATCCACAGCCTCCACTTTCACTCGAAGGAACAGCTGAGGGACAAAATATACTTGTTCAGATCTGGATATTTGACGAATAGTTACTTAAAAATAAAGGAAGTGAGCCCGTCACTTCAAGGCAAGCAACCAATTAACATTTGATGCCAGTTATAAAATTTAAACATTTGAGTAAAAATAGAATTTCAGAAAATTTGTATCGATCACTGAGACCTTAAAAAGTGCCAGTATTTCAGGACTTTTCTGATAAGTTTTTTTTTAAATGATGTTTTAGCAAATGTGCTTTTAAAATATTACATAATGAGCTGGACACCAGTAGCTCACACCTGTAATCCTAGCTACTCAGGAGGCAGAGATCAGGAGGACTGTGGTTTGAAGTCAGCACCAGCAAATAGTTCCAGACCACATCTTGAAACACACCCATCACAAAAAAGGGCTGGTGGAGTGGCTCAAGGTGTAGGCCCTGAGTTCAAACTCCAGTACTGCAAAAAAAAATCATAATTACGTAATGAAATGTGTCAGCCAATACTGGTGGAGCTGTATAGCTCAAAGAAGCAACACCTTCAAAATCACCACCGCCTGAGAGCACACAGGTGAAAGACCCATTTGAGGTGCAAGACAGAGCGTGGGTTTCAGTCTCACCATGGAGGTCACCTTCACTGATTGAGATTCCGGTCCCACAGTGCAGCTGCCCTTTTCTGAAAATGCCACAGGAGAGTTTGGTGTGTACCCCAGGAGACTAGTTAGATATCTGTGAAACCAAATATTCATCACATCATCACGACCTAAGCAACGTATCCCAGCAGATGAGAGCAGAAGCAATAAAAGATACGTAGACGTGTAAAGCAACAGTACTCTTTCTAGTTTTGTTTTTTTCTTTAAATATAACTAATAGCATTAATTTATTTTAGCCTAAAATGGGATTTTTATTTTTAATAAATTAATAAATATCTGTACCTCCATTTTAATTTCTAATATGGTACATATTAGTACATAGACCCTGCATAAAATAAAACTTCTTTGGAGACTTCACTGGTTTTTAAGAAAATAAATGAGTACTGATTCTAAAATGTCACAGAGGCATTTCTTGTGCTAATTGTTACTTGAGGAAAGCCCAAAGCACCTGAACTAATATAGTTAAAGAGCACCATCATATAAATAATTATTTTCTTGTGGAAACACGTAAAACTTATTCTCAGACTTCAGGACAAATCATTTGTTTTTCACTAAGAAAATTTATTTCTTGAAAAGTAGACTTTCCAAATCCTGCAGCTGTCTTCTAGAGTCTTAGGAGCAGAAAACTAAGTATCTGACTTGTATTAGAAGAAAATGCCCATCAAACTGTGTGGCTTTCGGTCACCTGTCTGCTGCTGTAGTTAAAAGCACACATGGAGCTGGGAAGTGGGTACAACAAGCAGCTCTTCCATTATTTCTCCTTGCATCCTGCATGACAGTTTAACACACTAGCATCCCAGTGGGAGAGTGGGTATGTATAAAGTAAAATTTACAGATATCTGAACATCAAATGCTTTCAGCTTACCCACTAACATGCTGTCCTGCATTGCTTTTTGCAGCTTTTATCCATGACCCAAGATGACTACAAACCATCTGATGTTAGTATATCCTTAGAATTATCATTTGTGCTTGTGTAAGTGATTTAAAAGTGACAAACGGAATTAACTCCTTTGAGTACATTTTAACAATCTAGAAATTAATTACTTTTTGCAAAAGTTGTATCTGCTTTATTGCTGACTCATATGATATGAGATTGAATATAGCATACAAAATGATTTTGAGCTTTGAAGAAACCTTGTTTGTGCAACTGTTTCTAAGTGTTCTGTTTGGTAGCTTTGCTAATTCTTATATAGTTTAAATAGGAAGTCTTGCATGTATGTATGTTTGTATGTTTATTTTAAAAAGATACAATCCCAAAGAGACAAACAGGAAAAAAAGAAAACCCAGTGTTTGCACTGAGTGAACTTCACCTTCCTGTTAGGGAGAGATCCTCAGAGCCCCCAAAACGTTTGCTTTAGCCCTGCCTGGGCTGTATGGGTATGGAGCAGGACCAGGCTTGGCCAAGGCGCAAGGAAGGTCATGGACCCCAGACCCAGAGGGTGGTGGTGAAGGGCATGTGTAGAGGGCTGAGCCTGGAGAGGTCACACAGATCACAAACACAGGCTCACATGTGTGAGCCTTTCCCAAGATTTGCACAGTGCAAAGAAGGCCAAGCAGCCACCGCACAGTTGGTGGCAGAAGTGCAGCAAGATCACATGCCATCGCTGCCTAGTAGGATCAGATAGGTGACTAAATTGTTCAGCTTCCAATCTGCTCTTTACTGTTGGGCAGTTCGTGGGATACAAGGAGGAGGGGTGTACCCAAAGACAGCCCACGGCTGTGCTCACAGGTGTCCTGTTCCTGCCCTCCCCTGGCAGGGCCTGCTGGTGACCGTGAATGGCAACCCTGTGGACTACCACACCATCCACCCCAGTCTACCCATGGAAAATGGCCCAGCCAAGGCTGACCTGTACTCTACACCCCAGTACCGGTGGGAGCCCTCAGACGAGTTCTCAGGTAACAGGGACAATGGGGAAGGGGTATGTGTCCTTGCAGCTTTCTCTTGCTGGTTGTTTATTTGGTTCTTTCATTTTTAAATAGACAAAGCCTTATCTGTGGTCAGTATAATTACACTCTTTCTTTTAAGTTCTGCCTCTATTTTATGCCAATACATTGCTATTTGTGTTCTATTCTTGCATACAAAATAAGTGGCATGATTGGGCCAAACTGAAAAATACAGGCAGAAAAGAGTTTTTAAACATGTTAGCTTTTTGCCAGGTGCTGGTGACTCATGACTGTAATCCTGGCTACTCAGGAGGCAGCTTTGAAAATAGCCAACATGAAACAGGGTTGCTAGAGCACCTGCCTAGCAAGTGTGAGGCCCTGTTTTCAAACCCCAGTACTGCCAAAAAAATGTTAACGTTTTATAACATAAAACATGCATGTATGTGTGTGTGTTTATCTATCTAGCTTACTATGTGCTAGTCTCAATTAGTTGATATTTTTATGATTGTCTGTAGTTTTGGGGGTAACATATGAATGTTCTAAGAAAGGGTCCTTTTTTATCAGTTACAAAAAGAGAGAGAGTCAAAACTTCCAAGCTGTGCTTCAGTTGATTTTGCTGGAGGGAAGCAGACAATTGGAGAGGAGACATAGGTGGTCTTAGACCAGCATCTCACTCTTTCACTTACTTAGGGCCTACTCAGCATTGTTTAAAAAAAAAATCTGAACAGTAGGGAACTTGCAGCTCTGATCTAGAAATGGAAACTTCTAGAAGCTCTTGAAGTCTGTGAGAATCTGGCAACACTAGTCCTCAGCTCTGCAGGCAGTGGTTGACTGGACCTCTGTTGCTACTTCCCATGTGACAGTGATAATTGCTAATTCATAAAGACAGAATTAGCTTAGCATTGAAAAAAAAAACATCAAAGGCTTACAGGTAGCGGGAAAGTGGTGACAAAACTATTATCTCTATTTGTGTGGAACTGAAGCTAGTGTTGTCCGATTTATCCTGCCTGTAAGGAACACAATGAGCTAGTTTGCATCATGGAACATTTTGCTTTCTCTGAGGGCCCTTTACATAATTCTTTGTAAGGCTTATTATGATTCTGATTCTGATACTGATTCTGATCAGCACTTCCTCAGCACTTCCTGGAGTTGTCCTGACGATATTTGTACCTAGCAGTACAAGGTTAGCTGAAGGTCAGCCTCTGTCCTACACACATGCACATACACACCCGACTCTAGACGACACCTGTGAACATGAAAGAGTGTCAGGTTACTGGTTTGTAACCCACACATGTGTGTTTTAGTTGCAACTCAGGTTTAAAGGGAAATGCTCAGGACTCATTCCATGGTGTGATGTTCAGAGAGCTGACACCAGGATCACAAAGGCAGGCATTTGTGACTTCTGATGCTTCAGGTCACAGCTAAGACATCTTTCAATTTACACATTACTTACCTCAGAACAAATAGAATTTTGACTGCTGACAAAGACAAGTCAAATATACTCATAATATAAGTTGAACTTTCAAAAGTAAAACAAGGGAACTGGTTCAGTGACTCAAGCGGTAGAGTGCCTGCCTAACTGAGTTCAAACCCCAGTACCACCTCCCCCTCAAAAAAAAGAAAGAAAATAAAAGCTAGAAAGTTTAAAAAATTGAATCTGTACATACACACAGTGGCACGCCAGTGGCTCTTGAGTCCATCATTCAGCATTTTTGTCACTGTGCCCATCCATGGTCTTCTCTGTATAAACCCTAGGTTCATCCAGTCAAAGACAATGGGCTGTGATCACTAATTTTCAGTGTTTTTTACTTCCTCTGCATGGTGCTAAAAAATACCCCAGTGTGCCCTATTTATACACAGCCCATTTAATTTAAGCAAGCAAGAAAGAACAAGAAAGGACATTTCTTAAAACAACATTTAGCATTGCACAGCTTCTCTGGGTCAGGAATCTGGATATAACCAGGCTGACCTCTCTGTCCGAGGTCACTCATGGGACAGAAGCTAAATTGCTGACTGGGGCTGCTGTCTCATCTGAAGGTTTGCCTGGAACAGAACCTACTTCCCAGCCCACTGTGTGCTAGCTATTGGCCGACCTCAGGCTCTTGTTGGCTGTTGCCCAGAGAGAGACATGAGTTACTTGCCACCCAGATCTCTCCCCTGGCCAGGTACAACATAGCAGGTGGCTTTACTCAGAACAAGATGGTGATAGATTGAGAGAGGGTGCCCAAGTTGAAAGCCACAGTGTTTTAAAACTGAATCATTCCATCTCTCCCAGAGTGTTTATTTGTTAAAAGCTGGTCACACTCAAGGGGAGGCTGTCCCCAAGGGCAGGAATACAGCAGGAGGGAGCTTTGAAGAGCATCTTAGAGCATGCCTTCCACACCCTCTCAAATGGAAATTTCTGACCTTCACCAAGCAGAATTCAGAGCTTCTGTTTTAATTCTTAGGGTTTTATTAAAGTGGAGATAATTCCTGAAGTCTAAATTGAAAGGGTATGACAAAACCACACATGTAATGCATGGACTGGGACATTCATATAGTTGTCACACATTTGCATGCATAGTTATATAAAGTATTTATCTGTCTAGAAAAGAAAGAGGAAGAAGAAGAGAAAGACAAATTTGAAGAAGAAAGGAGCCAGGAGGAAAAAAGAAGTGTCAAAGTTCACGCCATGGTCTCTGTGTTCCAATTTATCATGAAACAAAGTTACATCTGTGCCCTCATTGCCATGATGGTAAGTATGAGCAGCACCCACCAGGACACGGAGAGATGGCACGTCACAGGACTCGGGCTCCAGGCCTCCTCCCGTACCCTCCCCCACAACACACGCCCATAGCATAAGAATCTTAATCTCGCAATGACTGGGCAGTCTATGGTTGGTTATGTTAATTTTTCATAGCATAGACTGGGATTTTTATAGCATAGACTGGAAAACCATGTCCTCTTCAACTTTGCTTAGCCTGTTTTTAAATATTAATACATTTCTCTCAAATTAGCTTTCAAGTCCGATTGTCCCTTAACTTAGGAGGACATATTGGGTAGCTTTTCTCCAAGGTATTGAAGGTTGACACAGGCTGCTTTTATTTCTTTCAGATAGGGAAAGAAGGTCACACCTGCCTTAGATTTGGGTGGCACTTTATTTGTCTTAGTATTGAACCCTCATGATTCCCAAGGGCTTCTTCCAATTACAAGTTCTCCATTTGAGTGTTTCTACTCACCCCTGTCTTCAAATCACAGCTTCAAAATAATTCTTTGGTTTCCAGATAGAAGACAGAGGAAGTTCTAATCATTTCCTTTCCTAAACACAAATTGTCCTGGTGATTTAGTTTTGAGAATAAACTTTTACTTAAAATAGGACTCTTCCAAATTCTGTGGTCAATGCTGAGAATCTGGACGTCTTTGATGATAAAAATGAAAATATTTTGTAACTCTAGGGGAAAATAAGTAGGCACTCATTCCTGTTGCTCCTGGATGTCCTGCGTGGACCTCAGCTTCAGGTTCTACTGAGGAACTACTACGCAGGACAGATGGCGGGAAGGCAAATGCCACAGAATAAAAGGTTGTGTGTGGAGATGGAGTCCCTGCTCTGGTGTGAAATGGAATCAATCCTGTGCTCTCTGATTACTTTCTTTTTTTTTATTGTTTTATTACTCATATGTGCATACAAGGTTGGGTCATTTCTCCCCCCTGCCCCCACCCCCTCCCTTACCACCCACCCCACCCCGTCCCTCTCCCCCCCAACCCCTCAATACCCAGCAGAAACTATTTTGCCCTTATTTCTAATTTTGTTGTAGAGAGAGTATAAGCAATAATAGGAAGGAACAAGGGTTTTTGCTGGTTGAGGTAAGGATAGCTATACAGGGAGTTGACTCACATTGATTTCCTGTGCGTGTGTGTTACCTTCTAGGTTAATTCTTTTTGATCTACCCTTTTCTCTAGTTCCTGGTCCCCTTTTCCTATTGGCCTCAGTTGCTTTTAAGTTATCTGCTTTAGTTTCTCTGCGTTAAGGGCAACAAATGCTATCTAATTTTTTAGTTGTCTTACCTACCCTCACCCCTCCCTTGTGTGCTCTCGCTTTTATCATGTGCTCATAGTCCAATCCCATTGTTGTGTTTGCCCTTGATCTAATGTCCACATGTGAGGGAGAACATACGATTTTTGGTCTTTTGGGCCGGGCTAACCTCACTCAGAATGAAGTTTCCAATTCCATCCATTTACCAGCGAATGATAACATTTCGTTCTTCTTCATGGCTGCATAAAATTCCATTGTGTATAGATACCACATTTTCTTAATCCATTCGTCAGTGGTGTGGCATCTTGGCTGTTTCCATAACTTGGCTATTGTGAATAGTGCCGCAATAAACATGGGTGTGCGGGTGCCTCTGGAGTAACCTGTGTCAGTCTTTTGGGTATATCCCCAAGAGTGGTATTGCTGGATCAAATGTAGATCAATGTCTAGCTTTTTAAGTAGCCTCCAAATTTTTTTCCAGAGTGGTTGTACTAGTTTACATTCCCACCAACAGTGTAAGAGGGTTCCTTTTTCCCCACATCCTCGCCAACACCTGTTGATGGTGGTGTTGCTAATGATGGCTATTCTAACAGGGGTGAGGTGGAATCTTAGCGTGGTTTTAATTTGCATTTCCTTTATTGCTAGAGATGGTGAGCATTTTTTCATGTGCTTTTTGGCCATTTGAATTTCTTCTTTTGAGAAAGTTCTGTTTAGTTCACTTGCCCATTTCTTTATTGGTTCATTAGTTTTGGGAGAATTTAGTTTTTTAAGTTCCCTATATATTCTGGTTATCAGTCCTTTGTCTGATGTGTAGCTGGCAAATATTTTCTCCCACTCTGTGGGTGTTCTCTTCAGTTTAGAGACCATTTCTTTTGATGAGCAGAAGCTTTTTAGTTTTATGAGGTCCCATTTATCTATGCTATTTCTTAGTTTCTGTGCTGCTGGGGTTTCGTTGATAAAGTTCTTGCCTATACCTACTAACTCCAGAGTATTTCCTACCCTTTCCTGTAACAACTTTAGAGTTTGGGGTCTGATATTAAGATCCTTGATCCATTTTGAGTTAATCTTGGTATAGGGTGATATACATGGATCTAGTTTCAGTTTTTTGCAGACTGCTAACCAGTTTTCCCAGCAGTTTTTGTTGAAGAGGCTGCTATTTCTCCATCGTATATTTTTAGCCCCTTTGTCAAAGACATTTTGGTTATAGTTGTTTGGCTTCATATCTGGGTCCTCTATTCTGTTCCACTGGTCTTCATGTCTGTTTTTGTGCCAGTACCATGCTGTTTTTATTGTTATTGCTTTGTAATATAGTTTGAAGTCAGGTATTGTGATACCTCCTGCATTGTTCTTTTGACTGCGTATTGCCTTGGCTATTCGTGGCCTCTTGTGTTTCCATATAAATTTCAAGGTAGATTTTTTGATCTCTTTAATGAATGTCATTGGAATTTTGATGGGAATTGCATTAAACATGTAGATTACCTTTGGGGAGTATCGACATTTTTACTATGTTGATTCTACCAATCCATGAGCATGGGAGATCTCTCCACTTTCTATAGTCTTCCTCAATCTCTTTCTTCAGAAGTGTATAGTTTTCCTTGTAGAGGTCTTTCACATCTTTTGTTAGGTTTACTCCAAAGTATTTGATTTTTTTTTGAGGCTATTGTAAATGGAATTGTTTTCATACATTCTTTTTCCGTTTGCTCATTGTTAGTGTATAGAAATGCTAATGATTTTTCTATGTTGATTTTATATCCTGCTACCTTGCTATAGCTATTGATGATGTCTAGAAGCTTCTGAGTAGAGTTTTTGGGTCTTTAAGGTATAGGATCATGTCATCTGCAAATAGGGATATTTTGACAGTTTCTTTACCTATTTGTATTCCTTTTTATTCCTTCTTCTTGCCTAATTGCTCTGGCTAGGAATTCCAGTACTATGTTGAATAGGAGTGGAGATAGTGGCATCCTTGTCTGGTTCCTGATTTTAGAGGGAATGGTTTCAGTTTTTCTCCGTTAAGTATAATGCTGGCTGTAGGTTTGTCATATATAGCTTTTATAATGTTGAGGTACTTTCCTTCTATTCCTAGTTTTCTTAGAGCTTTTATCATGAAATGATGTTGGATCTTATCAAAGGCTTTTTCTGCATCTATTGAGATGATCAAGTGGTTTTTGTCTTTGCTTCTGTTAATGTGGTTTATTACGTTTATTGATTTTTATGTTGAACCACCCTGCATCCCTGGGATGAAGCCTACTTGGTCGTGGTGAATAATCTTTTTGATGTGTTGTTGAATTCGGTTTGCCATTATTTTGTTGAGGATTTTTGTCATGTTCATTAAGGAGATTGGCCTATAGTTCTCCTTTTTGGAGGTGTCTTTGCCTGGTTTTGGGATAAGTGTAATACTGGCTTCATAAAATGTGTTTGGCAGTTTTCCTTCCCTTTCTATTTCGTGGAACAGTTTAAGGAGGTTGGTATCAGTTCTTCTTTAAAGGTCTGATAGAATTCAGCAGAGAATCCATCAGGTCCTGGACTTTTCTTTTTGGGGAGACTCTTGATTGCTGCTTCAATTTCATTTTGTGTTATAGGTCTATTCAGGTGATTAATGTCCTCTTGGTTCAGTTTTGGATGATCATATGTATCTAGAAATCTGTCCATTTCTTTAGATTTTCAAATTTATTTGAATATAGGTTCTCAAGTAGTCTCTGATGATTTCCTGGACTTCCATGGTGTTTGTTGTTATCTCCCCTTTTGCATTCCTGATTCTACTAATTTGGGTTTTTTCTCTCCTCATTTTAGTCAGGTTTGCCAGGGGTCTATCGATCTTGTTTATTTTTTCAAAGAACCAACTTTTTGTTTCATTAATTCTTTGTATTTTTTTTTCTATTTCATTGATTTCAGCTCTTATTTTTATTATTTCTCTCCTTCTATTTGTTTTGGGATTTGCTTGTTCTTGTTTTTCTAGGAGTTTGAGATGTATCATTAGGTCATTGATTTGGGATCTTTCAGTCTTTTTAATATATGCACTCATGGCTATAAACTTTCCTCTCAGGACTGCCTTAGCTGTGTCCCATAGGTTCCGGTAGGTTGTGTTTTCATTTTCATTGACTTCCAGGAACTTTTTAATTTCCTCTTTATTTCATCGATGATCCATTCTTCATTAAGTAATGAGTTATTTAGTTTCCAGCTGTTTGCATGTTTTTTGTCTTTACTTTTGTTGTTGAGTTCTACTTTTACTGCATTGTGATCAGATAGTATGCATGGTATAATTTCTATTTTCTTATATTTGCTGAGACTTGCTTTGTGCCCTAGGATATGATCTATTTTGGAGAAGGTTCCATGGGCTGCTGAGAAGAATGTATATTGTGTAGAAGTTGGATGAAATGTTCTGTAGACATCAACTAGGTCCATTTGATCTATTGCATATTTTAGATCTTGGATTTCTTTATTGATTTTTTGTTTGGATGACCTATCTATTGATGATAATGGGGTGTTAAAGTCTCCCACAACCACTGTGTTGGCGTTTATATATGCTTTAAGTCTTTCAGGGTATGTTTGATGAAATTGGGTTGTTGACATTGGGTGTACAGGTTGATAATTATTATTTCCTTTTGGTCTATTTCCCCTTTTATTAGTATGGAATGTCCTTCTTTATCTCGTTTGATCAATGTAGGTTTGAAGTCTACTTTGTCAGAGATAAGTATTGCTACTCCTGCCTGTTTTGGGGCCATTGGCTTGGTAAATCTTCTTCCAGCCTTTCATCCTAAGCCTATGCTTATTTCTGTGTGAGATGGGTCTCCTGTAAGCAACAAATTGTTGGATCTTCTTTTTAATCCATTTTCAAGTGTCCTTTTGATGGGTGAATTAAGTCCGTTAACATTAAGCGTTAGTATTGACAGGTATGTGGTGATTCCTGTCATTTAGTTGTCTTAGTTGTTTGAAGGTTTGATTGTGTGTACCTAAGTTGAGGTTACTCTCTACTGTCTTGCTTTTTCTTTTCCTGTGGTTTGGTGCTGCCTGCTTTTCATGGTTAAGTTGGGTTTCACTTTCTGTGTGCAGAATCCCTTGAAGAATCTTTGTAGTGGTGGCTTTGTGGTCACATATTGTTTTAGTTTCTGCTTATGGAAGACTTTTATTGCTCCATCTATTTTGAATGATAGTTTTGCTGGGTAGAGTATCCTGGGGTTGAAGTTATTTTCATTCAGTGCCCGGAAGATCTCACCCCACCTCTTCTTGCTTTAATGTTTCTGTTGAGAAGTCTGCTGTGATTTTGATGGGTTTACCTTTGTATGTTACTTGTTTTTTCTCTCTTACAGCCTTCAATATTCTTTCCTTAGTTTCTGAACTTGTTGTTTTAATGATGATATGTCGTGGAGTAGTTCTATTTTGATCTGGTCTGTTTGGTGTCCTGGAGGCCTCTTGCATCTGTATGGGAATATCTTTCTCTAGATTTGGGAAATTTTCCATTATTATTTTGTTGAATATATTACGCATTCCCTTCGCTTGCACCTCTTCTCCTTCTTCGATGCCCATGATTCTCAAGTTTGGTCTTTTGATGGAGTCAGTGAGTTCTTGCATTTTCTTTTCACAGGTCTTGAGTTGTTTAATTAATAGTTCTTTGGTTTTTCCTTTAATTACCATTTCATCTTCAAGTTCTGAGATTCTGTCTTCTGTTTGTTCTATTCTGCTGGATTGGCCTTCCATTTTGTTTTGCAGTTCTGTTTCGTTCTTTTTTCTGAGGTTTTCCATATCCTGGCTGTTTTCCTCTTTAATGTTGTCTCTTTTTGTCCTGAGTTCATTTATCCATTTATTCATCGTGTTCTCTCTTTCACTTTGGTGTTTATACAGTGCTTCTATGGTTTCCTTTATTTCTTCTTTTGCTTTTTCAAATTCTCTATTTTTGTTATCTTGGAATTTCTTGAGTGTCTCCTGTACATTTTGGTTGACCCTATCCAGTATCATCTCTATAAAATTCTCATTGAGTACCTGTAGTATGTCTTCTTTTAAATTATTCTTGTGGGCTTCATTGGGTCCTTTGGCATAGTTTATCTTCATTTTGTTGGAGTCTGGATCTGAGTACCTGTTTTCTTCATTCCCTTCTGGTTCCTGTACTAATTTTTTGCGTGGGGAAACTGGTTTCTCTGTTTTTTTCTGTCTTCCTGTCATTGTCTTTGGTGTTGTTACTGTCCCTGTACTGTGTGCAATTAAGTATTTTCTAGCTTGTAATAATAACAATGGTGATATTTAGAATGGAAGGGTGAACAGAGATGGAAAGCAAGAAGTGAAAGAAAAGGGAAAAACAAATAACAGACAAGAAGGAGAAAACAGTACAGGGATCAGACAAGAACATTTCAAAGGTATAAACAGGGAGCGTTAGTGTATTAATCGACAGTAAGCTGAACAGCATTAGAGAGACAGAGAGAGGATTAAAAATAAAAAATAAAAAAATAAAGATAATAAAAATAAAAAATAAGTAAATGAAAGAAATATATATATGAATAAAATAAAATAAAATGAAAAATAGAAAATTAAAAAAAAAACCCAAAAAACCTCCAAGTTCAAATGCAATGAAGTTTCAGTCTTAATAATTTGGGTGTCCGTCTCAGTCTCCAATCCTGGAGATGGTGCCTCAGATGTTGTTCTATAGTTTTCTCATCAAAGGGGACGCATAAAGTAGAACAAAACTACACACACACACACACACACACACAAACCTCACCAAGTGTCCCAAGTGCAAATGCAATACAGTTTCAGTAAGTTTTTCAGCATGCAGGTGTAATTCGGTTTTTCTCTCATCAAAGGTAGGGAGAAAAAGAGAAAAAAAAAAAAAGAAGCTGGAGACAGTTCTGAGATTGGTATCTGTGGCTGTGGATTGCCTGCCCACTGCTGTCAGCCTGCTGTTGCTGGAGGCGTTATATATGCAGATCTCTGGGGTGAGCTTAGCACTCACCTGGCCCCTCAGGCTTTGTTTACTACGAGTTCTTCTGTGTGGGAGCCTTTGCTGCAAGCTTTCCCCTTTCCAAGCACACTGGGGAAGGTGACACTACACCCACATTCTCAGGCTTGGGTGTTTATTTACAGTTCATGTGGGAAGTGGGTCTTCCCCCTCTCCTGTGCAGTTTTCCTCCCACTGCCACTCTCACAAGCTTTCCCTTTCCTGGTTGCTGGGTGTGCGCCCCCTGCTCCTGCCAGAGCCTCTTCGGCCCACCTGGCTTGTTTATTTACAGTTCTGGGAAGGATTCCCTTCCCCCAATCTTCGGTGCTCGGTGTGCCCCACCCTCTTTCCAGCATGCCTTTATTGTTCTTTTGCTTATTAGTCAGTTTCTCTTTTTTTCCCCGGGTGGGGGTCAGTCTGTCCAGGGGCTATGCTGCTCTGGCCCAGGCTTGTGTGTGGGAGTACCGCAGTACCACAAAGCTCACCTTGTCTAAGTCTTTCCAAGCCCTCTGGGCGCGGGGGACTGGCGGCCCAGGGGCCCTCCTGGTTTCTCCACTTAACGTGAAGTGGAGATGCTCTGTGCTGGCTGGAGATGTGGAGGGGTCAAAGTTTTGCCTTTTTGCCTCTTCTCAGTGATTTTGCCTGCAAAGTGTGTCTCCAGCGTCTCTCCAAGATTTCACTATAGGAGGCTCGCTTTCTGCTTCCTCCCTCTAGCTGCCATCATGGAATCCCTCCTCTGATTACTTTCTGATATCATCTTATATACACATTTAAACTGCAGCAAACCTGTGATTGTTAGATATCAAGCGTATTATAAATGCAATGGACAATTCCAATTTTGAACTCAAAAAGGACACACTCTTTCCTCTCTCTAAGTTAGGTAAGTTTGGTCTTTCTCTTGAAGACATAGAGCATAGAAAGCAAAGCAGCTTTGAGTACACATCTTGTTACTTCATAGAAAAGAAGTATGTTTTAAAACAACAGATTCCTTCTTTCGACATGCACCCTTGTCTAGTGCCATTCTGTATAGGAGGCATTATGTTAGAAATTTCCCTCCATAGAAATTCCCTGTGGCAGCAGCCTTTAATCACAGATAGGGGCAAGACACAAAAAGCCAGATCTATAAAGTGATCTGTGTATTTATTCAAAACTGCCAAGTCCAAGTACGCTAAGCTACATCCCCCCACTGTGAAAAACAACAGAGTGCAGACTTGGCTTCCTGACACCACAGCTGGGAGACATTGGAAGGGAAAGACATTTTCTTAAAAATCCCCTGTTGTCTGGGGCTTGTCTCTGCTGCCCTTACTCTACCAGAGAAAAGAACAATGTAGGGGAGAAAATATGCAGAATTACAAAATCTTAAAGATTATTATCCTGGATCACAGCAAAAAATAGCAACTAATATCTCCATTTCGTACTAGGATAAATGAGTTAAATACATGAGTTAATACAAATCCATTAAATGTATTCTGTTATGCAAATGGATTAACTATTACCTAACCTTTGATAAATATCACTTCTAAGGAATATACTTTGCATGAAAATAATTCAGACAATGGAAATCAGTTACTACCTTAATTTAAATAAAAACAGTTTTTATTTCCAGCTTAAAATTATGCATTTTAACCAATAATTTTAAACACCTTATCACTTTAAAATCTGGTTGTGAGTCAGGGCAAATTTATAAATTGCTGAGAAGAAATATTTATTTGTTCCATGCTGATTTCTAGTAGGCTAAACACACTATTAAAATGTTCTTGACTTTAGGATTGCATGTTGGCAATTCACAATATTCAGGAATAGACTGATTTTAGTTAGCTTCAAACATATCTAGAAAACGTTTTTAAAGTTCGTTTCATAAAAGGATGCAGTATCAGAGATTACAGTAAAGGTAATAGATTTCCTGGAATTAATAGTGTTCATGAATCAGACTTACAGACTGTTCTGGCAGCTGCCACTTGAGATCCATCTCCGATTCTTTGGAAGTTCAGTAAGAATGGAGGAAAATATATCACTTGTCCCCAAGGTCTGACAGCGGTTTAGTTCTGACCCTTACAGGACAGAAGCTGAGGCTGCCCTTTATTAACTTGGCCATTTGTTTAGGGTGTGTGGAAGCCTAACAGTCAGTCAACCTTCTGACATAAATTTTCTAATTTCTAGTATATATGTATCTATCCAGCTTGCATGGTTAATCTTATTAGTCTCAAAGGTTCTATTTCTCGGTGCAGTGATGGCCCACACCCACCCATCATTCATAAATAACTGCTGACTCCAAACTGTTCTAGAAAAGAAGGGAAAAGTCACTTGCAGTTGTCTTAATACTGCAAAGTAAAGTAAAGCTGAAGAGACTTGGGCTACGAGCCTTTGAATCTGTTGCTTACAGAATTGCAAAGTCAGCATCCTTCTCAGCATTATCCTCCTTTCTCCCTTCCCTGTGCCACAGACCTTATGCCACCAGAACTCTGTCCTCTCCCTGGCTCAAATGTTACTGACCTGTTCTTTATAGATAGCTTTTAACTTACCAGGTGGACTGTACATCATATTGGCTATTAATTGTTTTTTCTTTGCTTTTCTTCTGGCAGGCTTGGAGCATCACCTATCACAGCTGGCTGACTTTTGTGCTGTTAATTTGGTCTTGTACTCTTTGGATGATTCGCAACAGAAGGAAATATGCCATGATCAGCTCTCCTTTCATGGTCGTTTATGGAAATCTGCTGCTGGTATTACAGTATATATGGAGTTTTGAGCTTCCTGAAATTAAAAAGGTACCAGGATTTCTAGAAAAGAAAGAGCCAGGAGAACTTGCTTCAAAGGTAAGTTAATAGGGAAAGAAAGAAAGAGAGAGAGAGAGAGAGAGAGAGAGAGAGAGAAGGAAAGAGAAAGAAAGAAAGAAAACCACAGTAATCCATAATCCTAACAATCACATCAGGCAAAACTTTACAAAAATAGGCCTCAAAATACCACTGCTTTGCAAAAATGAACAGATAAGAGACCTTTTGAGAAGTAATTTACATTGCTTAGCATTCTCCTTAATTTAAACATGAATATATATTACACCATGCTTTTAGTTTTCACTTTGAAATAACAGTAGTTTCATCTCAAAGAATTCTAGTATGAGTTACTTTTATAAGTTATAGTGCAATAGTAATTAGATGTGTAAATAAGAACATGCAACATAAAATAGAAAAATGCAGTATAAGCTATCCCAAGGAGTTTAAGTGCTTTCTTTCATTATCAGTTTGTAAAACAGGGAAAGTAGGGTCTGCATTTATATTTCAGTGCACCTGAGAAGCCATAAAAAGTGCAAGGTTTTGCCCTAGACAGTAACAGCTCAATGCCAGGCTCATAAACTCTCCACCATAATGACATTCATAAAGATACACACATTTCTAAACATACATTGTTCAGCGAGTACTGGACGATTCAGCATGTCAGAGCATGAGAGGACCTGGGTCCTCCAAGGTATGCTCACTTCCAGTTACAGCAACCTAGTGTTTCACTCCCTACTCCATTAAATTCTATCAACTTTCACTTTCTTTTGGTGGTACTGGGGTTTGAATTCAGGGCCTCATGCTTGCTAGGCAGGCACTCTACTGCTTGGGCCACACCACCAGCCCACTTGCCAATTTGAAAAACCTGGCTTTCAACTCATTTTCTCTGGGAAAGATCTGCTTCTAATTAATCCTGACATCTCTGAATATGCACTAGAAAAACAGGTTTCCTTCCCAATTTGCAGCTCGAGTTCAACTCACAGTGATGTCCAGAATTTTAATGCCAGAATTTCACAAGGGCAAGCACTCTTGTTCTTGATTTCATGAGGTTCCAGACATGGTTAGCAGGACTTATCAAAGTTGGTTTACATTGAAAGTAAATGATAGACATTTAAAGTCTATCATCGTCTGTCTCAAATACTTTGTGATTTATAGACATGAGGATAATGTGTAATGCACCATATATACTACAAATATAAGTATCACCACACATATCCTTAAGTGGGCAATAATTCAAATGGAAAATGTCTCATCCATTTGCCTTTTACATTTTTCATTTCTTTAGCAAACATTCATTAAAAGTCTCCTAGGTGCCACTTCACATCCACTACAAAGGCTATACTTGATAAAAGAGACTGAGGACATGGAGAAACTGCAACTGTCACACACTGCTGGTGTATTGCGAACTGGTGCAGCAACTGCGGAAAATGTCTAATGTTTACCAGTTCCTCCAGATGTTAAACGCAGAAGTACCATAAGATTAGCAATTCCAGTCCTAGGTTTGTATACCCAAGAGAGTTGAAAACATATGGACATGTGAAAGCTTACATCAGAACATTGATAGAAGTGTCATAGCAAAGAATGAAATAACTGAAATGCCCTTCAACTAATAAATGTAGAAACAAACCAATGAATGTTCATATGATGGAATATTACTCTGTAATAAAAAGGAATGAAATACTATGTGTACTACAATATGAATAAACCTTACAAGTATGCTAAGTAAAAGAAATCACTTACAAAAGAGCATATATTATAAAATTGTATTTCCTTAAACTGTCCAGATTAAGCCACTCTACACTGACAAAAACCAAATTAGTGGTTAGGCAGAGCTAATATAAGGAGAAAAGGAGGCAGTTGCCATGGTGCTGTTTTAGGGGGTGATGAAGATATGTCAGAGTTAATTGCAGTGATGATTGCACACCCTGTGAATATGCTCGACCCACTGAATTAGGCACCTGTTTGTGTGTGTACTGGGAATTGAACTCAGAGCTTCACACATTACTAAGTTTATGCTCTACCACTGAGCTGCACCCTAGTCCGTGAATCAAACACTTTAAACAGGTGAACTGTATGGTAAGTGAATTACATTCCAATGATGCTATTCTCCAAAAAAAAAAAAACCTATGTTTTTTCCAACACTGAAGAAAATGTTACCATAAAAGTGTGGGTACTTTTTCCTTCAACGTTGGAAGATTAATGGGAACAATTAGGGGTTCTATTTTCTGTGATAAAGGTTTCCTTTTTGCATGTGTGAAATTCTTCATAATAAGGAGCTCTGCAGAGTGAGAGGAGCTATACAGAAGCCTGTCTCCCTTTCACTATGGTGGTAACATGTCAGTCTGGAGGGAATCAGTCAGGAATGTGTTTTGAGGGGATCTAGATGTTAGAGTTCATTTGCTGCCCAGATGCAGGTAACCTGGATGGTCTGGCTCACCTTCCTGGGGCCTTGCACAGTGCTGCACATGCTTCTGTCATGCATCATGTGCAAAAAAAAAACCAGGTTGAAAAGCAGTTTTTTCCGTGGAAATCAAGTGAGGGCCCTGACTATCTCTAATAAAAAGGCCCTTGTATTCCACTCCCCCCAACATATGGAGAAAGGTGTACGAAGTGAGATGCATTTGTTTCACCAATGCTGCTGAATTCTAGTTTTTCTCACCCTGGTTTCAGATTCTTTTTACCATCACTTTTTGGCTCCTGCTGAGACAGCACCTCACAGAGCAAAAGGCTCGTCAGGAAAAAGAAGCTCTTTTATCTGAAGTCAAAATTGGAAGTGAGGAGCATGAAGAAAAAGGTAAGGAAGGACGGCGGATATGTGAGCACAGATTTTCATGCTCAGCAGAATTACACAGAAAGACCACAAGTGCATCAGAAAGCCTCTCTACTTCAGACTTAAATAGAAGCCCACTGTGAACTTGGAGTGATAGCCAACAAGAGTACAGCATGTAACTTATATCTTAGTTTTTAATTTGTTTTTTAATTTTGGTGCAGGGATCAAACCCAGGGCCTAGGCAAGCTGCATCCCCAGCCAATTAGCCAGAATTTTAGAGACTTTGAGAGCACAGGGGGGTTTCAAAAATGTATCATTTAATGTTCACAAGTGATTCTCAACAGAAGAAGAAATTGAGAATCAGAGAAATTAAATGATTTCTCCAAGGACACTTTTAAGAACTGATTCAAATATTTTTGACTCAAATTGTCTTCTTTTCTAAAAATATGCCACAAAGTAAAGAGAAATAAGGAAGGAGATCTAGTAACATCTCTATAGCTTTAGGCCTGATACATAGGTAAATAAGAAGGCTGTGCTCCTGATTTCCTGTGCATGTCAGTCAACGTTAAGTTCCATGTTTGTAGGATGAACAAGAGGCTGTCATGCTTCCAGAAGCTGGCTTCAGTAGCATAAGAAAACCAGCACAGATCAGCCAGTACTATTATAGTTCTTTATCAAACCTAACCATTGAGTTGTACAGCAACAAAATTATGATTATAAGATTCAAATCTTGCCTACATGAGTTTGAATGTGTATTCAGCGAACAATTAACCAGTTAATTTTGGTAAAGAATGGTTAATTTGAGATAAACAATCATTTTCAATCACTCCTCCCCCCACTCTGGGAATCTACTGTTTCTTGAATAAATTATTCAAATTTAGGTAGCCTGAATTTGATAATGCTAATACAGTGATAAGTCTTGTGTATTAGCATATTTCAAGGCAAGGTAAAGTGTTTTCAATTCCAATGCATAAAATTGCTTTAGACAGTTAAAATTATAATCATTTTTAAATCTAACTTAAACTAAATTATATTTGGCTTTAAGTTTCACACTTTTAGATGCTTAAAACACACTTTTTGCTTAAGATTTTTAGCATGGAATACATTCAAGAATGACTTGGAGCCATGAAACAATTAGAATTTTAAATCAATATAGTTGTTTTGATTTGTTATTGTTATCCATTATTTTTCTAGAATTCAGACAAGGAAATGGAAAAAGTGTTATAAAGAGAGTAGTATAAATTATTACCAAAGTTAGTTTTTAAGCTACATTTCAGGAAGGCTATGAAAATTAACTATGAATTTGTTATGAATGTTGCCTTGTTTATTTGCACAGTCTAGACTCATCGGGACCATACAATGGCTCATAAAATACATGCTTCCCTGCCCCACACAGTTCACACAGCCCCTAATGGCACATTTTCTATTTTGAAGATGAAGAGCTTCAAGATATTCCAGAGGAAGGAGAGCCCAGAGAGAAGGAGGAGGACGAGGAAGTGAAGGAAGAGAAGCAAGAAATAAGGAAGTTGGAGGAAGAGGAGGTGGAAGACGATGACCAGGACATCATGAAGGTGTTGGGCAACTTGGTGGTGGCCGTGTTTATCAAGTACTGGATCTACGTCTGCGGGGGAATGTTCTTCTTCGTCAGCTTCGAGGGTAAAATCGTAATGTACAAAATCATCTACATGGTGCTGTTCCTCTTCTGCGTGGCCTTGTACCAGGTAGGTGAGCCCCTGGGCTTGAGTTTTCATTCTCGTGTCTGTCCCAGGAATACAGACAAGCTTCCTTTGCAGTTGCTGTAATCCCATAAACACACTGCATAAAGTGATCAAAAAAATTCAAATATTGCATTTTAAGACTCCTAAAATGGGCCAGGTGCCAGTGACACACACCTGAAATCCAAGCTTCTCAGGAGGCAGAGATCAAAAGGATCACAGTTCAAAACTAGCCCAGGCAAATAGTGTGTGTGACCCTATCTTGAAAAAACCCATCATGAAAAAGGGATGGTGGAATGGCAAAATTTTAGCTACTTAAAAAGCAGTATCTGGATAATTTTAAATAGCACAGAATTCCCTAAATTGTTTTATTTCAGGATAAATCCTGAAAGCAACTCAGGATCAGAAAAACTAGTTGTCTTTGAGCCTATGTGTGTGTGTATGTGTGTGTGTGTGTGTGTGTGTGTGTACATATATATGCATGTATAGTACATCAAGTGCTTTGATATTTCCTTAACTAGAATCTATAAAAGAGCACATACAATGAGCCCTTTAAATATTATCTGATTCCTCCTCCTAACAACTGCAAAGTGTCTACTTCTGGAGGAAGAAACATGCTCACTTGCCCAAAAACAGGTTCTGATAGCCAGTAGAACTGGAATCTGACCCATATCTACTCAACTAAATTAGGAACAGAATCTTAAAAAAACTAGTAATGAAACAGACTTTATTTATAAGCATATCTATATGTAATCACTTGTCTTAGTTAAAACAAATATCTCCGCGAGTTTTCCTATGACCATTTTTCTCCTTTGTTTCAATGTCTGATTCTTAGGTACACTATGAATGGTGGAGGAGAATTCTAAAATATTTTTGGATGTCAGTGGTTATTTATACTATGCTGGTGCTTATCTTTATATACACATATCAATTTGAAAACTTCCCAGGCCTGTGGCAAAATATGACCGGATTGAAAAAAGAAAAGTAAGCACTTTTGGTGGAGGATGGGATGGGAGGCTAACAAACCAGTTGATGGTTTAAGTGTGTATTGTTCACCTCTTTACAGATTTTAGTAAAATATGATGCCATCACATTTACACCTTAGTTCTCCTTTGTCCCCTCTTATCAAGCCCTAGGCTATAAAAGTAGTAGATCCTGCATGAATACTGACTGACGGGCAAGGAAGTTTTTCAGTCCTATTGTAATGAAATGATGACTCTGGGGTTGGTCCCATATGAAACGCACCTTCTTCATACTGTGGGAACCCTGTGCCCTCCAGACTGCAGTTCATTTCTTCAGCTCATAGACTCACAGCTCAAGGACTCAGCATAAAGCTATGCCTTTCCTCTTCCACATTGCCAGGCTGAGACTGTAAGTGGTTAGAGCAGAGAGAGTCTTTTCTGCCAGTGCAGAGGCCCTAGTGAGGAGACAGCATGCATCAGGTACAAACAGTACTCTTCTCTTCTAATTGCTTCTGTAAACTGACTGAAGAAGCCTGGAGTGGTTCCAACTGGCTTCACTGTGCAGGTGTCATTTAAACTCTAGATGAAGGATAAGAACCAGCTCTTCTTAGGGAAAGGGTGGAAATGTGTTGTAGGCAGAGAGAACAGAAGGTGCAAAGGTTCTGAGGCACAATGGACTTTGGCTCAGTGTATGTGAGGAATTCAAGGAAAGTTTGCCTGCTGACAGCAAGGGAAAGAAAAAGAGGTGAGGTGAGTGTTTAGCCAGGCACCAAGGACATGCAGGGATGGCAGGTGTTTGTATTTTATTTGTGTTGGAAATTTTTGTAAGTCTTAAAATATCTCCTGACTATCTGAGAAAATGTGAGGCGTGAGCAATAGAAACAAGATCGTTTGCATACAATAACCTTATTGGACAGGTGGGGGTGAGACAGACAACAGCAGTGGGTGGTTTGTGGAGAATGAAGCAAGGAAAATAAAGAATCTTAGATACTTCCTGATTTCTGAATTTTGCACAGGGTACGTAAGTATACTATTTATTTGCCCAGGGAAAGCCAGAATGGGGACAGGGAGATAGAGAACAGCTTTGCTAAGAAAAAGAGGGAATTCAAGAACATTGTTTTGAAAACACTAAGCATGAAATCACTGTAAAGCAGTCAATTTCTAGTAGCAATTTCAGTATGTGAGTCCACAGGAAAGGGTGTACTATAGATGGACATTTGAGTCTTTCGTGTAAAGATGGCAGATAAATCCATGGAACATGGTGAGATGACCAGGGGAAAGATGCAGGTAGATACAAGTCCCCAAAATGAGTCCTGGAGATACTTCAACTTCTGAGAGGTACAAGGAAAATGAGTAGCGGTAAAGGAAAAGGAAAGAACAGGGTTAATTGCAAGGACTGGAGGTTGAATTAAATAAACAAAGAATTTACCATTGAATTTGGCAGTGTCAAGTTTGTCACTGATCATTGTACAAGCAGGCAAGCTGCATTGCTATAAACAAAAGCTAAATCAGGATGTGCAGGAGAGGGTAAAAGCACTAAGAGAGAGGCAGAGATGTGGCTCTTGAAGGAACCCTGGGGTCTGTGTTATCTAAGAAAGCTTCTTGCTTTGTTGTGCTTTCTTCAACAGGCTTGAGGATCTTGGCTTAAAGCAGTTTACCGTGGCTGAGCTGTTCACTCGTATTTTCATACCAACCTCCTTTCTGCTGGTGTGCATTTTACACCTTCACTACTTCCATGACCAGTTCCTTGAACTCACAGACCTTAAGTCCATCCCCAGCAAGGAAGACAGCACCATCTACAGGTGAGTAGATGAAAGAAACACATATCTATCTCATCAGGAAATCCTGATAACCCTACCTCTGTTTGGCCACTTCTTTAGGAATCTGAACTTTCCTTTAGTATTGACATGTTGGGAGAGAGAGAGACAGACAGAGAGAGAGAAGAGGTGGAATATTTGATGACATTTTCTGAAATGGTAGTGACTTAAGACTGGTTGATATAAAGTGTTCTCTATAGTCACGTGAGTAGATTCAGAGTAGATTTGCAAACTGATGTCTTAGTGTTGATGATGCATGTTTTGTGTCTAGGCTGGTTATGTGCTTCTAAGTCATTCAAAGCATGTGACTAATTCAAGAGATAAGTTTTCTATTACGCTTACCACCTACAAAGAAATTACCAGAAGAGAGGTCCAAAAGATGATATTTAAAATTTTGGAAATGGAAAACCTTAGCTAAAAGGACAGCATCTGCAATCTACTACCAGCTGGAAAGATATTTAAGAAGGGAAAGTAAAGACAATGTTTTGTGTCAGCAGCTTGCTGTGGTTTTTATCAACACTATAAATTGGTTACAAGTAATAGATGGGATATATTTGTCTATCCTTACACAAGTATAAATCACTCAGTTTGTCATCACAGGGAAATTACAAGCATTCTTTTGATGAATGCTGACAATGATTTTCCTCTCTGCCTCATATTTAGCTTGTGGTTCACTTTCTGAGAAAACACTTGCTAAGCAACTAAGATGAAAAAATTCTGTTCCAAGAGGAGCATGGAGACACAGTTGGAAATTCCCTGTAATGCTTTGACTTCAAGGGAAAAAAATGAAGTAGGATTGTATCATATTCATTTACAAAATACTAAACTATCAATATTCTATTCTAGGAGGAACTGAAAATATGGGTAATTATGAAACACTTATTTCATGATGATAAATATTTTGTGATATTGCAGGTTTGTTTTCTATATTTGTTTAGTTTAATGTCACACTTAGTTTTGGTTCTGAGTACACTCCAGGTGACGTGCCCTATGGCACAGAGAAAAGACCCCAGAGGGTCTAAACTATTCTTACTTTAGTAAGTAGGTGTGTTAAATTAAATTATTTACTCCCCAAATTCCATTTCATTAATATTAAAGATAGTAACTTAGTTAATATCAACAACCCATCAATGACTCTCAACCAGTAGAATAGAGGATATCTACCAGCATGATTCTTAGCCATCTTGTGACCACATGGATGGGGTCAGTGGCTCGGATTCTCAAACACTTACTCCTACTTCCTTTAGTGATAACCCAACGTTGGAAAAATTAGAATTGTTGTTAGCAGTTTCGAGACCCCATATGTGCTGGTAGGGAAAATAACCCTAAGTTTAAAAGTTTACAAAAGCCATGTCTGTATTGAAGAGTGAGAGATGTCAATAATTAGAAAAATGACCATTTAATCATTTTTGACATTGCTGAGATATCGACAAATGACACTAACATTTCATAATTAACTCTAATCACATAAATCCTTCCTTTGAGTAAATCTCACCATTTTTCAAAGTCATACTCAGTAATTAACAAAATATTGTAACTAGCAGACAGATGTATGTGTTTGTCAAAGAGAGGTAATTGCTGGTCATTGCTATTAATATCTTTTCAATATTTTTTCTCTTAAATCATCTTTTCCCTTCCATAGGAATTCTCTTGTCTTTGAAGGTTCTTCCAATGTGGGGGAGCTTTTGTTGCCTTTACTCTTACTGTCATGTGTCTTGAGTGTTCTGTTATACAGTCAAATCGAGGTATAGGTCACTATTTACCCAGCAGAGTAGAGACTTTCAGAGTCATAGTTTTGCAGAACACAGTAAGATTTTTATCAACCTAAAAAAATCACAGGTATGTGATTTAAGTATGCAGTTCCCTGCCTAATTATGCAGATTCTGGGTAAGGGCTGCCTTCCCATGTTAATTTGGGGACTGTCTGTTTCCTTGGTAACTGTTTTACAGCACTTATCCTCACACCCACAACAAGAGAAGAGAGCAGACCTGAGCCATCTGTTCATCTGTCTATCTGTGGCAATATGAGATCATTGTTTCCTTGCTTGCCATGGTGGCTCAGCCCCAAGCACTCCCTTATCAGGAGTTTTATAAGAAAATTTAGAGAGAGAAGGGCATGTAAACCCAACTCGCTGCTTTTTTTTTTTGTTGGTACTGGGGCTTGAACTCAGGACCTCATGCTTGTTAGACTTTGCTAGGCAGGCACTGTATCACTTGAGCCACTCCACCAGCCCTTAAACCCAGCGCTCTGGAAAGAGTTTAAGGACTAGGGGTTTTGCTTTTAGGTCAGTAGAAAGACAGTCTTCTAGAATCTTAGGGAAATTAAAGAATTCATTTAAGATTGATATTTTGAGATTTACTATAATAGTTTAATATAAAAGTTCTCAAATTTTAACTGGAAACATAAAATATATATCCTAAAAGGTAGGATATCCTACCTTTATTTTATTATAGTGTTTTACAAAAAAAATGGTTACAAATTGGTTTATCATAGTCATCAAATTGATTTCAGGACTATTGTTTCTGTTAACATCCACTAATCTTCTCCTGTCTTGTCCATGGCTCTTGCGTGTACATGTGTACACATAAGTCATGTGGGCAAGTGTCACATGTAGTAGAACTTACCGTATTTATCTTAGCCATATTGAATTTATAATTAGCATTATGGAAGTTTTATAATGTGTATAAGAAGAAACTATTATTATGAAAATAAGCAATCTCAGGAATGCCACTTCACTTATATGTTGATAATAGTATAGAATATAACCAAGCAATAACATAGTTATTACATAATATATAATTAATAATAACTTACTAAGAACTCTTTAAGTATTCATTACCTTTATGTCACTATAATTTGTCCATGATTCATGTTAGAAAATGTTACATGTATAGAAACAAAACAATTTGTTTCTCTAGTTTTAGAACACCTTACAGAAAGATGTTGACTATGGTTACTTTGTAGATCTTAATTCTTATATTAATATATGTTAGGTTATATTTTCTTTGATAAAAATATCTTGAAGAACTTAACCATCACTAGTTTTTAGTAGAGCTTGTGAGATGGAAAGCCATGTTATCTTTGAGCACTTTTCCTGCATGGATCTGACTCGTGCCACCTAGCAGCTTCTTCAAGGTGCCAATCTAACTGTCTCCTTTCTCTCTTCTCTGTCTCCATTGCATCCTGCACTTCCGTCTCACCTGGCAGCCATGCCAAAGTCAATGGTCGCGTGTATCTAATAATAAATAGGTGGGTATTCCAATGTTTTCTCTTTTGTTCTCACTTCAAACTGTTTCTTGGCATGTTAAGCTCTTTGCTGCTTTCTAAATGAAAAGTGATGTCATCAGATAGTAGTCGGTGGCGTCCAGGTATGCTCATGGATGTATTTTGCAAACCAAGCCATCTGGTGTTTATACCGAATGGCACTGCCAGTAGATGTGGAGGTTGTCAAGGGTCTTCAGCTGGTGCTCAGCATTTGGTCTCAGTCCCAACTTATGTCCCATTGATTTTGTTTGGTAGAATTAGTTCAAGGCTTGCCTGAGAGTTCATTTCTTTCCCGAACACATAAGTTGAAGCTCAGCTCAAGAGCCATCTCCTCCACATACTCTGTCATTAATGCCAACATCCTGCTACAGGTCATTTGCCTTCCCTCTGAATTCCCATGGCATTTTGTCACTGCTGCTCTCCTGACACTTGCCTTCCAGACCTCTAGCCCTGCTTTCCGTAGCCCCCTTGCTAGCAGCTTAAGCTCCTGAGGCCTGGATGCCTTGTGTCGTCCACTAGGAGACTCCCTGTCAGCGACCCCGACCCTTACCTCTTGGTTGATATTCAGTAGTTATTTCCTGAAAATCATCCTAACAACATGTGGTTTAGAAAAACACCAACTTGTTAAATATATCTGTACTTGAAATATCAATATAGAATTGAAAAAACATATTTTTATCACTAGATTTCACAGTATGTCTGCATACTACAGAAAGTGCAAAGATGGTACTGGAACGTGCCTCTAGCTTAAAATGAGGACCACCTAACTGTGGAGATAAGACATGTGGTGTGCACACTTGAGCAAAGTGAGCTTTGCTAATAGTGTCATGTGAAGAGGTGTCCTCAAAGTGCCCCATAGTACAGAGAAAAGACCTTCTGAGGTCTTTTCAAACCATTCATACTTTATTAAGTAAGTGAGTTAAGTTATTTATTCCCCAAATTCCATGTCATTAGTAATAAACCTAGTAACTAGTTAATAGAAACATACAATTGTAATAAACCAACTTATTAAAATGCTGAAAGATTTGTTAGCTTTCTATTCCATTCACTTTTCTTCTCAGGAAAATCTTAAAGCAGCCAACCAAAAATAGCAAACCCTAGGAGGTCAACTTGTCTAGAAGGAAGTATGAAACAGGAGTGGGTCACTGTGGAGAAGGAGGAGGAGGAATGAGGATTGGCTGGTGTCTGTTGGTTGACAGCTTGAGAGAGAAAAGTCTGCCCAAGGCTTTTAGGTGTTTAGGCAGAGAAGAAGACACAGACTCTAGATAGAAATCTTGAGCAACTACTTAAATTTCATCTGTCCAAGCAAAGGGAACAACCCACTAATTCTCTGTGTTTCTCATGAAGCATTTAGCATTTGCTTTATTAAGAGAAGGCTGTCATCAAAGTTCAAAGTCACCCAAAGCAATTAACACCTTGAAACATCCCAACTCCCCAGTATCTCTTTCCAGTGAACACTCTCCTGTGTGGAGGGAAGGTAACATAAGAGACACCAGAGCTGTGCCCCAGAGGGAACATTCTCAAACAAACCTCTCATTTTACAATGCGTGCTTCTGAAATGATGTATATAAAGTATATCCAAGGTTTACTAGGACCTTCCATTCACTAGAATGATAAGGTGAATCCGTCTGTGAGGTAAATAAGCTTGCTTTCTCATAATTTATTTCTTTATGCTCAATGTTGTCTTATAAGGAGGAAAAATGTGCTTAAAAATCTTAGCTCTTAGTGAGAAACCCTGAGTTCAAGCCTCAGTACCTCAAAAAAATTATATAAAAATGTTAGCTCTGAATTAAAAGAGGAGGCATACCTGCAATTCATCTTGCAGGATGGTTAAAATTTAGATGTTACCTTACAAAGTGGGAGGTAGGAGAGGGTGCCGAGGACTATGGGTCACTTCAATAAAACTGTAATATTATGATTAAATGGTGGGGAATTTCCAACTAACTTGGTAAACAGTAGGAATTAGAATATATCAGCAGAGCAGAGTCTATATCCAGTCTTGCATCATAGATTTTTTTTTGGAGGAATTATTCCCACATTAAAATATGATACCAAATTCACAAATCAGTTGCTTACATGTCAATATGATCTTCTAAAAGTGCTATAGGTTCTTGAAAATAATTTATCCTAAACACTTCCTTTAATCACAAACTACTACTCCTTCTTTTTTCTAACTGTACACATTTTAATGTCTAATGAAAGGGGTGAGTACAATTTTCATTTCACATATTCCAAATTAAAGTAATTAAAAATTAACAGAAGTTAGAATAGGAGATTTTAGAGTGGTAGAATTTCCACTTTCTTTAGTAGAAACTAGCTTAATATGCAGCTTTTCAAAGTCAACTCCTTGGACAGAATAAAACCTCTTCAGCTCCCTTTGTCACATAGCTTGTTTCCTATTTCAAAGAAGCAAGTGTCACCAGTGCATACAATGTCTTCATCCAAGGCTCAAAGAGTCACAGCATTTGCCAAGCACAGCTCTCCATCCTGTGGAGGAGCTGGGTAGAGCAAGACTGGATTTCTGCCTTCAGGAAGAGAGCCCCCAAAACACACTGAGGATAAAGTGATAGGAGGGCACAGTGTCCGCAATGAGGACAAAGGAAAGGGTGTGTGAATGAATAAACATGAGTAGCTCTGCTTTGTTACACGTGAAAGAAGAGAATCGTTTTACCTAAGAAGTAGAGTGAGAGCATCAGAGCTCAAAGCCTAAACTATAATGAAAGCAAGGGCACAGAGGCATCTATAAAAATAAAGAGAATGTAAAGTGATGAAAATGAACTCGCTTTTGGAGAAAGGCATTGAAACGGTTTAATGACAGAAGTAGAGAAGAGAGATTCTCTGAGAATGTGCAAGCTCGTCCCCGTGTCCGTTTGGAGTCCTTAAGTAAAAACCCATCACCTGAACATTAAGTCATTTGCACAACATGGTCAGTAAAGAGGTGCCTGTACTGCAAGTTTCTTACATGATGTGCCAAGGATGCTTTCACTGTAGTGTTCTTTCCAATGTCGTTTTGAAAAAAAAAATCAATTTTTAAAAATTTGTCATCTCATCAGGGCTTGAACTCAAGTCTTTCTGACTCCAAAACCATGTGCTTTCAACACTCTTCTCTATTGCCTCCGAAAAGAGCTATGATAAAGATGGAAAAAATGAAAAGATGTACACAGGAGTATTTTTAAAACATTATGCTCCTACTCATTCATTTAAATTAGTTTTACCTGTACATGTTTTATACACACAGATTTCCATGAATGTACAATGCAAAATGCAACTCACCGAAATTCTCAGATAGTTAACAAACTCCTAGACTAGTAAATGGCAGCTTGGATACACGTCCTCTTCTGCTTTTTTTTGTCAGCTATCCCAAGGTTGTGAAGTTAGAGTGCTCATTGCAGAAGACATTTCCTCATGAGGATTAGATCAGAGGACAGTGAACAGCTTGAACTTCGGAGTCTGCCCCAGAGCTCTGTGGATGGTTACAAGTTTCTAGAAGCTAATGCACATCTATTTCCAAAGGCTTGCTCCAGGGTCTTCCTTTGATTCCTTCATTTAACAGTTGTCCCTTGGTATGTTCCAGGGCTCTGCAGTTTAGGGACATGGTTGCTCGAGGACAGTTTGCTCTATAGACCTGACAGCAGTCGTAAACAGCCTCTTGGCTGAGAGTTTCACTCCCTAAGTGACTATTAGAAAGTTGTCTTCTTGTCAGTGTGGAGTTGCTGTAGACATTTAAACACAGTCTGAGATGGTCACACTTCCACACTATAATCCACCAAATCCTGTGTCCCCCTGACAGCTGTCTCTCATTTGTGTAGTGCTGGCAATTCTGAAGTGAACAAATCAGTACTGTTTGTACACTGCAGTCTGTCATGTGCTCGTTTTGCACTAAATTAACAATTTGCTTCTGGTGGACAATAATTTACTTGCTTGGTCTCTGTTAAAGGGAATTTCTCTTGAGTGATGACTGACTGAAGGTCTAAGGGCAATGTGGATTGATTACAGACCTCCCCCAAATGAATGGTGCATTTTCAAATACCATTCAAAAACAGTTGAGTTGAAGGTAGTTTAGACTTCTGTCCAGCCAGATCTACATGGTTTATAGAAAATGAACTAAATTTCATAAAGGCTAAATAATTTTCTCAGAGTCCACAATTGTACAGATAGAATATTATCGTTTGTTACGGCCAGGCTGAAATTTATGGATTATTTATTTCAAATGGAAAAGATCATTAGTGTTACCAATAGATTTTTTTCCCCTAAGATGTACTGTATTATCCACAAATGCTCCTTAAACAATTAATTTGAATATGAATAAAAAACACTGTAGGAGACGGATTATACTGTTACGTCCACTATGGGATAAGCTGTAGGACCAGGTTGCTCTCAGTGCTCCATGAGAGCTCTGCCTCTGTTGACACTCTGACTCAGGTTCTCAGTGTTCCAAAGTTGCCAGTCCTTGGCTGATCTTGGTGACCCTCAGACAGGAAGTGCCACAGATGTCTCAACTGCTGAGAGCATTTTGCTCTTGTTTCATCTGCTTTACAGGCTGGCAGAATGGGGTTAGTCAATGCCAGGGTTTACAGAGAGCACATGTGATTTAAGAATTTGAAAAAACTTACATAACCTGTGAATGACTTGCTTCTTGGGAGATGGTTTGTTGCGTTATTGAAAGTGCATGGTGACATTTGCCTCAGGAATCTCTATGTTCTGTCCCTTACAAACCTGCCATCCTATCCACCCAGATCAGTTGCCACGCCTCAGTTCAGAGCGAAAGCGCGCTACTGGTGCCGTCCCAGAATGCACTTGGCATTAGGCACCCGGGAATGCAGTGGGGATGATGTGTAGCATGATATGTGATCTCTGACATTCCTTATAACTCTTCTGTTCTCATCTCCTTTTCTTCCTTTCTATTTCAATTACTTTGAGCAGCATCAAGAAAAAATTACCAATCCACCAAAATGAGTAAGTCCCCCATGTGAAGCCATGAAATGCTTGCCCTACATGTGCCATTTCATGCTTCTACATCCTAAACTCTGACCATTTTCTTCTCTGGGAAAAAAATGTCAAGTTTAGGTGTTGAGAGCTCTCATTCCTGACTAATCACTAGAACTGATAAGAAGCCTTAACAAAACTGAGCTGATAGTTTGCTTTTAGAAAGCACTTAAACCAAACAAACCAACCAAAATGGCAAGTGCTCACACCCTAACATTTGCGAGGTCTTTGTTCCATGCACTGATTTTTCTTTTGGTTTGTCCTTTGACTTGCCCCTTGCTCTCATTCATCCTGGCCCCCTTTCTCTCCTGACTCAGCTGCTCTCTGCCAACAGATTGGCCCACCCTGAAGGAAGCCTCCCAGATCTGGCCATGATGAATCTGACCTCCAGCCTGGAGAAGCCCATGGTGCAGGCACTAGTGGGACCTGGGGAGGAGAAGCCAGAATGGGGTGCTCTGAAAAAAAGCCACATGAGGGTGAGCTTTGGGAAGACATGAACACCTATCTCCGAGTGTGAGCAGTGGCAGAGTGAGGAGAATCAGAGGAGGAGGAAGAAACGTCAGGTAACCAGCCCACTCCCATGCTGCTATGACTGAGGCCATGAAATGCTGACTTGCTTCAAAGGATTGATAGGTGACTCAGATCTTTGGGGATTTTTGGCTGCTATAGTTATAATAATATCCCTGTTCCAATTGCTCTGATTATTTCCTTGTAATCTGACTAAGGAGACGAGAGCAGATGGCTGCTTATGCACTTCTAGCCACAGGGCAGATCTCTGGTCCAGAGACCAGAGGGTGTGTTCATCATCTATGGAACTTCACCTTTCAACAGAACATTCTTTTTTTTTTTTTCATTTTCTTTTATTTTCATATGTGCATACAAGGCTTGGTCATTTCTCCCCCTGCCCCTCACCCCCTCCCTTACCACCCACTCGCCCCCTCCCTCTCCCCATACCCAGCGAGAAACTATTTTGCCCTTATTTCTAATTTTGTTGTAGAGAGAGTATATAAGCAATAATAGGAAGGAACAAGGGTTTTTGCTGGTTGAGATAAGGATAGCTATACAGGGCATTGAACTCACATTGATTCCTGTGCGTGGGTGTTACTTCTAGGTTAATTCTTTTTGATCTACCTTTTCTCTAGTCCTGTCCCCTTTCCTATTGGCCTCAGTTGCTTTAAGGTATCTGCTTTAGTTTCTCTGCGTTAAGGGCAACAAATGCTAGCTAGTTTTTTAGGTGTCTACCTATCTCACCCCTCCCTTGTGTGCTCTCGCTTTTATCATGTGCTCATAGTCCAATCCCTTGTTGTGTTTGCCCTTGATCTAATGTCCACATATGAGGGAGAACATACGATTTTTGGTCTTTTTGGCCAGGCTAACCTCACTCAGAATGATGTTCTCCAATTCCATCCATTTACCAGCGAATGATAACATTTCGTTCTTCTTTCCATGGCTGCATAAAATTCCATTGTGTATAGATACCACATTTTCTTAATCCATTCATCAGTGGTGGGGCATTGGGCTGTTTCCATAACTTGGCTATTGTGAATAGTGCCGCAAAAACATGGATGCTACAGGTGCCTCTGAGTTTAACAGGCTCTTTTGGGGATATCCCAAGAGTGACCTCTCGTCTGGATCAAATGCGTTAATCGCATGTCCAGCTTTTTAAGTAGCCTCCCAAATATTTTTCCCAGAGTTGGTGTACTAGTCTACATTCCCACCAACAGTGTAAAGAGGGTTCCTTTTTCCCTCATCTCGCCAACAACCTGTTGTTGTTGGTGGTTGCTGATGATGCTAATTTCTAACAGGGGTGAGGTTGGATAATCTTTATGTGGTTATTAATTGCATTTCCTTTATGCAGAGATGTAGAGCATTTTCTCATGTGTTTTCTGGCCATTTGATTTCTTCTTTGAGAAAGTTTCTGTTTAGTTCATGTGCCTATTTCTTTATTAGTTTCATTTTTTTTTTGGGAGAAATTTTAGTCTTTTAAGTTCCCTATAATTCTGGTTATCAGTCCTTTGTGATGTATAGTTGCGCAAATATTTTCTCCCACTTGTGGGTGTTCTCTTCAGTTTAGAGACCATTCTTTTGATAACAGAAGCTATTTAGTTTTTGGGGGGGAGGCGGGTGTGGGGGGGGGGGGGGTGGGGGGGGGGGGGGGGGGGGGGGGGGGGGGGGGGGTGGGCGGGGGGGGGGGGGGGGGGGGGGGGGGGGGGGCGGGAGGGGGCGGGGGGGGGGGGGGGGGGGGGGGGGTGGGGGGGGCGGGGGGGGGGGGGGGGGGGGGGGGGAGGGGGGGGGCGGGGGGGGGGGGGGGGGAGTCCCATTATCTATGCTAATCTCTTAGTTGCTGTGGCTGGGGTTTCATTGAGAAAGTTCTTAACCTATACCTACTAACTCAGCAGTATTTCCTACGCTTCTTGTATTCAACTTAAGAGTTTGGCGTCTGATATTTAAGATCCTTTGATCCATTTGGACTTAATCTGTATAGGGGTGTATACATGGATCTAGTTTCAGTTTTTGCAGACTGCTAACCAGTTTTCCCAGCAGTTTTTGTGAAGAGGCTGCTATTTCTCATCATATATTATCTCCTCCCATATAATACTATATTTGCTTATAAGTTGTGGGCTTCATCTCTGGGTCCTCATATCTGGTTCCATGGTCTTCTATTCTGGTTTTTGTTCCTAGTACCAGTGCTGTTTTTATTGTTATTGCTTTGTAATTTATAGTTTGAAGTCAGGTATTGTGATACCTCCTGCATTGTTCTTTTGACTGAGTATTGCCTTGGCCTATTCGTGGCCTCTTGTGTTTCCATTAGAAATTTTTAAAGCAGTAGATTTTTCAATCCTTAACTGAAATGTCATTGGAATTTTTGATGGGAATTGCATTAAAACATGGTAGGCTACTTGTTTGATAAGGCATCCATTTGAGATGATCAAGTGGTTTTGTCTTTGCTTCTGTTAATGTGGTTTATTACGTTTATTGATTTTCGTATGTTGAACCACCCTGCATCCCTGGGATGAAGCCTACTTGGTCGTGGTGAATAATCTTTTTGATGTGTTTTTCGGTTTGCCATTATTTTGTTGAGGATTTTTGCATCAATGTTCATTAAGGAGATTGGCCTATAGTTCTCCTTTTTGGAGGTGTCTTTGCCTGGTTTTGGGATAAGTGTAATACTGGCTTCATAAAATGTGTTTGGCAGTTTTCCTTCCCTTTCTATTTCATGGAACAGTTTAAGGAGGGTTGGTATCAGTTCTTCTTTAAAGGTCTGATAGAATTCAGCTTAGAATCCATCAGGTCCTGGACTTTTCTTTTTGGGGAGACTCTTGATTGCTGCTTCAATTTCATTTTGTGTTATAGGTCTATTCAGGTGATTAATTTCCTCTTGGTTCAGTTTTGGATGATCATATGTATCTAGAAATCTGTCCATTTCTTTTAGATTTTCAAATTTATTTGAATATAGGTTCTCAAAGTAGTCTCTGATGATTTCCTGGACTTCCATGGTGTTTGTTGTTATCTCCCCTTTTGCATTCCTGATTCTACTAATTTGGGTTTTTTCTCTCCTCATTTTAGTCAGGTTTGCCAGGGGTCTATCGATCTTGTTTATTTTTTCAAAGAACCAACTTTTTGTTTCATTAATTCTTTGTATGGTTTTTTTGGTTTCTATTTCTTGATTTCAGCTCTTATTTTTATTATTTCTCTCCTTCTATTTGTTTTGGGATTTGCTTGTTCTTGTTTTTCTAGGAGTTTGAGATGTATCATTAGGTCATTGATTTGGGATCTTTCAATCTTTTTAATATATGCACTCATGGCTATAAACTTTCCTCTCAAGACTGCCTTAGCTGTGTCCCATAGGTTCCGGTAGGTTGTGTTTTCATTTTCATTGACTTCCAGGAACTTTTTAATTTCCTCTTTATTCATCGATGATCCATTCTTCATTAAGTAATGAGTTATTTAGTTTCCAGCTGTTTGCTTTTTTGTCTTTACTTTTGTTGTTGAGTTCTACTTTTACTGCATTGTGATCAGATAGTATGCACGGTATTATTTCTATTTTCTTATATTTGCTGAGGCTTGCTTTGTGCCCTAGGATATGATCTATTTTGGAGAAGGTTCCATGGGCTGCTGAGAAGAATGTATATTGTGTAGAAGTTGGATGAAATGTTCTGTAGACATCAACTAGGTCCATTTGATCTATTGCATATTTTAGATCTTGGATTTCTTTATTGAGTTTTTGTTTGGATGACCTGTCTATTGATGATAATGTCACAGATACATTCTTGAGGAAGCCATGCCAAGGCTTTTCTGGGAAATTATTAATTAAGAAGATGTGCAACTTTGTAATTATCATTTCAAGCCAGCTCCTAGACATGTTTCTGTCACCACTGTGACTTTAGGCTCTCTTTCCTGTTTTTTCCCTAGGCTTGAAATAATGTTTAACAGGGCGTGATGAGAATTAAATGGCTGTGGTGAGCAGAAATGTGACCTAACAAGGATACAAAGGATAGCAAGCGCTCAGTCCATGTCATAGTTCCCAGAGAGTATGACAGGAAGCAGAGAGCACAGCCTGTGAGGCAGGGTGCTGTGCCAGGGCTGAGACCCTGTGGTGCTACACTTCTCTTTGCTTACAGATAATATAAAAATGGCATGAGAAGAAAAGAGAGAGAAAGAGAGAGCCACCCTCCACAGCTGAGTGGTGTTCCCAGTTGAGGATCTTCAGACTAGGGCTTTATTTTACTTCATTTCATTTCTTTTTTTTTTATGATACAGGGGTTTGAACTCAGGGCCTGTCACTTACTAGTCAGGCGATCTACCACTTAAGCCACTCTGCCCATCCTGTTATGTGTTGAGTATTTTCAAGATAGGGTCTTGAGAATTGTTTGCCTGGGCTGACTTCAAACCACAATCCTCCTGATCTCTGCTTCCTGAGTAGCTAGGATTACAGGCATGAGCCACCAGCACCAAGCTTAGAGGCTAGGGTTTTATCCTGCTGCTTAAAGTGGGTTTTGAGCTTTACTAATAGAATCCACCCAAAAATTGCACTGCACCTTGTTCTCCCACACTTACTGAGGGGTACGTACTGTCTGTACCTCCAAATCATGCTTATCTACTACCTGGACCTTCTATTGATGATCACTTGAGTCCCTCTGGAAGTGTTTTTGCAATATCAAAAGCCTTTTTTAAAGTTAAGACTAAGTACAGAAACTGTTATGGCCACCCATGCCAGGTTTGAGCATCTGTCTACAACACAACATAATCCATGCTACAAACATGGCAGGAACATGAAAGGACAAAACAGTCTTTCTGTGGCCTTTGGTCTGATTAAGCAGTACAGTCCTTCTGGACAGAAGCAGGACCCATATGTCTAGCACAGGTGGAGAGAATAAAAGGACGATTAGATTTTAAAAATTATTAGAATGAAATTGACCATCTTCTCCTGAATCCATGGACTGGGTCATTCAGATACAGTGCTCATTTTCCATTCTTCAGAAGAGCAGGCTGGTCCTGCCTCTGTCAGGTCACAGACTGCTGTCTCTTTCAGGAGTTAATGAGTAGAAGCACAGGAAACAGGAAAGATGTTATTTATAGGGACCTTGTGTTGCTTAACATTCTCAAGGAATTAAGGATTATTAAAGCTTAGTCTTAAGAATAAATAAGGTTGACATTCTTTTTTATACTAACTGAATTAATAGTCAGATCAGGAAACATTGCCCCTCGGAGTCTTAGTGTACAATGTCCATGTCATCGACCTGACTTGGATTCATTGAGTTTATTCTCTGTGACTCATTTCAGTCTCATTTCAGTCTGAAAGTTACAGGACACGCTTTGATTGATAATACAGACAATGTTATGCTCTTGGGTGGCTTACTGTCTTGCAGACCTGAGGAACAAATGGCACCTGGTGATCGACCGCCTCACTGTGCTCTTCTTAAAGTTCCTGGAGTATTTCCACAAGCTGCAGGTGTTCGTATGGTGGATCCTGGAGCTGCACATCATCAAAATTGTTTCATCATATATCATCTGGGTTTCTGTGAAAGAGGCAAGTGAACTTTTGTGGTACTGTCGGGCTGAATGGAGCCACAGTGGGCCGTCATTTTCCTTTTCTACCTGCCGTGATGTGTTTTCATGCAATACCCATTACATTAGGGTATCAAGGCTCTAAGATAGGGTGTGTGCTTAGACCCATGAAAGATCTAAGGCCAGTGGAACTAGGAAGAGGGAAAGTACAGAAGACAAGGTCTTGTGGCTTCGTTTCTTGTTGGCTTGGCCCTGTTGCAAAGTTGCTTATTTTCATCTAGTCCTTGTTAAAGCACCTGGGAATGGACCTCTTTTTAGACCATTTGAGGAATCTATCTCCCTCAGTTCTCTTTAAGGAAAACAGTAATGTTCCAGTTTATGTTACCAGGAGTAAGCTCAAGTCCTGAAATCTAATAAAATCTTCACTGGGCTTACCCTGTTTATTATTGGATTTTTTGAGACAAGACACAAAGTTTTCAACGCCACTTCTTTTTGTGTCCCAAAACAGCTCCTACAATTTACCCCTGGAACTGAGCCACTGCCCCACATCTGGCTTACCTTCCGATGACTAACAGATCCCCAGCTTCCCTCCTCATCTTTTCTCATCTATCTTGTCTTCCATAAAGCGACCAGTCTTCCCTGGGTGTAAATGGGATGATGGCAGTCCTCAAAATGTCACCACGATTCTCTCATCTTCACAGTCATATGGTGGGCCACCCTCAGGATCTAGCCTTAAGGACAGGGGTGGCTTCCAAAATCCTCTAAAGGCTTCAGGTCACACTTCCTTCACACAGAACCTCTTGCTTCTCCAAGGATGTGCAGCCCTGTGTTACCCTCACCTGTAAGGACTTGGACTGTATTTCCTTCTGCGTGCCTATCTCCTGTTTATGCTTTTGGTCTCAATTCAGATCCAACATCCTCCAGGCCATCTCCTCTCACCCTGGATTAGGTGACCATAACAATACAGTCACCCCAGGCAGGATTTCCCAGTGCACCACTCTTTGTGTCTCTAGAACAGTGGACTCCTCATGGGTGTGAGGACTTAATAAAAATTACCATATTTTCTTCTTTTTCCCCACCACTTAGAAAGTGAAAATTTCTACCTAAATTAATTGTATTCAATTGTTTTTATACTCAGTGCCCTAAATGCATAATTAAAGAAATAGCAAAGAGGCTAATTTCAGAGTGTTTTAATAAGATTTACTTTTTACCATCCAAACTGACATGACACTTGATGACTATAGGAAAAGAGTCAGTTCATTGATCAAAATGTTTGGTGGAAAATACAACACTTAATGTGATTACAAGCACTTTATAATTTACAGAGCACATTCACATACAGCATTTCTTTCATCCTCAATTAATTCTGTAAAGCCACTCTTCTTTCCCTGGTATTTCAGCACTTAATTCTGAGACATTCCTTGCCTTGGAGAGTGACAAGTAGTTCAGGATGAGAGTAGCAGGTAACAAATTGCACAAATACTGAGTCAGTCTTCACACTTTCTTATCTTATGGTTTTGTAAGCCGAATAGGTAATCTTACCTCCTGTGGTCCTTAAAGCTTTGCACTTGGCACATGGTCAATTTTACGACTAGTGCATGCTGTATTTTTTCACCTGATAGTGTTAAATGTCCCTAGGATAATATTATTTTAACAATACTCAGTATGTTCCGTGGCTGAATAAGACAGTGATGCTTCTAAATCATTCAAGAAACTATTAGCTTTGGAGAATCACCAGACCCAGGGACATCTCCTTGATTGGAAATTCACATGCTGCCCAAAGCCAACATGTTCAAGTTGAGTTCATTGCCCTCCTTCTTTAAACGGGCTCCCCTCTCAGGATTTTCTCTCTCAGCAATGACACCCCTCCAACCTCCAAACCAATCAGCCATCAAATCCGCTAATTTTACTTTCCACTTGAATCGATATGTCTTCTATAGTGCAGCCATGGAACCACAGCGCCTCAATGCAGCCATGGAATCCCCATCTCCTTGCTACTGCACCAGTGTGAAAGCTGGTTTCTGACCTCCAGTCTAGTCCCAACATTGCAACCTCCTTTCTTCCTTTACATTTATGTAAATAAGATGCAGCTCTTACCTTCAGACTCCCTGGCAGGCCCCTTGTGGATCTCTGTTTCTTACAGAATGGGTTCAGACCCCATCACATGGTTCATAGGAGATCCATCAAAACTTGACTCCTGACTCCATCTTCACCATTGCAGCATTTTATACTTCCAACTCTTGACATTTCCAATGACAATTGGAAATAGCAATTCCCTGTTCTCACCATGCTTTTCCATACCTTCTTGCCTTTGACCCTGCACCTTTGACCTGGGATTCACTTCTTACTTTCTGCAGCTGCAGCTGGTTCAGCTCTTGTGAACTCCCTCATTGGAGTAAAGGCTCCACTGGATGCTCTCCCAGGAACCTGTACACATCTGTAACTTAGCTACTGCTACACTGTATTGACATTACCTGGTCATATGTTTGTCTTCCATATGAGACCTAATAGTGTCCTGAAGACCATAACTCACTCACCTCAGTCCTCCAAGTACCTTGAGCAATGCCTAGCACGTGCTAAGAACTCAACCAACTATTGCTGAAGTGAAGAAATCAAGTCATCCTGTCTTGTGGATGTGATGCTGTGTCATGTATTTTTGTCCCCATTTCTGATTTTATGTTTGCAGGTGTCTCTGTTCAACTATGTGTTTTTGATTTCTTGGGCTTTTGCTCTGCCATATGCCAAGCTCCGCCGTGTGGCCTCAAGTGTCTGCACTGTGTGGACGTGCGTGATCATCGTCTGCAAAATGTTGTACCAGCTTCAGACGATTAAGCCAGAGAACTTCTCTGTCAACTGCTCCTTGGTGAGCCTCAGGGATGGGGGACCTTCCTAGTTGTCCTTTAAGGGATCGAGGCAGATATTTGGAGAGGTTACACCTCCAAGCACATTCTACCTAGCATATAGGTCACCTTATCCAGGTCAGCTCTATTCGGGCCCTGGGTGCTGTACTTAAGTCTGCTCTCAAGCTGAGATGCCTCACTTGAAATGGGCCTCCCTATCCCAGTGAGGTTCGCGTAGCCAAAGCCGAAAGTGGACAGTGTGAACTCTTCCAATGCAGCAAGCCATTTCACTCCATTTTCTCTTTTTTTCAGCCAAATGAAAATCAAACCAACATACCCCTTCGTGAGCTGAACAAGTCTCTGCTCTACAGTGCGCCTGTTGATCCAACAGAGTGGGTCGGGCTGAGGAAGTCTTCTCCTCTGCTTGTCTACCTGAGGGTAATGGCTGTGTTGCACCTAGCTGAGGTCACCATATAGCTGTAGCTTGCAACCTTTTGAAGCTCTTGATATAAACTTCATCTTCTAATGTGCTGTTTAGAACCACTCTTGCACCAACTGGCTGACTATTAAAGTCAGCATCACATTGCACTGAAGAGAAGTTGACAAAGCAGTCTGAGCTTGGTTGAATAAAATACAACAAATTGCTCCCCATCCCACCATATAACCATTACAGGAACATGGTGGATGGATATGTCGGAACTGAAACACATCCAACGTATATTGTTAATTTTTTTTTAAATAACAAATTTGAAGACACTGTGCATGGTGTTATCTCTTCTAGACATAAGGAAAATACTGGATAAAATATGCCAAATGATAAATAGTGAAATATAATAGTATTAATGAGAAATTTTTACTGTCTGCATTCTGTTTCTTTATATTTTTAATAAAGAGCACAGATTACATTTATAAGTAATAAAATGAAGCATATCTATGCAAAATATACTTTGCAAATAGTCATAGAAACATAATGGAAACAAAATAATTTAGATCATTTTCACATTTTACTTTGATGCATCTGGGACGTTTAAATATCTATGTATCCCATTTTTGTGCAGTTTCCACTTTTTCTTCATGTAGTAAATATTTCTGTAATGTTTTCTGCTACACATAGCTGTTAGAAGGATGAAGCAAATTATTATTTGAAATTGGTGATTAATGCCTGTATCTGATTCCACACATGTTAATTCTTTTCATCGTTCCTGTTATTCCAACTATTACTATTTGCCATCATGAGCACGCTTCTCAATTTGCTTCTTTTTTCTGGCCAGATCTTAGAGGTGTTAAAATCCTCCCTCTAACTTGGGCCCCACTCCTCCATGTAGCATGTCCCAGGATTTTGTGCACTGTTTGCCCTTATAGCTGCAACAAGGTTACACCACACCCCCAGGTAACCGGCCTCTGCTTCCTTGGTATGTGGAGGATACTTCCAAGTAAGTGGGAGCAACCACAGTCTTGTATCTAGAAAGTCTAGATTCTGTCATCATGGCAACTTCTCTGATCTCCATAAGTGAGAAAACCCCATAATAAATAAGACAGGGAGATGAGCCTTGTGCTCAATACTATAGTGAATGAGTGTGGGATTATAGAAGACATTGTCCTTTTTGACATCAACTATTAAATACAATAGTTTATTATGGGGATTCGTTAAAATGACCAAAGGATAAAGAGTTTGGTATACCCCATTGTGTTTTCTTGCTTATTCTTTGTAGAACAATCTTCTAATGCTGGCTATTCTGGCTTTTGAAGTTACCATTTACCGCCATCAGGAATACTACAGGAGCCGAAATAACCTTACAGCTCCCGTATCTAAAACCATCTTTCATGACATTACAAGAATGCATTTAGATGATGGACTTATTAATTGTGCCAAATATTTCATAAACTACTTCTTCTACAAGTTTGGTCTGGAGGTAAGTTTTCTTGCCAATATGCTGTATTTCTCTTTTTCATGAAAAGTCAAATAGTTCTTTGGACCAGCTTGCCCTGGAGTCTCATCATTCTCTTTGAGCCGTGAAGTCTGACCCTTTGAGGTTCACTGAGGTTCTGCTGGGACTTTTCCCAGCTCAGAAGCCCATGCCCCCCACTCCAGCAGTGCGCTTAGCCTCTCTGGGTCTCAGAGCCACCTAAACATGCAGATATCAGTTATGTTAGCTTCATATTAAGAATACCATGTCACTAGCCTTTCTCTTGGTGTGTTCTCAAAGTGTAACCTGCAGCCACAGTGAAGGCTGCCATGTGACATGATCATGTCAGTGCCTGTCTTTACCTAAGCAATTTGCATTGATGTTTCCTGAGGACCTCATGCCTGTCTTTCTCCTCACTGTTTGAGGTGGCTACTATGACAATGACGTAGTCACTCTTGGAAGTAACCTGTGCAGTATTAGAAACACAAAAGAGCAAGCCTCTAGGATTGAGGAATGCAGGGCTCTGCCCCTGCATGGGCAGGACACCTGACACCACCCCCCTTCCCTGCAAACCTGACTCTTTTGCCCCTTGTCATCCTTACATAGACCTGTTTCCTAATGTCAGTGAACGTCATTGGTCAGCGAATGGATTTCTATGCCATGATACATGCCTGCTGGCTCATTGCTGTCTTGTATCGACGCAGAAGAAAAGCCATTGCAGAGGTCTGGCCCAAGTACTGCTGCTTCCTGGCATGCATCATCACCTTCCAGTACTTCATCTGCATCGGCATCCCACCTGCCCCCTGCCGAGGTGAGTGGGCTACTGGGTGACCTTTTCCCTTAGGGGAAACCATGAAGCCAGCAGTGAGTGGCTGCTGGAGAACTGATCTTACCATTTGCCCTCCCCCTGCCCCTCAGATTACCCGTGGAGGTTCAAGGGCGCCAACTTCAATGACAACATCATCAAGTGGCTATACTTCCCCGATTTCATCGTGCGGCCCAACCCTGTGTTTCTGGTCTGTAAGTGTTTCTGCTGGGGGCAAGGACATTGGGATTTGGGTTTGTATTTGCTTGTTATCCTTCCAGTGTCAGGCATTAGTTGACTGGACTTCACCATTGTATAAAGGCTTGTCTGTGCATTAATATTGCAGATCATTAACTGCTTCTATTTGCTCTGTTAAATTCACAAAATCAATAAACTAACACTGAAGTACACTTTCAGTTGCAGAACCTCTCCTCCCAATACCTGCTCCCCCCCAACATATCTACACACTCACATTTTCAGAGGTAGCAGAGAGGGCGGCTTTGTGTGTTGTAGGTTGGTTTCCAGCTGCCTTGACAGGCAGACCAAAATGAAAGACAGAGCTATGGCAGCGAGGGAGAGGCCACTGGATTTCAGTGACAGAAAAGCTGGGCTGCAGGCCAGAGCCCTCCAGGCAGCTGGTGAGAGGAAGGTTGGAGCAGCCTCTTCCCCCAAGAAAGTAGGAGTGCTAGGTGTGACAGAAAACTCCAGAGTTTTAATCTTAAGCCAAGGAAGCAATCTGTGGTCCAGCTGTGGGATGCCTGGCCTGAGGGCCCCTCGGGGCAGCTCTCAGAGGTGTTCTTCTCCCTTCACAAACCATCCATGTTGTCCACTTGCTCTCTGCCACCTTGGGGATGGAGGTGCCCTGGGAACTCTATTTGGTTATGAATATAAAGAGAGATGGGAAGATTCAAAGAAATTAGAAATGTGGCATCTGCCACAGGGGACAGGACAAAGACAAAGATGGCATCAGTGCTCCAGTGGCTTCCTAAAACCTGGTGGGAGATAAGTGTCAGTGCAGTGTCCCCAGACAGAGTCATGAAGACTAGAAGTGAGCACCTGACACTGGCCTCACTAGTACACTGACAAACCCAGACTCCCCACGGGCTCCTCTCCCCACCCCTGGCATGTCTGTGACCATTTGAGACGTGTACTCCCCTCAGGAGGTGGGGCCATCTCATGTTGTATGTGGCCTTTGGGACCCCAGAAGAGCACGGGCACGTGGATGACCTCCCTCTGTCTTTCTAGATGACTTCATGCTGCTCTTGTGTGCCTCCTTACAACGGCAGATTTTTGAGGATGAAAATAAGGCTGCTGTACGCATCATGGCAGGGGACAATGTGGAGATTTGCATGAGCCTCGATGCGGCCTCATTCAGCCAGCATAACCCTGTCCCCGACTTCATTCACTGCAGGTAACAGGGGTTCTGTGCCTCCAGCCAGCTCCCCAAGCTTTCCAACAGATTGCTGTCTACTGCACACATCTCTGTACACTTGGGAAGTCTGAGACAGGGAAAGAGCAGCTCAGACTGACAAGTGAGGGGCAGAGGCTCAGTAGCCCACGGCTGAGCCCCTAAGGCCTGGTTCATGTCAGTGCCAGTCACTGGGCACTACCTTTAATGGCCTTAATGTCCTCCTTTTCTTCAAACAAAAACTGGCCAGTCAGCTCTCCAGAAGAGCCCTAAACCTATCTCCATCCTCATTTTAAATTCTTCCTCTTCTCCTTCCTCTCCTCCCTCACCCTTCTTCTTCTTGTGTATGTGTGTGTATGTGCGTGTGTGGGGGGGGGCAGGGGGGCTTGGGATTTAACTCAAGATTTTGTGCTTGCTAGATAGGTGCTCTGCCACTTGAGCCACATCCATGACCTTTTTTGCTTCAGTTATTTTTCTGATAGGGTCTCACATTTTACCCATGGCCAGCTTCAGACCACAATCTTCCTATTTTTCATCTGCATAGTTGAGATTACAGACACGAACCACCATCTCTGACTTGTTTGTTGAAACGGGATCTCGCTAATTTTTTTCCACAGATTGGCCTCAAACCTCAGTCCTCCTATCTCAGCATCCAAGGAGCTCATACCACAAGCATGCACCACCACTCCTGGCCAATCCATTCCATTCCTTTCTTCCTCTCTCTCCTGTTCCCTCCATCCTTCTTTTTTATCCCTCATCCCTTCTCCTTATCTTTCTTCCTCACCCACCCCACCAGTTTCTCATCATCATCCCTGTCCTTTCTTCTCACCGCATCTTTTGTCCTTCCTCCTCATCCTGCCCCTCCTCCTCTTCTGCATGCTCAGGGGACTGAGGAGTGAGGGAGGGGCTCAAAGATACCCTGTGCTGGTTCCCTCCTGCAGTGCCTCCTCTGGGGCCTTGCATGGGCTGTTGTAGCACTCATTCTCTTCCCTCTCCTGCAATCAGATGACACCTGGCCTTGCTATCCTGATCATCTCCTGGAAGGTGTTGGTTTAAATTTGCTCAGTTTCTCTCTGTGCCTTCCTCCTGTACTCTCTGATTATCCACACTGCTCTTACCACACACACATACACACACACACACACACACACACACACACACACACACACACACACACACACACACACACACACGGCCAAAGGCCTGTCCACTGCTCTGCAATCAGCTCTCTCCATACCTGAAATCCTTTAAGACTTCACTCAGCCATAGCTGCCTTGTCTGACAGTGCTGGTGTGACCTGTCATATCCCCTTACTATGTGTGACTTGGGCCTAATTTCCTGACCTCTAAGGTCAGGTTACTCTCCTCTCCTGCTGAGGTGAGGTGGGGAGAGGATCCTGTGTTAGTGTGAGGTCATGGGAGAGGCCACTAGATTAGAGAATCCCATTAGGAGGTCTTAATGGAGCCTCCCAGAGATTTCTACATGGTACACAGCTCCTTCCACCTGGAACCGTTATTTTAAGAACAGGTTCTAGTGACCGTGCATGTGACCAGTGTTTTCTAGGTGTCAGGCTCTGCTCCAGGTACTTTGCATATAGTGAGCCATTTTATCCCACAGATCCCCTGTGTGGGTAATATTATCTTCCCTGTTTGTACAGAAGGAAACTGCAGGGAAGACAGGAGGCATAAGTGGTAGCAGGAGTTGAACCCAGTTCAAACAGGTATAAGGGAACCTCAGAAGCTCAGTTATGAATAAATTTGGTTCAAAGTGATATGCTTCTTAAGCAAAATAAGTCAGACTCAAAAAGACTAATAGCACATGTTTTCTTTCATATGTAGAATCCTGAGGCTTTTTCTTTTTTTTAAAGACATGAAAGTAGAAAGGAGGGATATTTGAAAAGAGGAAAGAGACCAGTGGGAGAGGGAAGGAGCACAAGAGAGGGTGCTAGGGGAGAGAATTTGATCAAAGTATATCATATACATGTATGAAAAGGTCATAAGGAAACCCGTTATTTTGCACAATTAAAATAAGCTAATAAAAATGTCAGCATACGGACTTACAGATTCTTTTTGTGAGATGGATCTAAGGCAGGGCTTCCAGTTTTCTCCAGTCTCTGTAATGCTCAAGAGAAAAACCAGCCCAGCAAGACTTTTTCCCTGTTGCAAAGAGAAAAAATAAGAACCTTGCAGTATACTAATGAAAAATCCAAAGACCACCTCCAATGAAGACTGTCTGCACCACTGATTTTCAAAGCTGGATCTTTTTAGAAATTGGCTATTTTTAGATCTGTTTGTCAATTAAGAATCCCAGAAAGTGAGCCCTCAGCCACCTCTGATGGGGAGTAGACTGTCATCCACCCTGCAGTGACATAAAAAGCCTTGAGCAGGCTCAGTCACTAGAAGTACAGTCCTCCTCTGTTTAGGAAATCCAGGAAGGAGTAAAAGGTTTCAGAAAAAAATTCATAGAATATTTTACCTGCTTTCTTTTTAAAAAATAAAGGTCAGGACTGGCAGAGTGGCTCAAGAGATAGAACGCCTTCCTACCAACATGAAGTCCTAATTTCAAACCCCAGTACCACCAATAAATAAATAAATAAAATAAAAAATAATGTTGAAAGCTTCCCTTATCTGAGAACTGTGTCTTCATCCCATGACTCCCTTCCTAATAATGCCAGAGAGGTTAGGTGCAACATGGTTTTTATTGGGAATTATTTATTAACTTCCTACAAAATACCAACTTCTTAATCATGGGAGATTATTTATTAACTTCTTACAAAATACCAACTTCTTAATCAAAGAACAAATCCTGAATTGGTTCTCCTCTGTTTCTCCACAAACCTGGGAAGGGAAACATCCAAAGCAAAACTCCCAAAACAACCTGTAATCAAGCAAATGCAGGAAGCCTTAGCCTGCAGTAGAACTGCTGAAATGGCCCAGGCTCTAAAATTGCAGAGGAAGACAAAAGACCCAACTCCCCTCTCACCTTCCATCACGAAGGCTAATGGGGAGAGATGGCACAAGAGGAATCCTGGCTCAGCCCGGGGACATCCAAAACAGAGTATTAGAAAGGGTCCAAAGCCAGTCACGTCAGTGTCTACGCTGTTCCCATCCAAGAGGAGCCATTTCTTATCTCTAGTAAAACCTTTGTGTGTAATATGGCTTTGTTTTAATCTGTCAGTTTCTAGTTCCTTGAAAGGAATCCATTGCTAACTTTTTTTCTTGTAGCAGGAAGGCATCTGAGTCTTAGAATTTCTTTTGCAATTATTCATTGCCTCTCATAGAAAGACAAAGAGGAATTTTGAGTTCTCAAGTGGGAAGCAGAAAATGTTGCTGTTTGTGAGAGATGTGAGTGAACTACAATGATGGTGAGCAGACAGACGCACAGAGTTTTCCCACTTTTTATCTGTTGTTCCTCATCCTGTGTGTGCTTCCTATAAAGCAGGCAGTGTGAGGTGAAGGATGAATACAGAGCTCCAGTGTGGTTTGCAAAATACTTTCACAGAGTCCAACATGGTTTCCTCATTGGCTTCTTGTTGGCTCTGTTCTTGTCTTTATTTTGGGCTTTTCTTTTCCAGATCTTATTTGGACATGTCCAAAGTGGTGGTCTTCAGCTACCTCTTCTGGTTTGTCCTTACTATCATCTTCATCACTGGAACCACCAGGATCAGCATATTCTGCATGGGTTATTTGGTGGCCTGTTTCTATTTCCTGCTCTTTGGGGGTGATCTGCTACTGAAACCCATCAAGAGCATCCTGCGCTACTGGGACTGGCTGATTGCATACAACGTTTTTGTGATTACAATGAAAAATATCCTGTCGGTAAGTGGATTCCGCTATATAACACACTTGTGGTTTCAGTGTATGGGTAAACAGTCCACTCAGTGGTCATTAAAAGCCTTGTGCCTCTCACGTAACTCTTAAAAAAGCCCAAATAATGCTCAAAATCCGGATTCAAATGACTGTTCATAACTCTTCATTTTGACATATTTGGCAGAGTCCTTTCTACTCATTTCCACCACTCAAGGTCACATGATGAAAAGATACCTATTCAAAGGAATAAATTCTAATTAAAATCCCAACCCTTCTGAAGAACAATTTGTCATCACTCACAGCACAAATTCAGAGGTGACCCTTTGATAAGCTGAATGAGAGCCACTGACTCTTTTCAAAGTTATTCTGTGTTTGCAAAAAGTCAACTCTTTTGCCTAGAAAGAATTGCAGAAGTATGATATAATTGAGCATAGTTCTCTAGAACACTGTGTTGGGGAGGGAATGAGGTGGAGTGACAAATGATGCAAGAGCTATTTGTGTCCCAGAGATGTAGTGGACCAGGAGGGAATTCAGCATTATGGCTGCTTCTGAGCAGATATCCAGACTAGGACACAGCTAAAGCTGTGGGGGGGGGGTGGGGCGGGGTAGCTAAGGAACAAAACACGTGAACACCTGTGCTGTGCTCCTCCCCTGACATGAGCCCTCATTCATGCTGCCCAGAAATAATCCCACAGCCCAAGGACAGCCCCTGAGTTACTTAATATGGCAGAGCATTGATCAACAACCAAAAAAAAAAAAGCCATTACCTGTATGTGTTGGTTAATACTAACCACTTCAGGATTTGAATTTGGCATAAAAATAGTGAGAAATTCATTGTTCTAAGATAATCACATACCAATCAACAAAAAAGATTTCTTTACCCACGGAATTGGCCAAACAATCTCAAAAAAATAATCTTCTCTTGGTGTCCTTCAGGACTGGTGTCAGGACCCAGCTTTTCAGATGGTCACCTCCCTTGCATAAAATGGTGTAGCATTTACATATAACCTGTGCACATCTCTTCTCCCATATAACTTTAAGACATCTCTAGATCACTTGTAATACCCAGTATGACGTAAATGTTATGCAAACAGTTGTTTTACTGCATTATTTAAGGGATAGTAATCAACACAAGTCTGTGCAGGTTCGGTTCAGATGCAATGCTTTTTCCAATCTTTTCTAAGGTTGGTTGAGTCCCAGGATGCAGAACCCATGGGTGCTGGGGCCAACTATATTTTGCTGTTTTTCTGAGAACTCTGCCTACAGCTGAGATCTGGGGTGATCTCCTGAAGGGGCTGTATAGGTTTCCGTTCTCTGACCTGTGAGAAAATAGTTCTACCAAAACTGAAGTCCCAGGTCTCACTGGAATGTTGTCTATCCTGTCCTTGAAACCTGTCATATACATTTTATGACTACTGCTTATTATTTTGGGGAGACCCCTTTTTTGTTTATCTTGGCAAGTTTGTTGCGTTACTTTCCTTTAGAGGTCTATGTTTCATTTCTTTAGAAATTTGTCTTTAGGAATGCTTCTCTGTTTCTTTTATCCAAAACAAAGTTACTTCTGCCATTTGTTTCCTTCATATTCCCAGAGCTATTTCTGCCATTTATTCCCCATCACATTAGGGTGTGCCTATTTGTAGAGTTGGGGCTGGCCGACAACCTCTTTGTAAAGAGAAGTGCTTCCTTGTGCAGAAGTGTCACACTGAAGACCCTCTCCTCATTGGGTCTGATTTTCCCCAGGAATTTGCATTGTTCTCTAAAAAGTCAATGCACACCTACACAGTGACTGCAGTTTTAAGTTGATGGGTCCCTTCTGTAATCATTGGCACCAGGTCCTTGTGAATTCTTGCACATGTTGGGGGACACAAGACACCAAACTTGTTTTCTGGATGCCAAGATTGAGAATTTACCCTTCTCATTTGTTTTTCAGATAGGAGCATGTGGATACATCGGAACATTGGTTAAAAATAGCTGCTGGCTGATCCAAGCTTTCAGCCTGGCCTGCACAGTCAAAGGCTATAAAATGCGTAAGTATGAGAGACACGTTTGGGATTGGAAAGGTAGACAGGAAGGACAGTTGTATTGTTCTAATTAAATAACTGTGCCAAAACACATAAAGAAAAGAAATCAAAGTAGGGTCAATGGAAACTTTAGAACTGTAGTACATTGTGAACCATTGCTGATAACATGAGGTGCCTCCCTACTCTGAGCGTCTTTGATCCTTTTCTAGAAATTTCCTAAACTCCAGCAGGTCTGGGGTTGGGTGTACTGCAGTAGTAAATCCCCTTACTTTTTCTGGTTATAATTCAGATGTATTCCAGATGCCCCTCAAAGCTGTATTTGTTCCAGTTAGAATCTTGGGGTGGGCTGTGGTGGTACACGCCTGTTATCCCAGCTACTGGGGAGGCCATGACAGGATGATCTCCAGTTCAAGGCCATCCTGGGCAAAGTTATCAAGACCCTATCTTAAAAACAAAATACGAACAAAAAGCCTGGGGAAGTGGCTCAAGTGGCCTAGCCAACGTGAGGCCCTGAGTTCAGTCCCCAGTACTGGGAAAAAGAATGTTTGCCCTCAGGGTAACTCAGACTTCCAGGTCTCTTCTCCTCTGGAAGTTCAGGGAGCTTCAAACTTGGCAAAACAGTTGGGAGGAGCCCCAGTGTTTCTGGAATTGACCTGTTTCTGCCACCTGCCTCTTGCACCAGAACTGAGGGCGAATACACGTGGTCCTCCATGGTGCACAGAAAGGGGCTACTTAGCCACATGCTCTCCCCAACATGGCTGTAATTCAGGTTGCATGTGACTGATAAGCCATCACCTACAAACTGGTTTTATGTAGGATAATATGTGCCACCCACGCCCCTTCTACCAGGCCACACTGTGCCATTGTCACACTGTACTTATCCCTGGGTAGGTTTCACTCCTGGAACAGGTATTGTCTTTTGTTTCAAAGTGTTTCCTCTATCATTGGAACATTATTTCTCCATGCACCTTGTTGGGAGTTCCCAAAGAGAAATACTCAAAGGCCTCCTGGTGCCTCAGTGGTCCACCTTGTGAGTCCATGTCAACATTGAACTTGAAGCGTGTAGCCTCACTTATAAGATAATCTTCTTGTGGATTACTTAGTGTGTCAGAATGATGCTCTGCGACTCCCAGGTTTCTGTCTTTGTAAAGCAACAAGGGATGGAGGTTCATTTCACTTTAGCTTTTACCTGCTTTGTCACCACAGCTGATGAGGACTCATCCTGCAAGCTGCCCAGTGGGGAGGCAGGCATCATCTGGGACAGTATCTGCTTTGCCTTCCTCCTACTGCAGAGGAGAGTCTTCATGAGTTACTACTTCCTGCATGTTGTGGCAGACATAAAAGCCTCACAGATCCTTGCCTCAAGGTGGGTCAGGCTGTGGACTCTGGTTGGCTTTCTTAGGAAACTTGCACAATGCTTTCTGTCTAAGCTTGCTTGGAGAACCTGCAAGAAATTCAGAAATCCCTTCCAGGAAATCAGCCCAAGAAGAAAGCACCAGGCCTTTAAGATTTATTTATTTATTTATTTAATTTTTTTAAATTTAATTTTTTTATTATTCATATGTGCATATAATACTTAGGTCATTTCTCCCCCCTGGCCCCACCCCCTCCCTTGCCACCCACTCCGCCCCCTCCCTCTCCCCTCCACCCCCTCAATACCCAGCAGAAACTATTTTGCCCTTATCTCTAATTTTGTTGAAGAGAGAGTATAAACTATATTACAAGGCCTTTAAGATTTAAAGTAGAATACTAACAAGAAAGTCTGCAGCAGCGTGCAACACTTCGTATGGACCTGGGGCATAAAGGCACACAGGCACACTGAAGCCTCTCAACACAAACTCCTTACAGGCTTGTCTGGCCTATAGTCAAAATAGTAACACAGTAATATGGGCCATAGAGTTTAGAACATCTTACTTCTCCTTGCTTCTGTTTTAAAAAGAAAGTCCTGACAGTGGTGAAAAACATTATTATAATCTATCATTTTGCAGATCTTAAATGGAGAAGTAGTATGTTATTCCAACCTTACTCTAAGGAATTCACAAAACTTAATAACAACAAAAACAATCCAATTAAAACAATGGGCAAGCCAGGCACCCATGGCTCACACCTGTAATACTAGCTACTCAGGAGGCAGAGATCAGCAGGATTGCAGTTCAAAGCCAGCTCAGGCAAATAGTTCCACAAGACCCTATCTCGAAAAAACCATCACAAAAAAATGGCTGGTAGAGTGGCTCAAGGTGAAGGCCCTGAGTTTAAGCCCCAGTTTCATTAAAAAAATTTTTTAATGGTTAAATGATCCGAATAGACATTTCTTAAAAGAAAATATATAAATGGGGGCTGGAGTGTAGCTCAGTGTTAGAGCACCTGCAGCATTCACAGAGTCTTGAGTTCAATCCCAAGCATGACAAAAAAGTTATACAAATATCCAATAAATATATGAAACAATGCTTACCATCACTAATAATCAGCAAAATGCAAATTACAATGAGGTACCACTTCACTCCCATCAGATTGGCTGCTATTTAAAAAAATCAAAAAATAAATGCTGGTGAAGATGTGGTGAGAAGGGAGCCCTTACTCACTGTTCGTGGGGATGTAAATTAATCGGCCATTATGGAGACCAGTATGGAGGCTTCTCGAGAGCTCAAAATTGAGCCTTCACACAATCCAGTGACACTATACATTCTAAATGCCTCTCATTTGTCCTTACCTTTGTTTCTGCATGGCAGTGGCCAGTGGGTGCTATGGCCTAGCATTGTAATAGCCTTGGTTCATTGGTGTAGTGTCTAAAATTAGAAAACCATCCCCACTGTGGGTAAAGGAAAATAAGCAAGCAAAGGAAAGCACTATAGAGAAAAAGACTTTTATTGTGAAAAGAAAGAGGCTTTTATTAAATGTGAAAGTACACCTTAAGATGATGAGGCAGGCAGTTTGGAAAGAAAATCTGATTTCATTCAGCTGTCGCTTGCTGTCCAGGTCCTTTGCTGGGTAACTGGGAGGGGAAATTTGTTGGTATGAACTTTCATGACCACCTTTAACTCCACCTAAATCAGCCAGGGCATTGCACATGTGGCCTTACCAGGGACAAAAATGAACTCAGACACATGATGGTGGTGTTGGCTCCTCCTTTGTGCCCTTCACCATCTGGCACCGCTGATGGAAGGTCATACAGAGGTCATCTGTTGCTTTTATGTTGAATTGAAAAAGCAAGCCCCTGTGTGAGGGTGTTCATTTTCCAGGATGTCTGTTACATTTGGAAACTTTTCCATGTGGAGTGGAACCTAGGCCCATCTTCTGTCCCACTATGTCTGGATATCTACATATGCTGAACCTTTAAATCTTTCTCTCCCTTCCTGAGTTTCTTCTCCAAGCTGCTGGCAGGATTCACATTACCACCCTTTTCTCCCTTGGACTCCATCCTTCCAGTTTTGCCCCTGACCTTGTAGACTCAGGAAAAGACTGGGAAGACCCCAGGAACTAAGGTGGGAGGGGTCAATGCCAGCTGTGTGAGCCCCAGACTGTGGTGCCTGTCCAGAGATGCTGACCTTGCCCAAACCCACAGGATCCTTGGTGCTCATAATCTGACTTAGTGAACCAAAGGCCCCACCTGCTAAGAACACCACCTCAGGTCTTAGGAATTAAAGATAAATTTATGGGAGACCCAGACATTCAGATGATATCCAGTGTGACTGTAGGAGATATTTGGGGGACCAGGAGAGCACATCCAGGCTATATTAACAACTAAGGGACAGGAGCAAGGCGCTCTTTCCATTCCAAATAGCAATCTAAAGAGCAGACAGGAGTGAGAAGAGGAAGGAGGGCAGCAGCGGCAGTGACACAACTGAGAAAAGTTTTTTTATGACTGCCCAGGGGCAGGAATATGTGTGCATAGAGGGAAGTCTGGGCTGAGTGTGGGCTCTTTAGCATTTGTCAAGATTAGTGAGACTTGAGCATGTTTGCATGCCTATACTCAGAATGGCACAGCAATGCAAAGGCTGAGACACAGGAGGAGAGGAGAAAATGGGAAAATGCCATTCCTCAAGCAGGAGGCAAGAAAGAGAACCAACACTGGGCAGCCATTAGCAGAAGGGTGGCATCTCTTTCACTGCCATGAAGGAAAGAAGATGGTGGTAGTGATAAGAGGTATTAGGAGTTGAGTGCTGTCTTCTGTAGCCTACATTAGCCCCTCTCAGCACAAGGAAAGTGCATCTCTGGGTTCCCAGGGATTTGGGATTTGCCAAGCAGGTGACAAGGGGATAGAGTTCAGGAAATTTACCACAACATTTCAGGGAGAATGAATAGCAGTAAAAGGATAGAAGGAAGACACTCTGAGAAAAGAGATTGAAAGTCCCATTGATGGAGCAGGAGCTCCATGTTTGCATACTCCCTGAAGGAGGCCCAGCTCCACTCCTTAGCCTTGTCTGCTCATTGAGTAAATGATCCTCCTGGCCCATTCCTCCCTTGTGGTACCACTCCGATAAGGTCAGGTGAGTAATTAAACTATGGCTGTGGGACATATTTCAAGAGACTTGTTGCCTTTAACACTTTGGAAAACACAAACCATTTCCTCTTCACTGGTCTACTAGGGTAGTGAGAAGCCCACTGGCTCGGAGGAGCTGTTCTTTGTTTATCCACAGGGACGGGTGAGTTTCAACCAGGAAACTTTGGTCAGCCACCAATAAAAGATGTCAAGTTTTCTAACCAAGCCTTAGTGGTCATTTTCTGGGGAGGTGGACAATGACAAGAGTAGTAATTTATTCTATTTCCAATTTCCCTTAGAGGGGCTGAACTTTTCCAGGCCACAATCGTGAAAGCTGTGAAGGCAAGAATTGAGGAAGAGAAGAGGTCCATGGATCAGCTGAAGAGACAGTGAGCATACCTTGTTTCTCTCATGCTTCCCTTTTTTGATTTGTGTGACTAAATTCAGCAGCATCTTGGCTCTTGGGAAACCTCAAGCCCCTGAAAAGTCTATTTGCATGTCAACATTCACAACTTCCCATGTATTTTCTCTCTGTCAGAGAAATTGCTAATGCCAGCTAGACTGAAAATGAAAGCAATTTAACAGAAAGACAGTTCTCTCCAGGATGACGGAAAGAGGGCCCATCTTGGAAAACACCAACAAGCAATTTCTACTTCAGTTATTTACTTGAAGCAAATCATTTAAGTTCTCTGAAATTCGGGTTTCTGCTGTTAAGTCAAGTCTCACAGTTCTACCTTCTGGATTTTTATAAAGATTAACTAGCTAAAGAATGAGGCAGGGTCTTACCCAGTGCCAGGCACATGGAGTAAGTAAATGTTCCAGCAATGAATGGAACTTCTTATGTGCTTGGGTACCAGGTTTAAAAGTTGATGGTTGTATAATTCAAAACCTAGGTGCTTTAGCCAAGAAAATGGAGGTACTCTGTCATCCCACCAGTAGTTCCCTTAGTTTGCAAGAGCAATTTCATTCCATTCTGACCTCATTGCTCAGTTTTCTTCCCTAAGCAGAGATACATCCTTGTATAAAAATGGCATGTTTATTTTCACAAAGATGTATGTTATATACAAAAAAAAGTAATGCAACTTAATATGGTGTGATTGTTGTCATTATTGGTTCTAGCTATCTAAATCAGGTCTAAAGGAACAACAAATTTGGACTCACATTTAGAATGTGTCTCTCACTCACCATGAGTGAGGCCTGTATTGTAATTCACTTATTGAACTTTTCCATTTAAGAATGCAAAACTGAGGAGAATAAAGAGCTTGCATTATATGTTCCAACTGGCTATGACAGAGATGTGAGTGGACATCAAGGATTGTGTGCCAAACATTAGTAAAATGACTGTTGGTCAAATTATTAAGTCTAGCATCTATGAATCACAAAGTACCATGGTTATTTATATAATATGATAAATATACATATATGTATATATACATATATATATACATACATTTTTAAAGAATTGGGATAAGGAATGATTTCATGATTCTTAAGTAATTTGACCACTGTGTCCATGAGTTTTAGATGTATGTAACAATGTAAGTGTAAAGTCGTGACCCTGAGATGACTTTGAGTGTGTTCTTGGCACTGCTACTGCTGCTTTATTTCACAGGATGGATCGCATCAAGGCAAGGCAACAGAAGTACAAAAAGGGTAAGGAGAGGATGCTAAGCTTGACCCAGGAGTCAGGAGAAGGCCAGGACTTCCAAAAACTCTCTGAAGAGGATGATGAAAGTACGTCATGATGTTTTCCTCTTATTCAATACCTTGACATTGACTAAAGGCATGATATTGGGTAGGACTGTAAAATAATGTCACTTCTCGTTCTGCCAATATTATCAGTGTATTTTTTAATTCTGCATGCTTTACTTTCCCGTTGTGAGTGGCATACATTTATTTGTTTCATAAATGCATATTTAATGAATAAATAATTTTATAAGCATCTTCTTCAGCAAGATGCCTTGAATGAACACATAGTCTTTCTTTATTTCACAGGCATAGTTCTGAAGAAAATTGGTATATTTTTAATGTGTTCCTTTAGGGAAGCTATTTCAGAGATGCTGCCTTTGATTTTTAGAAGTTTTTTAGGAAGTTAAATATGTATGCATATTTTATGTGACACCTGAGCATTATAGTTAAAATGCCTATTCCAATGAAACTTACTATGAAATATGTATGTATTATATCTTCTTGAAGATTTATTTAACTTAGTTCAAGATTTAAAGGTCTTTTTACAGAAGCTTGCATGCTTTTCTATTTGAAGGGAGTAGAGAAGTGATGCATGATATGTTTCCAGTACATAGCATCTATTCATCCCTTGTAAATTCATATTTTCAACCATGCATTAAAATAATCACAAGAAAAATTTCTGGTTCTTGTAATTTGTGTATTTTAACAAATTACTTGTTGCTAAATAGTTCTAAAAGATTTGAGTGATGCTTTGTTATGTTAATTTAACAAAAAGTTTAATGTGAGTTGCATTTTTGATAGATAATCCCTTGTTTTTTGTTTCTTTATATGCCCTCAAGCGCTAGGGAGAAAGTGAAAATGTAGTATACTGTTAAAAGAGCAAATAGTGTTTATCTTGTGAAACTGACTGTGCTTTCAGATTTAGTATGGTTCCTTTCCTGATCTCTGATGTATTTTTGCTATTTATCTATTGAGTTGTTAAAAAGTGGTTTTCAAATTTTGTTTGGTCACTTTATGAGAATTAATATTTGGACATATTTTATTTTAGGAGAAGCAGAAAAACAGAAAGCCAAGGGCAAAAAAAAGCAGTGGTGGCGGCCTTGGGTTGATCATGCTTCCAGTAGGTTTTTTCGATCCTCTTCCAATCTCATTGACTAACCCTTATATCCTTGACCAGAATTCAGGCTCCTCATGACCTTTGTGTCCCATGCATGGTTTGACCCTTGTGACTTGATAGGGGTCAGAGTGTAGGAAAATCACAACACTAGTGTGTCTCTGGGCCTTGTGGATCAGTTCTTCATGAGAAATAAGGTGATTGCCAAATTTTAAAGAAAGCCAAGCTTGGCTTATAGACTCTTGAGCACAAGAGTCAGAAAGCAAAGAATGGGCTCAGGAAGCCAAAAATTGACCATGAATTTGTTCAATTCCGATCTAGAGCTCTGCTGATGCTTGTTTCATGGCTAAGAATGAGTTTGGAATCTTCCTAGGACTCTGATTTAAGGACAATCACTATGTTCCCAGTGCCCATGACCCTCTTTGTAAGGCACTAGGCGTGAATGCCAGTGATCCTCCTCCCTCTCTCCCAGAGCTTTGATTTTATTTGCACTTAAGGTTTTTGGCAATATATTCATGAAGATGAGGAGTGACTTAACATGCATTTACTTTTTCACCTTGCCTCCTCCCCAGTCTCACAATGGCTCTAAAACTGCATTCCAAACATCCATGTGCAGCAAGTGGCATGGCCTCAGAGTCACCTGCTGCTGAAAAGTGATCAATTAACAGCAGAAACCAGAAGAGCAGAGCTGGATAGCCACATAGAATGTAGTGTAGCTCCCTCTTGATCTTAAAAATCATGAGGAGTTATGGACCTAGAAATTTATCACTATTGACCAAGGCTCTGTAATGGAATGGCCCATTTCAATCTACCCTTCCTTAACTATGTCAGAATATGGAATAATTATTATTTTGGATACCACTTGTCATGTCTTCAGTCTTTTTATGTTCTGCTGCATCTCCATAACTGTGGCTAGTCTAATCAGACAAGGAATATCACCAAAACACATGCTATCACACCATGGTGGGAAGGGACACTGCACCATGGTGGGAAGGGACACTGACAGTAGAATATCATTAGAAAACTAAATAAAAAATTTTGCCATACCTAATTCTTAGCCTTATATAAATCTGGTATTGGCCTCTGTCAGTCCAAAAGTCATGTTTTTAAAATCAGCAAGCTAGTTTAATGAATCAAGATTTGAAATTTGCTTAATATATCTGGATATAATTAAATTTAATCCCTAATATTGAGTTTCGGCATTATGGCTAAAAAATGAGTTATAAAGAGTTTTATTTAATTTTCTGTTCAAGTCAAAAGACAAAGGATGATGTTGAAATCCTGGGTGACTCCTCTGTTTATTGCTCATTGGCACCATAGTGATGTTCACACCTGGTAGCATACCATGCTCACTGCCTGTTTCTATCAAGTCACAAGTAAACTGTGCCTATTTTTGTTTTCAAAGGGCATTTGCTAGTTTAAAGAGACCTATCCATTTCAAAGTCACGTCATAGTGAATGCTTTGTACCTTCAGCTGGGGGAAATCATTATGGTTGTCTTTTCCTGTGGCATCTAAACATTGTATTTTTGAAGGAATTGGATATGGTCTTCAATAATCATCTAACAAGTTATAAATAACTTAAAGAACTTCCTGTGAAGGTTGTTGATGTTTGATTTTTCTGATTCATTTCACCCTCATTATATCAAGTTCTTAAAGACTGGTCTTAAAACTAAATGTGCCTTGTTACAATACTTTATGATGCAATAATGCAGGAATGTGTGTAATTCATGGTTTGGAATCATATTCTGATCTGTGGTGTTAATTTTCTTTTCTGCAAAACACTTTCTTTTACAACCTTTAAAGGAACAAAGGAGAAAGAATGTATAGTCTACATTTTTTAGAATGATGAATTCCAGAAGTTATCATTAGATCTGGAAGAATTTTCTGATCTATTGAGTAATTAGACTGGGCTTTCAAATAATTTCTTAGAGATGCCAAGTGTAAGTGTAGTTGGAACATCAGTGAATAAGTATGTAAGTCTATTGGTGACATAGTAATGTTGCCATGCATGGTCTGTCAGTGACAGTGCTCTTAGTTCCATTCCTTTGTACACACATAGGATTGCATTATTGCTATTCAATGATACCTTCCATTCCAGGGTGATATGTCTCTATATCCATTCAGTACTGCCTAAATCAATAGAAAGCCTTGTTTTGATGACCAATATCTCAGATAAAGGGCAAAGTTTCTGAGCATGCAAGTGGTGAGATTCTAACAGTTAAATTCACACTAAGAATTTAGCAATGACGTCAGCATCCATGGTATGTATGTATCTGGCCATATTTCCATCCGGAGTAACAAACATGGAAGAGCTTTAGAATTTATTACTAACAGATACACAAAAGAAAGCATTCTCTGATATTTTCCTAGCTTTGTTTCAACATTTGATAAAGTAGTAAGAGACTTTTACAAGAACATTTCCTTTTTTTTTAATGTGCTAATTCCGTTTGCACACCTAACAAATTGGTGATATTTGTAATGGGGAAGTTGGTTCTTGAGATGGAAATTATTTGGGCTCATCCATATGAATAAAGCTTACAGAAGGTATGATTGAATACAACTTTAGCTATTGCTGATTTTAGTGCCTATAATGAGGGTAAAATGCTACACCTTATAATACTCTGTGCTTTTCCTAAGTGACTATGTGACATTGAGTCCACCTAACTTTCCTGCAAATCTCTTGGCTTTTGTGAAGGCATTACCTTCATGGTATCCCCCACTGTCCAATGAAATGCTGGAACTTTGGTTTCTTCTCGCTTATTCTTACGTTATGTTGTATTGCATTCATTTCCTCAGGCCTGGCTCAGTACTCTGGGCCTGGCTTTTTTGTCACAATCAACACAACAAATTACAGTGCTTCTGTTCAAGGATATAAGGCCTAATTCACTCACTCTGCATCTTCATGAATGGAGGCTTCAGAGACATCTGAAATCATGGGCAAAATTGCTGGACTTTTGACCAGATTTAGTGACTTTCAAGCAGCTCGTTTTAAACAAGCCAAGGTTTTCCATGACCTTCTGAGGTATAAGTCCAAAAGATAACTTAAGACATCACATTATCTCACCCAAAAGATGCCTCAGCATTTGCAAATCCAAATATATGAAAATATGAATATGTTTTCCTGCAAAGATAGTACAGTTCTTAAAGTATCAGAAATGTATATGCTGGGTCTCTTTTCTTTGATAAACTTCAAATACTCTTCAAACTGGTAAAGATTGGATTTCCTAAAATTCTTGAAATCTCTAGGCATCTCCATTTCCTCTGTTCCCAATTCTCAACACAGGCATTATGTTCTTGCAGGGCAAGTGGCAGACAAGGCAGAGACAGTCCATATTGTTTGCACTTTGTGGCTTATGGTCAGTAGAGTTCTCCTTGAATTTTACTACACTCCCAGGGAGTGGCTTGTTGACCAGGAGCCTGACAGAGCTAAGCCATATGGACCATGTCTACTGTCCCATATCTGTGTGTAGAGTAGCCGGAGCAGTGGTGGCAGTGTTTCTGTTGTCATTGTTGTCCTGTTTTGTTTTGTTTCGTTTTTAATGTTACCTACTCATTTCCTCTTTGTGGCCATGTATTTCTTTTAACTGTTTCAAATGTCTTGTCATATGTGTTGTCTCATGTGTGACATGTGGAGAAACCAGGTCTGCATGGTATAAAGTGAAGTTGAAGGTTGGTGACACTGACCTTGGTCCTGAATCACCTAATTGGCTTATCTGTAACAGATATTGTCCAATCTTCCACTTCACTCTGGCCTTGTCTAAATGATCAAAATTGCTGAATTACAAAATGGTAGTTTTCAATTATTTTGTTGTGTGCAGAGTTGAGCTGATTCAGCCATGTAAAATTTATAATAAAGAAGGGAGAAAATACCAAGTCAACCTTGTAGTGGCCAGTTCTCTTACATGGCACAGACAAGGCCACATACTCTGTGGACCCAATCTTGCCTACACCAAGTAGCACTAGCTGATAAGGTGCTGTCTTCATCTCTGTGTTTTCTCCCTGCTAACATCTCGTGTGGTTGTCCTTTTATGGGCTATTTGTAGATCTTTAGGGGGCATTTCATTAATAAGTCCCCAATTATCTCATATGTCTTTCAAGAAATAAGTAAATATTTGTTTTGCTTAGTGGTCAGGAGTGGAGATTATTATTTATTTGAAACGGATAGTGAAGAGGAGGAAGAGGAAGAATTAAAGAAGGAAGACGAGGAACTTCCACGGAAGTCAGCATTCCAGGTAATTACAGGGGTGGGGGGGAGATGACGCCCTATGCAAGTTGAAAGGTTTTTAATGAACAAATCTTGATTACAGACCTAGATTACATCTGCCATGTTCATCGATGACAGCCCTCAGAAGCCTCTGATTGACATCTGAAATAGTTTATTTTTAATTAAATTGCAGCACTGCTCACTCTCAGAAATGCCATAATTATTTTCATGTAAGAGTTTGGGTCAGGCCTTCATTTCCTGGCATCAAGACATTTTCTGATACCTTAAAGAAAAACTAAAATTTCATTGGGTGAACTTTATTTTTCTTTTGTAAGTAGGTGATAAGGACCTGCTTGAAATTGCTTTTGATTTAATAGACTTGTATAAAGATATATGTGAAATAGTTGACTATATTTGCTTTGCTTGAAAATGAATGATCACTTAAATGTTGCTTCAGATCATGAAAATCAGTTTCATTTGGATTGCCGGAGGCAGAGAATGTATTGAAATTATCACAGAGATGTGGGGCACAGCTCTTATCTCAATTGAACTCTGTTTCAGAACACTTGAGCTCCCGAGCCCAAGCGGTGTTACAGAGAATGTGTGGTCCATGCTCCCTGAAGACCAGGCTTGTCAGAAGACCATGCAGGGAATGGAAACTTGGTATATGTTTCTCTTACCAGTGGAGCACAGATTGGAATATTTACTTCCCTTAGTCCTGGTGCAGAGCACATACAATGATGTCTGCCAAGCCACACTGTGTGCTCATGATAAAGTCCTTGTCAGCTTGCTGGCCAGGCCTTTGTAATTCAATCCATCCCTGACTTCCCCATGACAGTAAAGAACTAAATTATTCATGGAGACTCCTTGGTCAGACACTGTCTCCTTGGCTCTATTGTTCCCTGTGTATGTTTCTTGGTGGCCGTGTTTGTATGCATGTGTGCAGCTGACTTGCCAAATACTAATGACTTAACGTGTTTCTTTTCCTTTTAATGAGTTTTATTCTAACCTCCACTCAGCAAGCAGCAAAGAAGAGAACCTGGATCATCTTCGCTCTGTGTGGATCACACACTGTGACTGACTATACTCTTTGTTCCTAACTCACAAGTGGAGTGCCTTTTATTCTAGCTTCAATGACTGGCACATTTTAACCTTGTTCATGTTAACTGTAGAGACAAACGCATATGACGTCATATTGTTTGGTTTTGGTTTTTTTTCTACTAATTACTCTTGCTTTGTCCTTCTTTGTAGAGAGCTATTGGGAAGTTTGCCTCAGCCATTTTAGCCTTGCCAAAGTCTGTCATTAAACTTCCCAAAACTATTCTTCAGTATTTAATCAGAGCTGCAAAGGTATTTCATGTTTTACTGATGTGTAGTGTGTGACTCTCTGCTCCGTAGAACTTTAGAGAAACATATTCCTTATCTGCATTTTGTCTATTCTATAGCTCATGCAATGACGGAATTGTAAGAGATTAGGAAAGTTTTCCAAAAAAGTTCTTCAGAGCCACATTTCTTATTTGACACCAGAGAGTACTGAAAAAATAGAAAGAGAAAATGCAGATACGTATTACTTTCTTTCTCATAGTTTTGCATAACTTACATTTCATTTTAAAAGGGTCACATCTGGTTGCATGCATCAGTTCCAATGAGTAAACATACAATAATTCTCAGAAAGCTGGTAAAAGTCTGGATAGGTTAATAAGACTCTTTTCAGTCCATCGCCTTTTTGGTTTGTTAGTGTCTATCTTCCTAATTGGCTTTGATTGCCCAGCTCCTGAATGCGGCTTTGTTCTAGGCTGCTGAGCTGTGAGCAGAATGCATAGCTCCTCATGCCCTTCAGGTCATGACAGTGCTTTGTAAAAGGTGTAAGAACATTATTTATTGATTCATCTAATGCACAATAGCCATTATCTGGCTACCTGTACTGTAGTCACTTTTTATTGAAAGCCATAAATAACAAATTAACCTTCTTGTATTTTATCAAACACTCTTTCTCCCAAACTCAGCCAGAGGCAGGCTTTAAAAAGCTTGGGTCTCAGTGTTCGTTAAGTGTTAAGCAAGTGGTTATAACAGTGACAGAGACTGTAGTGACTCACCTCTTACCTGGGATCTTATCCAATGCTGGTTTTGACTCAACAGGTCCAGTGGGCTCTGCAGATCTTTATGTCTGCCCAGCTCCCAGGTGAAACCATACTCCTGGTGTACCTTGAGCAGCAGAGTCCAGCCCTCCAGGTGCCTTCTAGTCTTAAACATCAGGAGACTGATTGAAGTTTAATAGTCACTACACTGTTTCCATAGGAAATCTTCTCCTGTAGGACCACCATATGATTCTCTTAATTTATAAATAAAATTTATTAAAATGAACGATTACAATGGAACCATCTCCCTTCTTACTTAAAAGTGATCAGATAATGATAGAGGTGATATAGAAGGTGCTGCATCACACCTGAAATAAGGGAAAATTATGAAACTTCACAATTTTAGCTCAGGTTCCCACTGTAGTAAGCATTCCTTGTTTTAAAGAATAAATGCATTTTTGCATTTATTTTTTTATTTTTGCATTTAGTAACTTTTCAGTAAAAATAAATCCCATTTTCCCCTAATAAGAGTGATAGAGTTTAAGATAAAGTCATTTGAGGTAAAATTTAAGATAAAGTCAGGGACACACACCAGAGGTCATTTCTGTACATTTCTATGTACTTTTCTACTTCTGGTTAGTGTTGTGAGAATCCCAGACAATCCCATCAAGCTGGATGGTGATTACAGCCACATAGTAATAATGAGGAAGTTCAGGAAGAAAAAATCCTCTATTTCTTGACTTGTTAAGGACCAAGCATTCCCCTGCCTCTGCTGTCACTATTTTCCTGAAATAGTCGACCATGGCAGTGACCCCTAGTTAGACACTCATGGAAGTTAGACAGTCTTGGAACTATTAAATGGTCATAATTCAAATCATCAACTTCCAGATGATTTACCTAAGATAATTTACCTTCAAATAAAGAATTGCCCAATGGTTGCTGCTCTTTCTCCCTTCTCTGGGGTTTACATGGTCTAAATTCTCATCTCAGACCACAATGAGAGGCTTTGTCACTTAGGATCCAGTGTAGAATCTGTAGTTGCCTGTTTCATATGTCAGACAGTCAATGTACCTGCCCTTCCCACCAGACTTTGGTAATTCTACCCAAAAGAACCCTTCTCTCTCCCACCCAGTTGTTTACTTTTTCTTCAGAGCAAAAGACTTCCTCCAACGTGTGTGCCTGCTGCATCCACAAATCCTAATTTCCTTCTTATTGTGTATGGTTGGGATTCTTTCATTGTCTAAAGCAATATTGTAACAAGGACTTTTTTTAAAAAGGAAATGTCACCACATGTTGCTTTTCAACCTGAAAATTTCTTATGTGTAGCAGTTCATATTCTTTTGAAACAACCAAGACTGGGCCGAAGCAAGTTTGCTTTTTGAGGTACTAAATCTGAGAGATATTATGGGTAGAATTCCCGATTAATATGCTCAATAAACGTTTACCATAAATTCCTTTCTTTGGTCCTTCTTAACTTCTAGTTCATCTTCTCATTGTATGAAATGTGTTTTTTACATAAAATAGGATATTTTGTGTCTCTTGGATTTGTTATCCTGAAATAATGCCCATTTTGCATTTGTGTTAATGACCCCATACAATTCAGATCCTACTAGTGAGACACAGTAGGGGATTCTTTCTTAGTGCCTTGTGACCTCTACACTTCCATATGTGGAAAAGTTGAATCTCTGTTTTCTACTGACCTCACCATACCAATGGTTTGTTTGTTATGTTTTTCAAAGATTTCAGAAATCTGAAAATAATGTAGGATAAAATGACAGTATCTGGGTTCACCAGAGCCCCCTGAAAACACATCTGTAACTTTATCAACATAAGGGAAACCCAGCTTCCGTGAGACCCAGCTGTTTGTGGTGCACGATGAGCATGCCTGCTTGGCTTTTTGATTTCTCGCTGGCTGGTTTTGTGTCTCAGGTTTTCTCTTTGTTTTGCATGATTTTGGAGACTCGGTGGGTGGACTGTTCAAAACTGCTCTTTCTGGTTATCAGTGATAAGATGTCAACACAACTGTTTTCAGCTCTTGAATGCAACCAAAACACCAGTTTTCCTTCTGTGCTGTCCTGGAACAACTATGTGACCCCATTGCCACACTATCTCTCCTCTCAAAATGCTAATCAATGTGGAAAAGCTTGTTTTCAAGTTGCTGGTAATAGCTGTTATTCACAAGGGAGGGTATTGCATGTACAAAACTATTTCTTTCAAAGTAAATAAGAATATTAAAGGTGTTTTGTTTTTGACTCAAAGTTTATTTGTGATGTGAGAAGCTACTCTAATAATACTGAGTGAGACCTCCAGCTTATTCCTACTGTGTGGAGTACAAAAGAATCAGAAATTTAAGTATCACCAGTGACTGCAGTATTTAGGTGCTCAAGAGAAGCGATGGTTTGTATATACCCAAAGTTATGTCGTGATCATCTACGATGGCAAATGAAACATATTCCCACAACATCTGTCTTCATATTCTATGTCATAGGAACAGACACAGCACAGATCAACTCTACATAAGGAAGGGGATGTTTAGGTGTGTTGGGAGAAAAAAAATGTTTTCTCAAGCTAGGAAGCTTCACTAAGGTCTCTTTTCTTTTCACTTCAAATTATGAAAAGATGAGAAAATAATTGAACTTTTCCCCTTCAGTTTGTTTATCAAGCCTGGATCACTGACCCTAAAACAGCACTCCGACAGAGGCGTAAGGAGAAAAAGCAGTCTGCAAGACAAGAGCAGAGACGAAAGCACAAAGGATCTGGGGACGGTTAGTGGCCTTTTACAGCCAGCACTTCTGTTCCTGTGGCCTTGGCACAGGAAGAGCCACAAAGGACGACAGTTTCTGAGGGGTGATGCTTTGAATTCCACAAGAGGCAGAGTCTTACTTATCTTCAATTGCTCACAGCTGACACTTGGGATACATTAATGTGTGAATTTAAATTAAGATAAACATTATAAAATTAACCAAAATAAAATAAAAAGTAAAAAGCTAACCTTAGGTGATATTGAGTAATGAGAAAAGAAATACAAGGCCTGATCATTAAGTTAAAAGCTGTTTTTCTACCAAGTCAGTAAGAAAGATGAAACATTGACAATTTAATCCAGAAACGATACTCAGAAACTGAAAAAGGAAAACATACTACCAGCATCAAACTCAACATTAGACCAGTACATTTGATACAAACGCATTTCTTCGGCGAAAAATTCCAAGCTACATCACAAAACACCAAAAGCAAAGTTGAGGACCAGAGACTCTCTAGGACCAGAGCCCTCACAACCCCCCAAGAAGGCCCCAGGCAAGGTACAGTCTTACAATAAATCTTCATCCTGGCTCAGGTCTATAATCCTAGCTGCTTGGGAGATAGAGATCAGGAGGATTGAGGTTTGAAGCCAGCCCAGGCAAATAGCTCCTGAGACCCTATCTTGAAAATACTCATCACAAAATCAGGGCTTGTAGAATGGCTCAAGTGGTAGAGCACCTGCCTAGCAAGTGTGAGACCCTAAATTCAAACCCAAGTACTACCAAAATAATAATAATAATCTTTACATCTGGGTGTACTAACACCCCACACTGCTTGCCTTTGAACACCCAGAATATTGGAAATACTAATATATCTGATGTAAGATAAAATAAAAATGGTACTCAAAGGCTATGTGAAAAAGAACAGTATACTAGATATTTTAAGGATACCTATAAACAGTTTAGTACAGAGGTGGAGATTGGGAGGGTAACAGTTCAAGGCCAACCTGGGCAAATAGAGAGACCCCCTCCCAACCAGTAAAAAAAAAAGCAGAACATAGTGGTGAACACCGGTCATTCCATCTACACGGGAATAGTAAATAGGTGGTTGGAAATCCAAGCTAACCTGGGAATAAACATGAGACCCTATTTGAAAAATACTTAAAGCAAAAAGAGTAGGGTTATGGCTCAAGTGGGAGAGGCATGCCTAGCAAGTGCAAGGCCCCAAGTTCAAGCTCAAGTACTGCCAAAAAAAATCCTAAAATCAATATACTTTAAACCCAATAAAAGAAAGAAGCTGCAAAACAACTGACAGACCAGAAAACAAAAATGTACAAAACATGCTCATCCTCTCTAGGAATATGAGAGACACAAGTTAAACGTTTAAACAGCTACTTTCTGTCTTTCTTTTTTGTTTTGTACTGAGCCTTAAACGCAGGACTTACACATTCAAACTGTGATCCTGCTGATCTCTGCCTCCTGAGTAGCTAAGATTACAGGCATGAGCCACCAGTGCCCAGCTTAACAACTGTTTTCTTAATCTCTTGCATTGGCAAGAGCCCAAATATTTCAAACATCACTGCTTGGGCGCTTCTGGAAGACACTTGCTCATTCCAGGAGCGGTGTCATAGGTGGTTCTTCCACTTGGGAGAGCCCAATGTACATGCTGAACTACAGAGCAGTCTCACTTCTAGGAGAGTGGCTTAGCAGGAGCAATATTTACATACGTGTACAAGCCCACATGTCAAAAATAGCCAACAAATATCATTGGTTAATAACAAAAATGTGGAAACATCCTTAAGTGTCCATTTAAAGCAGAAAAAAAGTGAATTGTGTTACCATGGCATTCTGGAATACTAGTCACTAGTTTCCTGACATTATTAAGTGAAAACACTGCAAAATGGCCTGTACGTAGTGAAGCCGTTCATGAAATAAAGGCTGCCACATGCCTCTAGACAATGGTTTGCATTGTTAGTGGAGGCATATAATAGGTTTAAGTGCAAGAGGAAGATCAGGAAGGGTACATAACATATTAGTAACTGCGGCTCCTTCTTAGGTGAGCGGAGATTAGTGGTATGATTGAAGGAAGCCTTAGGCTTACCTGGTAGATTTTGATTTTTTACAAAGAAAACGTAATCACAGATTCCTTATGAAATTTAAAAGGTAGTGAAAAAAAGAAACAATTTCTTACTTAACTGCAATTCCTGGAAACCTTAATTTTATTTCACTTTATTTGTTTAAAAAGATAAAAGACAACAAATGGAGCAAGTCAAGTGATAAAGAGACAGGTGCACAATCCTCTCAGCCTATCCACCAGAGACCATCCTCTAGGCTTCAAGCCCTAACAGTGTGCTGTGTTTGTGTTCACCCCCCTTTTCACCTTCATATACTTTTTGTTTTACAAAACTGAGTTCATGCCACACAAAGTACTCTTGTATTTTCATTAGCAGTGTATCAAGAACATTTCTCCAATTAACTATTTATGAAACTATGCCATTCTTTTTTAATAGCTGCAAAAGATTCCATAGTACAGATATGCATAATTTATTCAATTATTTCATCCTTAATGAACATAAAGGTTGCTTCCAGATTTTTGCCACAAAGAATAATGCTAGCATAGATATCCTTGCAGAAAACTCACATGTTGTTATTTGCATGTGTGTGTCTGTGTCTTTGTATTGAAAACTATAGCAAAAGTGAAGAACTCACACTTTACAGAGTAGGTTCTAAAAGAAGAGAAGACTGGATTAGAGAGTGAGTCTTCTATTTTGATAGATGTTTTTACAGAAGGTTTTAGTAGCATACATTCCTGCATGTCAGGTAGAGGAAGACTCAATTCCTATGGCCTCTCACCAAGGACATTACTGCTTTTTAAAGTTCTAATTGATCTTTCAGAGTAATGACAAATGGCCTTTATTTTCATTTGAACTTAGCTGAATTCCTAACTAATAAGACTAAGCATTTTTATTTAATATTTTCTACTTAATTTCTACTTCCACCTCTAAGATTTAAATGCTGTTATTGTTTTTTCAAAGCATTCTGCTGGGAGCTTTGTTTATTACTTATTAGTAGGGCTTTTTGCGTGTTAGTCTTTTGTCACATGTTATAAATATGTTTTCTCTTTTAATGCTTATTCTTTGTGTTAGTTTATGGTACATGTTATCTAAACAATTTTTCATAGTTTTGATGTCAAATGTGTCTAAATTTCTTATTGGACTTTAAAGGTTAAGAAGGTCTCTTGCCCCAAATATTAAGTAAATGCCTTCCTGTATTTCCTGCTACTTCTATTTGTAGCTTGAACTTTTATTATTCTATGCAGTAGAGATCTAATTTTTTCTATTTAAATGGGCATCCAATTTTGCTAGCTCTGTTATTAAATGAGTCTTCCTTCTTGATGGGATTTCAAGCTACTTTTGTCACTAGCAAGCTCCCATTTGCGCTTCTGTGTGATGGACTCTGTTCTAATCCACTGTCCAGTTGCCAGGCTCTGGCCAGTGCCACTGGCTTTTGATCCAGCAGCTATAGAGTTAGTTTTAAAATTTTGTGAGGCAAACTCCCCTTACTACTCTTACTTTTATCAAAGTTTTGTTTATTATTCTCAGATACTTGTTCTGCCAAAAAATTTTACCAGTTCTAAGAATATGTCCTTGACAATGGCTCACAACTGTGTTATGAAGATTATGATGTACGAATGCACCACTATTTACCTACAAATAAAAGGCAGCAGTAATTCAAAGCTAGTAGCATGGAAATAAAATTCTATTCATTCCTTCAGTAAAGATGTGGTCAGCATTCTCTTGGTACTAGGCTTCATGTGGCTTCTTCTGGTCAGATGAAGAACATCGAGTCTCCTGAACTGGCCGGGCTGAGAGTGCTGTGCGCAGAAACTCATGGGCTCCAGAGAGGGAAGCCCCTTACTTCCGTGTCACCTCTGAGAGGTTATCCAGCAGGCTCAAAATGAATTCCAGCAAACACCTGGCTCAAAAGCCTGCCTTGACCAGCTGAGAAGACAAGTATGGGAAAAATTCCTAACTGACATGGAGGCTGCAAAGGTCCATTTAGAAAATAAGTTCAGGAAAGAAAACGTAACAACAGTGTGAGATCAAAAGGAGAAAGGATTTCTTGTAGTCCAGGGTATCAGGATGCTTCCTGAAAGCTGTGGAGCTTGACTAGAGATGGCATTCCAGCAGAAACAAGAAGTCATGTGGAAAAACTAGAGTTGATCAGCTTAACTGGTAAAGACCAGATGTGAAACATCAGTAAGAGTAGGGCAAGATAATGGGATTTGCAAGAAAACAAGTGTGAAAAGATAAACTGAAGTCAGATCAGGAATGGTCATAGCTAGAGATACCACATAAAAGACAAGAAGCCCACTTAAGTTGGAATTTTTCTTTTTTTTTGGCCATACTAACGGGTCTGAACTTAAGGCCTCACACTTGTTAGGCAGGCATTTTACCTTAAAGCCATTCTCCCAGTCTTTTTAGCTTTAGTTATTTTTCAGAGAGTATGTTGCTTTTTGCCAGGACTGGCCCCAGACCGTGATCCTCAGCTCTGTATATTAAAATTTGAACTTAATGCACAAAATATTATATTTCTTCAACTATTAAACATATGAAATTCATAGGCCTCTGAGTTTCTAGGGTCAGTGTGCTATGACTTATACACCCTTGGTATACATAGTTCTTATTCTGGAGTGGGGCAAATAAAATCTGAACACTCTGTATTCTTACAACTTTCCCTAGGAACTGGTACAGTATGCAGAAAGTCCTAGATTAAATTATAAATTATGAATTTTGAATTACTTTTAATCTAGAAGAGTAGTTGCATTCGTTACTTTTTTATTGTTGTGACCAAAAATGCCTGACAGCACAAATTAAGGGGAGGAAAGATTTATTCTGGCTTATGTTGTCAGAGGTGTCAGCCCATCATGGCAGGGAGGGTATTGTGGTGTAGAGCAGTTCGCGTGATGGAAGCTAGGCAGTAGATGAAAGAGGGGAGTACAGGAAGGGATCAGGGCTAGATAGAGCCCCAAGGACACACCCTCAGTGACCTTCCTCCAAGTAGGCCCCTCTTCCTTCTCTTCACCACCTTCAATAATGCATCATATTATGAGTCCGTCAAGGGAGGAATCCATTCATTAAGTCAGAGCCATTGTGTTCTAATCATCTCTGTAAGTGCCATCACAGACACCCCCAGAGGTTGGATTTACTCATTTGCTAGGTGTTTCTCAATCCAGTCAAGCTGACATCAAGATCAACCATCACAGTAATACTAGCATTAAATTACTCTAAAAGGTATCTAACTCATCTTTATTGAAAACACTTGGCAGGTTCGGAGGACTGGGAAGACCGAGAGGATGAACCAATCAAAAAGAAATCTGATGGACCAGGTAACAAAATAAATACAAAGATTAGCCATGGGAAATTTGAAAATGATACTTGCCCAGATGGTAAATAATAAGAGACTGCCTGAGAAGTGTGAACTACCTGACAATGTTTCTGGTTTGAGGCTAACAATCAGTGTCCCTTGAAATCCCATGTCTCCTGAGACTACAAAGTGACTTCTAGGAGGAGAGCTGGCTTTTTTGGCCAAAAGGGTGACATGTTATGTTCCTGTCTGTTTGTAAAGCCCTGGATGTAAGTCCCTATGAAAGGGGGTTTTAGGAAGAAGTGCTAACGACCCACAGAAGCCATCAGGACAAAGACACAAAAGATACTGGCAATTATTACTTCTTCCTTTTCTTTTTTTTTGCATATTTTTTAAATTTACTTTTTAATTGACACGTAATAACTGCACATATTTATGGGATACAGTGTGATATCGGGGTACATGTATAAATGTGTGATGATGACATCTCAGTTGTTAACATATTCATCACCTTAAACATTTGTCACTTCTTTATATTGGAAACATTTATTCAAAATTCTCTCTTCTCAATCAGGCAGAATGGCTTAAGTGGTAGAGTGCCTGCTAGAAGCACGAGGCTCTGTGTTCAACTCCCCAGTACTGCAAAAAGAAAAAAAATCCTCTCTTCTAGCTTCTTTAAAATATACCGTAAATTATTTGTGAATGAATATAAAAAGAAGGAATTGAATGCATGATGATTAGAACTGGGGAAATGCTAAGTGCTCCAGAAGCTTGAGCCCAGCCTCTTCATTTTAGAAAAGGAAACCCAGGTCCCAGTGAGTGTGGCTCACTCAGAATCCCACAGCTACGAAGGAGCTGAGCAGGCTAGAAGTCTTGTCTGCTGACAGGAGCACAGTCACAGAGCCACTTTGGCTTCTCATCAAATGTGATGTGGAGGAAGAAAAACAACAAGAGACAAAAGGAAAGTCTGCACATGAAGGCACTCAGTGCCTGTGCAGGGCTGCAAACAAGCAGTTCCCTCCTGCTTGAGGTTCAGAACTCCTGTGCACAGTACTCAGCAGCAGGCAACACTGTCAGCCCTTGCACTGTGGATACAAATGCTGTGCTTCCAAGGCACAAAGTGAGACTTACAGAGGCATTCTCCTCTGCTCAGAACTATCCTTCAAAACCTCCCTTTCTAGTTAATTGCAAGGACATACATGCCCAGCCAGAGAGTCTGGTACTGCTGCAAAACTCTGTGCAGTGGTAGTAGCCAACACTTTAGATTGCACATCTTGTTTGACAGGCACTTTTGCAAGACCTTCAGCTATATTCACTTACTTAATCCCTCAAAAGCTCTTTCCCATCTAACAGATAAGAAACTGAGGCAGAGAGATTTGCTCAATTCCCCAAGTCAATTCAACAATGAAGAAAGAGTTGGGATACGAATACAAGGAGTCAGAATCAAGTCTGTGCTCTTAATCACTATGCCCTACTGCTCTGTGGCTACATCCAGTTAAAATTAAAACCCTGATTCCCATGCAAGTCTGTGATTACCCAAGTCATTGAAGGGCATGTTATTCTGGTCTGCAATGCAACGATTTTAGCCTTATACCAGGTCCACCATAGCAAAATTGATGCAACCATACTTATCCTCCCCAGTTCTAGTCATATTGATAGTGGTAGGTATTTTGAAATGTATTGTGTATTATTTATACATTTAAATGTGCAGTAAATTATTGAATGAGTATAAAAATAAGGAATTAAGTGAGCAAATATCAAGCAGCCACTGATCAATATCACTTACAGAATAATAATTGTGAACAGGAGAAAAAAATAAGTTGTCAAAAATGTAAGATGCTATTTCACACCTATAATCCTAGCTACTCAGGAGGCACAGACCAGAAGCCAGTAATTTGTGAGGCCCTATCTCAAAAAAAGCCACCACAAAAAAAGGGCTGGTGAAGTGGCTCAAAGTGTAGACCCTGCGTTCAAACCCTAGTATCTCCAGGCACAGCCATGGCAGCAACAAGAAACCAAGTATAACAGGAATCTCTGGGCTTCCATTGGTTGGGAAAGGTGCAGAATTTTGTAGTTAGCACAGCTAACTTACACTTGCTAAGTTCAAGGAAGATGGACTCACTCTTGGCCTGTGTAGTGAGCTCTTTAAAAGCTAGCTTGAAGTTGGTTTGACCAAGCTGCAAGCATAGAGAGATGCACCAAAATCTGACTGAATCAACAGAATCACTTCCAAAAATTCTTAAGAACAGAAAATCATTAAAGGACCCCATTAGCTGGACAAAGACTGTTTCTATCCTTGTGTGCATCTTTGAATTATGATCTCTACTTTTAGCAGAACTACTACAGTCAGATTGCTGTACTTGTGGGTTCCAATTCCACAGATTCAGCTGGCTAGAGATAAAAAATAATCAGGACAATGTTGCATCTCTACCAACATGCACAGGCTTTTTTCCTCATCATTTTTTCCTAAGCAATACAGTATAATCGCTACTTGCACTAGAAGTGCATAGTTTCAAGTGTTATAAGCCATCTAGAGATGATCTAAAGTATGCAGAGGAAAGGATATCAGCTCTGCAGCACCACACCATTTCACACAAGGGACTTGGGCACCGGTGGTATTTATCTGCAGGAGTCCCAAAAGTCATTCTTCATGGATACTGACAAACAGCTGGTCGGGACCCATTCTGACTTGGGATTCTGATCAAACATTACAAATTCCATCTGAGTCCAGTTTGACATCTGCCACTGTATGTGTAGAGAGCTGTACAGATGCCCCTGTCCTACAGTCCTGCTCTGTGCCATGGTGAGCCATCAGGGACACAGGGCAAAACCTTGGTCTGGCTTTGCTAAAACCTTACTGCATTCCTTCCTCTAGATAATATCATCAAGAGGATATTCAACATCCTCAAGTTCACCTGGGTCCTTTTCCTGGCAACCGTGGATAGTTTCACCACCTGGCTTAACTCCATCTCTAGGGAGCACATTGACATATCTACAGTTCTGAGGATTGAGAGGTGTATGCTGACCAGAGAGATCAAGAAGGTAAATTGTTGGGCTCCTTCTTCTGCTTCTTCCCACATTAAATGGCTTTCAAAACCAATGCAAGCTATGAATCCCTTATCCCAAGTGCTTGGCATCAGAAGCGTTTCAGATTTCCACCTGTTTCTTGGACTTTGGAATATTAGTGTATACATCCTGAGATATTAGGGAACTTAAGTTATCAATTTGCTCAGATTTAATGTGCACTACAGATAACCTGACAGTGATTTTATATGATATTTTTAGTGTACTCATGTATTAATTGACTATGACTACACATTGAGGTCAGAAGTGGAATTTTCCTCCTGTGCTCTCATGTTGACATGCAAGGAGTTTCTAACTTTGGAGCATTTGAGATTTTAGATTTTCAGACTAGGGATTCTCAGCCTATATCTAAAACTCCAAGTAAGATAAGATAAAACACCAGCTCACCAGGTAGTTTTACATAAGCCCTGTCTTTTTTTGTGTATTTAAATCTATTCCTTGCTCAGAGTAAAAATGATCAACCACCACACACACACACAACAGGGTCCTGGGAAAACTGGTAATTTTTTCATTCTTTCTCCTCTCCTCATCCAAGTTAACAAGTATGTAGACTTCACTGAATCTTAGAAAGAATTATAATTTTAGTCCAGGGAGTTTGATTTGGAACTTCTCAGAGGAAAAATTAGGGCATGTGCAGAGCAACAAAATACCAGTAGTCATGTATGATTTCTAGACTTATTTAAAAGTAACAGTCCATTTCTGGAAAATTACTCTGATTTGGAAAAATCAGTTCCATGCAGGAAGAGATTTCTTTTTTATATTGTTGTACTGGGGGTACATTGTGACAATTACAAAAGTTCTTATATCATAGTTCAATTTATCCCCTCCATCATTCTCCTTTATCTCCTCCCATTCCTGAATAGTCAACAGGTCTTATTTTTCTGTTTTTGTAACGAGTACATATTTCCACCATCTTCACCTTCCTACCCCCTTTCCTCATATCCTCCCCATCCCACTGGTACCAGCCCCCCAGACAGGATGTGCTTTGCCTTCCTGTTCTCTATTTTAGTTTAAAAAAAGAAAAGACAGTTTTGTTTGTTTAAAATAAATACACAGTGAGATTCCTTGTGACATTTCCATGTATACATGTATTGTAATATGAATTGGTGCATCCCCTCCATTCTTCTCCTTTCTACCTTAGTCCCCTTCTTTTGGTGATTTCAGCAGGTTCATTCCTGTGTAGGAAGTACATCAATCATAGGAAGGGATTTCTACTTTAATGCAGGGTAACTTTAATGGCCATAATAGGCTGCCCTCAATCCCCATCTTCACTCGCCTGGCGTCAGTGTGGGTGCCAAGCTTGCCTAAGTGCTGACAGTCATCTGTTCTGGGAAGCCCGGGTGGCCGGGGTGAGACCTGACAAGTGCTAAGAACTGAGCTGATGCCCTTCTCCACAGGGCAACGTTCCAACACGGGAGAGCATCCACCTGTACTACCAGAACCACATCATCAACCTCTCCAGAGAGTCGGGGCTAGACACAATCCACGAGCACCCCGGAGCCGCCTCGGGGGCCCCAGCGGCTGGCAGGATGGATAGCTTAGATTCCCAGGACAGTATCTCCAGGTATTTCACTTTCTGAATGGTGGGCTTGCTTTTGACACAGTGAATGAGGTGACGTCAACATAAGAAATGAGGGTGGGAGGTGGAGGTGAACTGAAAACTTGTGCATCCCAGCCGGTTCAGGCTGTCTCCACCTGCACACCAGTGTCCAAGGATCACTGTCCCCTGAGCCAATAAAAGCAGACACCAAAACACATGACTTGAAATAATCATCCACTTTACAGAAACAGGATAGAGGTTTCCAAGCTTGAGGCAAATAAGAAAGGTCCTTCCCATCCCCCGAATTACTATTTGTGTCAAGGACTACATGTTTACTGCCTTTCAAAATGGCTCCTCCATCAAGTATCTTCTAGGATCTTCTACCTTCTGTTGCTCTTTTGATCTTTTTCCTTTCAGAATTGGTGCTTCAGGGTTTAAAACAAAAATTCAGAAATTCTCTGTGAGCGTGCTCTATGATCACTCACATGCTTGATGAGGGTCCTGCCTTAAGTGGTTTGAGCTTGGGAAGAATGTCTGAACCCAAGCCACTGCCTGCTACAGCACCGGCTGTGATCAGGAAACACAGATGGCCCCCTTCTGCCCACACACCCCAGGCTCTGAGGGAGCCCCCAAAGCCTGGAGCAGTACTTGTCCTTCACAAATACTGACTTTTCAGATGAAGTGGGGGAGGAACCTGAGAACATTTTATTGATGCCAAACCCCAAATAGAAACTGGAAACCCAAATTGCAATGTATGAAGAGAGGTGGATAAGAAAAGGATTTTTTTTAACCATGAAGGTAACTGTGGCTGAATTGCTATATTTGAGTTTCTCTAATTGGGCCTGGTCTTCTACTACTCCATAATTGTCTATTGATACAGATCTACATTTACTGGTATGGAAAGATAATTGTCAAATGTATTCACATATGTATGAATTTATATGTGTATAAAAACTCAAGTTTCAAAATAGCATGTGTATTAAAGTCTCATTTCTATTTTTTAAAAAATATGCATATATTGATTTAAATGTGGGTTTTTTTGTACAAATGAAACGTTTGTGGCTATATTCCTTTCTGTCCTCCCAAATAGATATTGATACTTTAAATAGATAAAATCATTCTTTAGATAATAAAATTACATTATATTTTTCCTTTAATTTGAGAACAGTCTTTGCTTATTTTTAAGTTCCAAGGTCATAGGTATTTCAGCTAATATGTATTTCTTTGAGAAGAGGAAACATTTGAGACAGAAATCACATGTTTATTTCCTGAGATTCTGCTTCAGATATTTTTGATTCTTAGAATAAAATAATTGATTGTTAGAAAAATGTGGCACAGTAGTAAAACTTTCCTTTTCAATCTCTTTCTACCCAAGCTTTTGCACATTTCCCATCCACTAACTTTTGAAAAAATAACTAATACCAAAAATTACAAAGATTAAATTTATACGGTATCCTTCAATTGGTGATTGTTGTGTCTTTCAGAATGCAGCCTGCAAACTAACATTTAGAAAGGGAAACTTTAGTCTCCTCTGAGTCTTTATTAAAACAAACTCATTGTTTAGTTTGATTTTCTGCAAACCATGGTACCTGCCCTATTTGGAAGCTGCCAATCTTAAATTTATTCTAGTGTCACAAGTCTCTCTACATCTGTAGATCGATGTATTTAAATAGAATCACTTACGTTTTAATTCACTTTAATGCCCAAACTTGAAACCCACTTTACTGCCATTCTTCCTAAGTTCTCATGTATTCCACCTTCTCTCTTGGGAGCTCCTCTTTCTGAGTGGAGACTGGGTTGAGGATGTACGCATTCAGTGACAGGGTGCATGCGGAGTATGAGTGGGCTCATTCCCTATCACCATAAAACAATAACGCAGCAGTGATAAGAATGGGGATAACAAGACTGTGTGGCAGGTGAGCACAAGTGTGCAGGTGTGTGCAGCAGGGTGGTGGGGGAGGCAAGGCGAGTCTGAATGCATTGGGCACTCCAGATGTTGACTAACACTGCTTCCTAGTTACAGGAGTGAATGAAGGAGAATCGAAGGATCTAAAATTCCCAAATCCATCAGCTTTAGGACCTACTTATGACCAAACAACCATTTTGCAAAGAACAAAGGAATGATCGAATGAGGAAAAACGCTGAGATTCTCTGGACATACATTTCCCAAGTGATGCTCCATCCATCCACCTGTCCATCCATTTGCTCATTCATTTGTTCATTTTCGCTTAACATTTACAAATGTCCTGGTGCCGCTCTGCATGTATGGAATATGGATGACATCTAACCCAAACTCTACTCGTACTTTTTTTTGTCCCAAAACAAAAACTTCAGATAACTATGGCTTATTTAGGTGAAACTATGTTCACTTCCACCTGAAATTTTTTCTCTCACATAGTGAAAAATACAATTATATACATGCATAGTATATAATTCAATTACTATACCTTTGCATCTTTTCTTTAAGAAAATATGCTGTCTCTAGTATGACTTATAATATGTTCTTTCTTTAAAACTTTCTTGCCTTGATTCATAATAAGAACATATTTTTTTTTACACCTGGATCTGTAAGTTTGGCAATTGAAAAGGGAAATAAATGGAATTGACTTTGTTAATTAGTTATGACTTCCACAGTGATTTTAACATGAACCAATATAGTAGATACTATCTCCAAAAGTGGAAAATGCACATAAATACAACATTTTTCCATAAAATTTATAGGCATCTTAGACTTCCTGAATATAATACATGGGCCTGGCTTAAGAATAATGGCTTTAAAACCAAACTCTAAATCTAAGGAATCAAAAGAATATTAGAAAGCAAACTGAGAATAAATCAGGCAAAAAATAAATATACGTGGTTCTTATCCTTGCGATTTTAACTGCTTCTCAATTTATATTATGTCCAATGAAAAAACTAACTAAATATTATAAATCAAAACTTAGGTAGAAAAAGAAGAAAAGACTATCTAATAAAATCACATAATTGCCTTTATAAAATCTGACCCAAGATTACAAATACAAGTCATACCCGTAATCAAAACTCTGAGTTAGGAGAAATTTTAATTCATTGAAGGCTTTTTACCAATCACTGTCAAAATATTCCCCAAATTATAGTCACTCAATAAATTTTCTAGAAAGCCAGTATCATTAAAGTTAGTCTTTAATGTATTTTGACTGATTTTTAACCTAAACAAATTTTGTCGGGAGTCAAGTGGGTTTCTCCACTTCAGAAATTTCAAATCTCCAAGTAGAAATTGGTCTACACTAAGGTCTCCAAGAAGCCATTGCACTGCCAAAAGAGAGTCCAGAAGTGAGTCCTTGTGTGGATACTGGTGCCAGATACTTGTATCATTGGGTCAGGTCGGGTGACCACGAGGGTACCCTCCTGTAGTGAGGACAGCCATTTTGTGTAGCTGTCCCTCTGACATTCATGTCAAGAATTTTTACCTGTCCTGGGAATAGGGTGGGAGCCTAACAAAGGCATCTAGATGTCCTTTAATGAAATAGTCATGATTTCCTTCAAATGCAGAGGTGAAGTGGCAATAATTTTTAATGGTCAGTTTATGAAACCAGCTATCATCTACCTTACAAAAGTTAATATAGTAGGTTAAACTGCTGCAGATTATATAAATTGATTCTGAGGAGCATGCCAGCTATGAAGGGTGGCTGTCACTCGAAACATGCCAACTCAGAGTTGTTGTATGTGCCAACCATGAGGAAGACTTCTCATTTCTGCCCTCCCAAATTGTTTCTTCACTAGTTAGCAGGAAATGCAATTTTAGCCAATGGTTCTCTCCCATATGACATCTGCCAAGACCTACAAGTGATCTGGAGCAAAAATTAGGCAAAAATGAAACATTATCAGACAAAATGATCCTGGCATGGATAGAATTCCATTGTTATTTTCTTCGTAGCATTTTATTTTATTTTTGATGCTGGTTGATATCTAGTCACATATCAGCCCAGCATCATTTTTATAAGCATGGTATCTAGTTTGATTAACTGAATATCACTGAGAAAATGGGTGGAAAATTCAGTTTGCTGTGTCTTTCCTGAGCTTCCCCTTTTAGAGGCTGTGTCAAAAAATAATTACATTCTTTTGTCCAAATTGTATAAGCATTTATTTCTGTTTATGCAGTTAGGTTAATAAATCCTCTAGGGTGATGATTCCAAATATAGCGTATTTTCTTCAGCTACCAAAAAGAATTCTATTGCAAACTTATAATGATATAAGTCCTGCTTTTTGAGAGAACAAATGGGACTTGTTACTCTGCTTCCTCATTTCATGCAGGGAGACCCACTGGGTGGTGTATTACTAGTCAATGTATGTTTTAAACTCCAGTCTTCTTGTGTTTCATTATCCAGCTAAACAGGTCCCTCCCTATCCTGGAGCCCCCGCTGCAGTGGTCATCCTTGTAGGTGGTGTTGGTGTTGTTTGGTCTGCCGCATGGCAGTGTGTTGGTCAATTGACTGTGTAAGCTGATGGACCAGCAGCATTTTAACTCTGTGTTTCTGTAACTGTTTGCGCTGTTAGCTGCTACACTGAAGCCACCCTGCTGTTCTCAAGGCAGTCCACCCTTGATGATTTAGATGGACAAGACCCCGTTCCTAAAACAAGCGAGCGCGCTCGGCCTAGGCTCCGTAAAATGCTCAGCATGGACATGTCCTCCTCTTCAGCTGACAGTGGCAGTTTAGCATCAAGGTGCTTAATTTGTGCATGCTTTGTTCTGTAATTTTATCTCCTGTCCCCTTGATGTCATTGCACATATAAGTTCTTGTCCTGTATGTCGTTCTTCTTTCGTGTCTTTAAAATTTTGCATGACTAACAAAAGCATGATCATGACAGCCCTTTCTGAGACGCAGTGATTCCCAGGACACTGTTTGTGAAACTAACCACTCCTCAGTTTTATCATTAGGAATTTCTTTAAAATCTTTATTTCACACTTCCCATTTTCAAAGACTTGACCATGCTCCCTACATTTGGTTTACAGATTTTATAGGCAGCCCTCATGGGGAAATCACAAGAAAGAACATTTTCTCATGATTTTACAAAAAAAAACATACTGCACAAAAACAACCTGAAAATCTGACACAAAGAGTCATTTTTTAGTTGATACAGAACAACTCTATCTATGTTCAGTGTGTGTGGCTAACATAAAAGTCAGAATATCTTTTAACATTGACTTTTCAAGAGAATAATTATTATGCAGTAGGATATATCACCCTGTAAACTGTCACTTGTGCTGCTTGGCAAGATTTATTCTGGGCTTAAGTTTCCTCATTGAAACCTGTCATAAAACAATGAAGTGATCTGAACACAATCCAAAACTCTTTTATTAAAATCTGTCTTAGAATGGCCACAGGTGCTAGCTACATAGTGCTTATCTTAACATGAAAGGACCCAATCCAAAATCTGACAGCTTGTGGTGGCAAATCAGAGTGCTCTCTGCATTTTGCTGGGAGTTGTGTGTATTACCACGTGCTACAGGATGCTTGACCTAGCATCAATAAAAATTCCTTGCTATGAACTTGCTGAGTCCTGAAGGTACCCATAACCCTCAGGCCCTTGAGTGATCCCAAACCTTGTAGACTGTGCTCACCATCACTTACAGTCACACAGAAAGTCAGATCTGGTGTGGAGTTGGCTCCTGTGACCTGAAAGTCCCCTGAGGCAATGGGCCAATGTCTTGCTTCCTAGGAGGTTGTATCTAATTGAGCAAGCTTCTGGTTAGGCCTAGCATTCCCAGAACCTTCTACATGATGTGCACAGCTTAGGTCCAAAGACCTGGGGATGCTCAGCATCTGAGAAGGTATCGAGGTTTCATCCAGACCTGGCTCTTCTGTCACAGGATGCCACAGAGGGTCTGCCTAGCTCATTCATCCATCACTCATTGACATGTCTACACTGGTCTCCATGACAAGTAAATGAATACAACCTGTGCCTTTGAGAATCTCAGTGTTTAAGGGGACCTACTTGCTCACTTATGCCATTCAGATAGCAATAAATACTCAGGGTCTAAGAAACCACACTCCCATTCTCCAGATCCCAAATATCCTTCTGTCCTTCAGGGACCCAATGTTTCTGGGGTACACAATACTGAAAAGCATGCCATGAATTTCATGGTGCAGCTGCTGTTTTTAGTTCCAACCTTTCCTGCAGGTTACAAACAGGGAAAGCTAGAAATAATGGATAAAAGGAAGAGAACACAGAAAAATAACACTGGGTGACAAAAGTAAGGAGTGATGACAAAGGCAGAGAAGCCTGTAGAGAAAAGCAAATCTAGAGGAGGAACTACAGAAAAAAGTAAACAAAAGTTGTTGGGAGGTTGGAGAACAGAACACTCAGGGGAGGGGGAAGCAGGCTACTAAAAAGGAGACCAACCTGGGAGGAAAAGATGAGGGCCATCCCTGTGCCAGATGAAAAACTCATGAGAAATGGCTGTGAGCTGAAGCAATGGTGGAAATTCAGTCAGATTTGCTACATACCACAAGAAAATGGGAAAGGATGAAAAAAATCAAAGAGGAGAGACATACTGGCTGCTTGAACCATGCCAGTGATCATTCCCATCACCCCTAGAAGACCGGGGTAGGTCCCTTGTGTAGGACTGAAGGTGGGAGACATCTTGGTGAAAAACCTACAGGACTAACTAGCAAGGCTTCTCCTTTCCCTATGCACTCTTCTTCAAAGCACTCGTAAGGGTGGGTATGCTTATGCTGACTTTGTGTTGATTTGGAAGTAGACGCTGGAGCTCATGCCTGTGAATCTTGATCCTGTTTCAACACCCCTATTTGATAGACGGGGTTTGCTCCTTGCAAGTCTTGCACCTTGCTCTGGTTTTAAGGGTGTGTGTGCCCGCTGTTCACTTTTGCATCTGAAAGACTACTGTCTGCAGTTTCTGCAGCTCAGGAATGAATATCCTAAAGGAACAAAGCAAATGGAATGTAGAAAATGGGGTACTTTGCTCTCTTCACTTGCTTGATGTTTTCACTTGGGAGTTCTGAGATGGTGTCTTGGGAATTTGGGTCAGTTCTGGGTGTGTGAATGCTAAGTGCTCTGTGCTGTCCCTCTCTCCTGGCAGTGAACCCACACAGTGCACCATGTTATACTCCCGCCAGGGGACCACGGAAACCATCGAGGAAGTGGAGGCCGAGGCAGAGGAGGAGGCTGTGGGCCTAGAGCCAGAGCTCAGTGATGCTGAGGAAGAGGATGAGGCAGAGGAGGAGGCAGAGGAGGCTGACTTTGATGCACGGTCGGAGGAGGTTGGCCTCACTCCTGAGGAGGAGTTGCCACAATTCTCCACAGATGATGGGGATGTGGAGGCCCCACCCTCCTACAGCAAGGCTGTCAGCTTTGAACACTTGTCCCTCTGCTCTCAGGATGACTCTAGGGGCAAGAACCACATGGTGGTCAGTCCTGATGACAGCCGCACTGACAAGCTGGAGTCAAGCATCTTACCGCCCCTGACTCATGAGCTGACAGCCAGTGAGCTGTTGCTGAACAAGTAAGAGCCCAGCAGGCCCAGCACCCTGTCTAGAATCCATCATATACATGCGTCCTCTGATTTCATTAACAGACCATTCCCAAGTAAAGAAAACTCCTAGACACGTACAGCAAACCTACAATTCCAGGACCTCTTACACTTCAGTGCTTCTGTGACTCAGTTACAGAACCAGCCCAAACTGCCCCCAGACGATGTGTTGCCATCTCTCTCTATAAGAATGTCCAGACAGGTTGAATATCCCTAATGGGAAAGCCCAAAATCTAAAATATTTTCAGTACCCAAATGATGCGTGAGGTAGATCAACTCATACCATAAAACTTTTGTTTCATGCACAAAATTATTTAAATTATTTTTTAAATTACCTTCAGGCAGTGTGGATAAGGCGTCCATGAAACATAAGAGAATTTCCTGTGAAGACTGGGTTCCAAACCCAAGATGTCTCTTTATATATGTAAATATTTCAAAATTGGAAAATATCCAAAATCTAAAACACTTCCAGCCCCAAGCATTTCAGACAAAGAATACTCAAACTGCACCAAATTGTCAAAGAGTAAAAGCATGAAGACCTAGGAAACAGGGGTGGGAGTGGGGGACACAACAGGAAGAACCAGGCTGAATGAAACTCAGTAATTTGGAGAAATTGGAGACCAGTGTCTCCTCATATTGATTTTTTTTGACAGGATGTTCCGTGATGATGAGCTTGAAGAATCAGAGAAGTTCTATGTGGGCCAGCCTAGGTTCTTGCTGCTGTTCTATGCCATGTACAACACCCTGGTGGCCCGCTCAGAAATGGTGTGCTACTTTGTGATCATCCTCAACCATATGGTCTCTGCCTCCATGATCACCCTTCTGCTGCCCATCCTGATCTTCCTGTGGGCCATGTTGTCAGTCCCCAGGCCCAGCCGGCGGTTCTGGATGATGGCCATTGTCTACACAGAGGTAGGCTAGACCTTCTTAGCTTCATTACTGGCTGTCACCAATAGTTACGTAATGCTGACAATTTTATATACCTTCTCATGCATCACACATATAGGGAAGTGCAGGATCACCTCCTTTTAAAACACATGAGGAAACACCTTACGGTGACATTAAGTAATTGACCCAGGATGACCCAACTGCTGAGGGGTGGCCATCTTTTTGAAGCCTGGCTGTCAGACCTACTATATTAACCACCAGGATGGTAGAATAAAGCAGAGTGCCTGGTGTCTGTGGTGTTCAACAGATGGATACTAAATTAACTACAAGAAAGCACTTGGAATACAGTTTGGAGCAGTTACAGACTTTGTATTTTATACCTAAAAGTCGTATACCCCAACACAGGGCCTGCTTCTCCACCCTGCCCTATTAAATGCAGAGAAGGCTGCAGAGCCCCATGAGCAACCACAAAGGGAGGAAATGGGAAGCCTTGCAGACCATATGCCTTGGCTCCTGTGGTTGGTTGTGTGGAAAAGGCTGCATTTCCTTCCTGGGTTTTAAGGAAAAGTCTCCATTTCCCACAGCTCTGGAATTACTTCTTATGGCACAGTGCTCATTGGTGTCCAGTTACAGCTAGACACTTGATAGGTTGACAAGTAGCTCAATAGTCAAATTCAGACAAGGTGGTATAGTAAATCATCTCAAAAGTATTCAAAGTATTGATAGTATTATCTTATTCCCATAAAGAAAATGAAGGCTATAAAGACAAGTACAATACTCACTACTTGCCCAAAATAATCGTTCTGGCATGTTCCTTTCCTTACATCACTAGAACATAATGATTCCCTCTTGAGGGAGTAGGTGCTGTTCTCTGACACCTCTCAGTGTGAGGGCACTTGTCAGGTCACCCCTGTTACTGAGAGGTGAGTAAGTGGAGGCACCAATAATATGGAAAAGGGAAGTAGAGCTCCTTGTATAGCTTTCATCTTAAAAGTGCTTGTTTTTAAGTTGGGATTTCCCACTTTCAGTCACACTGAGGAAATGAAGTAGGTGTGACATCAAGTTGACATTAGTTCTCCACAATTTGAATCATGTACCCCAAACAAGAACTATGTAGGCTTAACAATACTAGTAGGAAAAAAGTATTTTCTGTTTTTCAGTGACTTACAGACAAATGTGGCAAGCAGATATGATGGAGGAAAGTACAATGGTGTACATCGAAGCTGCATGGTGTGAGGCTGGGTGTGCTTCAGTGTAGGAACATGTGTCTGCCATACGCAGGCCATGGGTTCCATCCCCAGCACACACATACACAAAAGTAGTATCAAACTGCGTGAAATGTCAGAAAGATGACACATGAAAGCAATACAAACATATAAAGATATTTATATTCCAATTTGTCCTACTATATTTTAATAGCTGAATAATTATGCAAACAACTAAAGTCAGTATAAAAGCCAATTCCTCAAAGACAGAGGAGATGATCATCATTTAGATAGGACACAAGTCACCCAATGACCTTGCTTTGTCTACAATTGAAGACACTTGTGACAATGAGATACTGCTTTATTATAAATTCAGTGGTCTGTGAAGTAGATGATATTATTATTCCATATAATTGTGAGCATTTCCACCACCAAAACTGTGAAACGGATCTTTTTCTAAATTTTATATATCACTTTCTATATGTATTTATATATATGTGTATATATATATATATTTATTTATTTCTAAAAATACTTTTTAAAAATTTCTATCATCCATATGTAGGTGGCAATTGTAGTTAAATATTTCTTCCAGTTTGGGTTCTTCCCCTGGAATAAGAACGTGGAATTGAACAAGGATAAACCTTACCATCCCCCAAACATCATAGGAGTGGAAAAGAAGGAGGGCTACGTTCTTTACGATCTCATTCAGCTCCTGGCTCTGTTCTTCCATCGCTCCATTTTGAAGGTACTGCTTCTAAGGATTCATCAGCTCACAGTGATAACCACAGCCCCTTGTACTCTCCCGAGTGAACTGGAAAACGAGGATCAGTGTCCCATCGGTGGGCTGTAGGTGTATGCTCCTTTAAAAGAAATGATATATTCATTTAATGGACATTTGCTGAAAAAGTTCTGTCGCTCTTAATGGAACTTGTAGTTGGGAGAGATTTTCCCATATTTCTTCCCTAGGTTGAACATATCACAATTAATCCACATTTGTGAAGTCTGATACTAAATTCTACCCCTGTTTTTAGCAATCAGATTGCAGAGAACTGCAATCTGAGATGGCTGACATGGCCCCTCTGCTCAATGCCACATTCTGCCTGCCTCTTTCTGGTAGCACGGCTTTTACTAGTGAGTCTCTTGTCACAGGACCATTATCTTCTACTGAGAGACTGTGGTGGGGGCAGCCCAGGGCTGTGCCTCCATAAGCTTGGTGCCAAGTCACTCTTCACCACTCTGCTCCAGGAAGACCTCCACGCAGAGCGACCTATGTTAGGGTTTAATAGTACTTGTCACCTCCTGAACAGCTATGTGGCTTTTTTTCTTCTTGCCCATTACAATGAACTAAGCTTTATTTTTTTTTTCATTTTTCTTTTATTATTCATATGTGCATACAAGGCTTGGGTCATTTCTCCCCCTACCCCCACCCCCTCCCTTACCACCCACTCCACCCCCTCCCGCTCCCCCCCCAATACCCAGCAGAAACTCTTTTGCCCTTATTTCTAATTTTGTTGTAGAGAGAGTATAAGCAATAATAGGAAGGAACAAGGGTTTTTGCTGGTTGAGATAAGGATAGCTATACAGGGCATTGACTCACATTGATTTCCTGTGTGTGGGTGTTACCTTCTAGGTTAATTCTTTTTGATCTAACCTTTTCTCTAGTACCTGTTCCCCTTTTCCTATTGGCCTCAGTTGCTTTAAGGTATCTGCTTTAGTTTCTCTGCGTTAAGGGCAACAAATGCTAGCTAGTTTTTTAGGTGTCTTACCTATCCTCACCCCTCCCTTGTGTGCTCTCGCTTTTATCATGTGCTCATAGTCCAATCCCCTTGTTGTGTTTGCCCTTGATCTAATGTCCACATATGAGAGAGAACATACGATTTTTGGTTTTTTGAGCCAGACTAAGCTTTAAATATTCCATTCAATTCTGCGCACAAACTCTTCCATGACACACATTTCTGTACTCATACGCCTATTATCACTACCTGACTTTCCTTCTCTTATTTCAACCTTATCTTCTTCAATAAAATATTTCAAATATTTTTATCAAATAGTGTCTTTATCAGTCCCTAGGGTCCTTTTTAGAACAAAGTTTGGCATTAGTTAACACGTACATACACACACACACAGACACACACATGCATACATGCATGCATGTGCCATTTTCTTTTGATGAATTGGTCATTCTTTGACTTGGTTTTTGACCTGGAACTCTTGTTTGCTTAAGAATGAGTCAGAGGAAGACTGGGCCGAGTCTCGGGGAACAAATGCACAACCTGGTGATCTAGGTGCTCAGAAAGCAGTGATCATGCACAGGAGCAAGGCCGAGAGCAGTCTGGGCAGCCTCTTGCTCAAGCATAACCCCGGGCTCTCAGCCTCCTGGTCTGCACATTCTGCTCTTTTTACTGGCTCCTTATCCCATTTCCTTGAAGGAAAAACCAGGCTCTGCAGAAGGCATCACAATCTTTACCTGCCAAGTTGCCAGGCCACACTTTTTGAGTAAAATATTTGCACCTTTGCTCCTGAGACAGCCCTGGGTGAACATGGATCCCCTGTAGCTGTGAGGACTATGGGAGGGACAGGATCATTCTGCAGATGGACACATAGGTGAGCATGGGGCGGCATTGCTTTCATTCAAGGAACAAGTCAGGAGATTAGCATTTCATCTTTAGTCCATCCACCAGACCTTTTCTGTTGCATCTCAGCTAATTAGCCAAACTCTCATCACTGACACCCAACTGTCCCCACTCTCCTGGGTCTCAGGTATGGACTTCTCAGTTCAACTTCCTCAGATGCCCCTCCCTCGGTTTCCTAATCTCAAGGGACAGCTTGCTGGAGTTGATACCTTAAAACAGAGTGCCAGCTGCCCCACTTGAAATAGTAGCTTCAGATGTCACTTTCCTTGCCCTCACAGTGTCACGGCTTATGGGATGAGGATGACATTGTTGAAAGTGGCACGGATAAAGAGGAATCTGATGATGAGATGTCCTTTGGTCATGGCAGAAGAGACTCCTCAGACTCACTGAAGTCCATCAACCTTGCTGCCTCAGTGGAGTCTGTCCATGTGACCTTCCCAGAGCATCCAGCAGCCATCCGGAGGAAACGCTCTGGCAGCAGCACCCAGATCTCCGCAGGGTCCAGCTTCTCATCAAATAGGTCCAATAGAGGTATCTTTCACATGGCACCTAGACTGGGCTAAGCCCCCAAAGGGTCTCATCTGTCTAGTGCCTATGGGTATGAGAAGGGGGTGTTATTTATTGGGTGTTATCAAGAGACCAATATTGTAATATGAAAGAAAAATGCTCTGGTATCAGACCCAAGTTCAAGTGCTGCCTTAGGTATTTTCAAGACAGGGTTCCGTGAACTTTTTGCCCAGACTGACCTCCAAATACAATCCTCCTGATCTCTGCCTCCTGAGTAGCTAGGATTATAAGCATGAGCCTCTGGTACCCAATCAGTTGCCACTCTTGGAGTAACTTGGCCTTTGTATTTATGGGGCTCACATCCGAAACTTTGCAGTTGTTTGTGAAGCAGACACTGGCAGAGCCTTGTCCTGTTCACTTACAACTGGAGAAATTAGGATGTGAAAACAGGCCCGGGCCATGGATGCCACTGCGAAAAGCTGCAACCAACTGAGCATAGTCAGAACTGTTCTTCTGATGTGTTCCAGGAAGAATCCTGGAACAAAGATTCCAGAGGCACGCGGAGAAGAGCCACCACTGGTGTGAACCCCTTAGATCTATTTCAGTGAGGTAGCACTGTCGAGAGGACAGCTTCCTAAATTCTAAATTCTTCCTAAAATCTTAGAGCCATATGCACATAAGTGTCCCCTGGCCGGGCTCCAGCCCTCCGCTGTTGGGCTCTGGGGCTTCTGTGATATTTCTTTTAACAAGTCTGCTGTTCGCCTTCCATCCTGTGATTTCTTTTCATTCTTGTTATTTCTAGGAAGCACAAGCACCCGAAATAGCAGCCTGAAAGGAAGCAGTGTTCTAAGCATCAAGCAAAAAAGTAAAAGGGAACTTTACATGGAAAAGCTTCAAGAGCATTTGATCAAAGCAAAGGCCTTTACCATAAAGAAGTGAGTACATGAAATCATTTGGGGGTTTGTGCTTCATCTAGGAAACTGGCATCAATTTCCTATAAACCAGAGCTGAAAAGCTAAGGAAGCAATTTCTCAGATCATAAACATTGTCTGCTTACAGCAGGACAAAACAGCCTGTGTATAACTTTTATATACACAGCGTTTATGCAAACACTTTACTATTTGAACAAAGTAGGTGGGTAATTTCAAGGTCTTGTGGTATATATTCCCAGGCATTGTTATAAAAAATCCAACCAGCAGGAAGGAATATGATGTCGTGCTGGACCGTACACAGAGATGCCTTTTCCTCCAGAGAGGAGGCACCTGGTGGGGATACTGGTTTGTCCAGTGTCAACAGCTGGTGCCCAGAAAACTTCACAGGCCTCTCCCACCTATTGAGGATGCAGAGAACCAGTATTCAAGAAGAAAGAAGTGACATGGGAGAGGCACAGCAGGACTGGGACTGCAGGCTATGAGCTGAGCCCTATAGGTAGGCTCTGAGACCAGAACAGCCAGCAGCACCCAATCATGGCCTTGAATTGAAGGCAGAATCCAGAGTCAATGAAGATAGGGCAGAGTCTAGACAGAAAAGCCAGAGCAGGAGGGTACAGTGATAAGAACAGATGAGGAGAAGATAAAAGCTAGGGAAGTACTTGGGAGCCATGACAGGCACAGAACCTAAAAGGCAGGAGGCACTTGACACTCACATGTGCCCAGATCCAGTGCTCCAAGGGTACCCTCATGTGCTCGCTTATCTAGCCCTTTCCTGGCCCTATGCATCAGGTCTTATTCTCCTCCTAGTTTCACAGAAGACACAGAAATGCAGAGTTTTGCAGCACATTCAAGGGCACATGGATAGTGCCCCAGTGGGCGCCAAACCTACACCTACTCTATAGGGCTTCATACTCCCTATTATGCTTCAGTAAGAGAAGAGGATAACGGTACCCTGCACAGAGACACTATCCTGCCTGTGCTGCCAAAGTCATCTGTCCACTCTGAGTGGAAGCCACCCCCACGGGGACTGTCCTGAGGCTGGGAGAGGAAGGTGGGGCCAGGCTGGAAAGAGGAATCAGGAGGCATGGAATGATCGCAGTGTCTAGTCCTTCTCCCCTCCTGTCTTCCTGAAGCAAGGGGGAAAGTCTCTATCTTCCAGGACTCTGCAAATATATGTGCCCATCAGACAGTTCTTCTATGACCTCATCCACCCTGACTACAGTGCTGTGACTGATGTGTATGTGCTGATGTTCCTGGCTGACACTGTTGACTTCATCATCATCGTCTTCGGCTTTTGGGCCTTTGGGGTAGGTTTGAACCGAGGTCTTTGTATGACCATCACCGAAGAGTGATGGCTTCCCACATTTGCAAGTGTCCCTCAGGCACGAACCTGTTGTATCTCCCCAGAAACACTCGGCAGCCGCAGACATCACTTCCTCTCTGTCAGAAGACCAGGTCCCTGGGCCGTTTCTAGTGATGGTCCTCATCCAATTTGGAACCATGGTGGTGGACCGAGCACTCTACCTCAGAAAGACTGTGTTGGGCAAAGTCATTTTCCAGGTCATCCTTGTGTTTGGGATTCACTTCTGGATGTTCTTTATCTTGCCTGGTGTGACTGAGAGGTAAGGTCTTCCCCGGCAAAGGCTCAGCAGGGAAGCCTCACAGGTAAAAGAAGAGACAGGTTGGGATCTCTGACAAATCCACGCAAACTAAAATGTAAAATGATCCTCCAAAATATCGCCATTGGGTTTTGTCCACATTTGTAGAAACAGAGCTTTCAGAATAAGAGAGGTCACAGCCTTCACCACCGCAGTGTCTCTAATGTCAGTCCATGTGGAGAGATGTTGGAGCTTGGTATTATGAGCACATATGAGAAATGGATGAAAAGGTGGAAGAAAATACAGAGGGATGGTAGGGGGAGATGACAGTAGCACCTGCCATGTGGGATGCTTGTGGATGACATGTAATGGGCTTGGCACATGGTAAGGGAAGCGGGGAGACCCAAGCTACTTCTGTCAGCACATGGCTACACTCCTAGCACTTGGGAGGCTGAGATGAGATTGTGGCCACCCTGGGCTACATAGGAAGACCTTTCTCCAAAAGAAAAACCAAAACAGCCTGAATTTCAATAGGGAAAAAGCTGGTAAGGTGCCTGGTGGTGGCTACCCTCTGCTACCTGGAACCCTGAGGGGTGCTGACCTTTAGTGCTCAGTGTGCTGAGTCTTCCACCCCTCAAAGCTCTTCCATTTCCCCCCTTTTTTGTCTCCCACCTCCAGCTCTTAGTTCTTTCTCTTATCTCCATGGATCGCAGTCCAAATGTTCCTTCTCCTAAGTGGTCTTCCCATCCCATTCTCCCAGAATAGTACTTGTGAACCAGGTGTGATGGTGCATGTCTATAATCCCAGCTACTCGGGTGATGGAGACCAAAAGGATCTCAGGTTGAGGCCAGCCTGGAAACAAAAGTTAGCGAGACCTTTCTTATCTCAAACAATAAGTTAGATATAGTGGAGTGCCTGTAATCTCAGCTAAGTGTGGGACTAGGTAGAAAGATCACAACCGAAAAAGGAGACTCCATACAAAAGATAACTAAAGCAAAAAGGGCTGGGGTCATGTCTCAAATGGTTGAGCATCTGCCTCAATAATCAAAAGATTTGATTATTCCAATTCCAGAAGTGTGCTCCAGGGTCCAGAGCCTGGATCCTTACCAGGTCCTGACCAAGAGCCTGAGAGATTGGTGCTTCCAGAATGATGGCAACAAGAAGGCCACAGAGAGTCACTCCAGCAGGATCAAATCACCAAACAGTTTGGTCGATCCTGCTTGTATTAGAACACTATTGCTGCTATAACAAATTATGTCAAATTTGATGGCTTAAAACTTATTTTATCATCCTACTGTTCTATAGATCAGGAATCCCACATGTGTCTCACTGGTCTAAAGTCAAGTTGTTGGCAAAGCCACCTTCCTTTCTAAAAGGTCCAGGAGAAAATCCTTTTCCTGGCTTTTTCCTACTTCTACCCACATTCCTTGGCTTGTGGCTTCTTCCTCATCTTTGAAGTCAGCAGTAACAGGATGAGTCCTCTTCACTGGGCATCTCTCTTAATCTTCCACTGTCATGTCTCTTTCCATCATTGACCACAGCTGAGAAAAAGTCTCCTTTTTTTTCAGGATTTGTGTGATTAGATTGGACCCACATGAATAATCCAGGCTAATCTTTCCATCCCTAGACCCTACACAGTGGAAGCTCTACTCACAGAGCATTTTTTCAATTATTAGATTCTCTTACCTCACCTTTTGCCTTTGCAGTGATCCACTCTGTAGAAAATTCCTTGGAATTGTCTTTAAGTATCAGAGGGAAAATCTGTTTGTTTCTTTTTTTTTTTTTTAACTCTAAACCAGTGTCTTTCCATTCCTTCACTTTGTATATTTTTACATTTTAGGAAATTCAGCCAGAACCTAGTGGCTCAGCTTTGGTACTTTGTGAAGTGTGTTTACTTCGGGTTGTCTGCCTATCAAATCCGTTGTGGGTATCCAACACGAGTCCTTGGAAACTTCCTCACAAAGAGCTACAATTATGTCAACCTCTTCTTGTTTCAAGGGTGAGGACACTACTGATGTCTCTGGTGGAGTGGAGGCTGACCATTGGAAGGCACGTTGTTTCCTATCTAGGAAGAGAGAGGAGGAAAGGAGAGTACAGCCATGTCAGTCATCATGGAAACACAAATACAACTCTTTAAACACCTGAATAGAAATGTCTCCTACCTGGCCTGGAAGTGCTCCTAAGATCATCCAAATGGGCTCATTTCTACTTTAGTATCCTGCCTAATTACCATGATAATATTTGGAGATGAAAAGTGGGAATATATCAACCTTAAGTATTAATAAGCTTCTGAACACAGTAGAACAGAATATTTAGTCTGGACTGTTCCAAAACACGTTTGAGATTTTTGTGTGTACACCCAGTTCATCCGTTGAAGAGGGGTATTCATTCCACCAAAGGCCAATGACAGGGCCATTGACCTGCTTGCTCTGACAGTCAGTCATGTCTCAGACAAAGCATATTACTGTCCTGGTGATGTTTCAGTGCAGCATCTACTCTCTCTATTCCCCTGGAAGTTATGCTAAGACACAAAATGTAAGGCAATTGAAGGCACTGCTGGCTCCACATGTCACCACACCTGGGTACTGGTGATCCGCCACACGTTGAGTGTTTCATTAGTCCTAGGCTGTACCTGGGCCTGATTTCTTCAGGGGGTTAGATTAGCATTCACTCCATCGAACTGAGGTAGAGTCTCTCAGTAGTAACCAAACTGCTGTCAGGACCCTGAAATGAGCCCAACTTCTCCAGCCTGGGAGAAGATCTGTGTCATTCAAGAAATCCAGAGTGTTCCTCAGAGGCTACAGGAGCCCAGGCCAGTCCATTCTGAAATGCAAGAGGCTGCTGTAGTAACTTAACAAATCCACCCACTGTGGGTCTCTTATTGGAGGAAGGGTTCCTCAGATTCTCAGTTTCCACACAAAATCACAGGTACTTGAGATGACAAATATGGAAAGAATTTCAAGGTATCTAAAGGAGTCTCACAAAGTGGAAGTTTTAGCAAGGATTTATTTTAGTGTAACAGGATAAAGTAGGGAGAATTGAAGAAAAAGGAAAAACATTTCCTGTTACCTGTGCAGGAAATGAGAGTAAAGACTCAATCAAAATGGTGGTTCTTATCTGTAGTCTTATGCTTTCTGAGATGAGGGAATACCTCAGTGCATCGGGATGTGCAAGATACTGTTTGTTATTTTAAAACATGGAGATGTGATCTGGGCCTACCCAAACCACAAGGACAATAGGTGTTTTAGGACTTTCTTTTGTTGGACATGTCTTCCATTTTTCTGTCTGTCTACCCATTCAAGGAGCCTTGAAGCTCCTTAACATTTCAAGAAGGAAGACAGGTGCAGGCAGGCCTCACTCCAATGCCTGAGTCTGGGCCTTTCGATATTTATTAATATTAATATAATTCCCTGACTCCTCATCTGTCTCTCCTGCCTCATTTCCTTCTGTCTCTGGCTCCCAGAGACAGTTCTCGCTCTCTTGAACTTTTCTATTTGTCTTCTTCTCTTACTTACCAGGTATATAATTTTGGCTAATTCATCCATCAGCAAAGCCACAGTAATTCAGTAACACTGTGGCCAACAGATTATCATAATATAAACAAATAAGTGTGAAAGAAACTGATTTCTAACTTATTAAAAATGGAATCCAGTTGGTTACAACCACCAGGGAAAATAAAAGGGGTGAAAGTACCAGTTGGGCTTATAACAAAAAAGCAGGTGTATTCCTAGCTGGGTTTTACTGTGAGGGTCACCTTGAGGGTTTTTTGTAAGTCGTGAACCACATGAGCCCATGAGGTGAGGTAGATCATGGCGCCATCCCACAAATGCCTCTCTGACAAGTTGTGGCTCCTGGCAGGTTCCGCCTTGTCCCGTTTCTAACCGAACTGAGGGCAGTGATGGACTGGGTGTGGACAGACACCACCCTGAGCCTCTCCAGTTGGATTTGTGTGGAGGACATCTATGCACACATTTTCATCCTGAAGTGTTGGCGGGAGTCGGAAAAGGTAAGAAGCTCACTACAGTGTCTCCTTCTCTTTGATGTAGGTTAGTTGAAAGATAAATACAGCTACTGTGAGTTTTGTGACCCAAGAAACAGAGGCAGGGACAAAAACTGTTGTGACATAAATGTTGAATTGATTCCTAACCTCCTGGAGCTGGATTTTTTTAACTTACTTCTGCCTTTGTCAGCAGCAATGTCCAGATATTTTCTGCTTTTGGCAACAGTATATTACACTTATTCTCAAAAAGAGATAATGCAATGTTGTATGGCCTAATGATTCTTTTAGCTCACTTGGGAGCAAAGGAACAGATGTAGATGTAAGGGGGTGGCGTGGGTTTGTGTTCACCTTCTGAGGATGTTTGGAAAATTTAGACTCTTCATGAAAAAGAAATTGAAGTGCAAATATGTATTTATTCTTCTAGATTCAATATTAAGGTTGAAATATAGGTTATACTTACTGGGTTGTTCAAAAGTTTGGGATATGAAAGCTAGAGCTCCTGGCACTATAGCAACAGAAGTATCTGAGCAACATTAGCTAGGCAGAAGCAAAGGCCTTTTTGTCTTACTTCAAAAGGAACTGGAGAACATCATCTTAAGTGAAGTTAGCCAGGTTCAGAAGGCCAAAAGCCATATGCTTTCTCTCATTTGTGGAATATAGACCCAATTCAAATGCAGCAATAGTATGAAAATCAGGTCACATTAAGGGGAGGTCACATAAAAGAGGGGGAAGGTAAAAGAAGGAAGTTAAGAAGGTGAATATGGTTGATGTACTGTCTACACAAGAATGAATACAGAATTTTTAAGCCTGTCGAGACCACCAGAAGAAGAGGACTAAGGTAAAAAGGATAAAACCAGAGATGAACCAATTTGGGTTATAATATGTATATGCATAGAAATGTCACAAGGAAACTTCCTGTGCAGCTATCTTAAACAAACAACAATGTGATTCTTTTTTTCTTTTATACAATTGGAGAACAGGAGGGCAATACAGGTGCTGTCTGGGTTGGTACTGTTGCAGGAATCTCAAGCTGAGATACGGGACACCAAGGCAGTTTAGCAGGAAGAAACATTTATTGTCTGGGCATAGACCCAGCGGACTTGTGTCCAACGGCTGAGCCCTGAGAACAAAGGGGTCTCACCTTATATGCCCTTGCAAGCAGGTTACAGAAAAAAGCTAAGCTCAGCCCACTTGTGGCTGCAAGTGACTTCGTTGGCTATTTTATTTCCCCAGTGCTATGTGACCTTTATGTTTCAGGTCTTTAAGTTTTATCTCTCTGCTTTGCCATCTCTTCGCCCTGCCTCATTAACAGAACACAGCCTGTCTGTTTCTCTGCTGGCCCTCCTCCTTGCTACAGTACCAGTTTAGGGGTGGGGTGGAGAAAAGGTGTGGGAGGGTAAATATAGCGCAAATACTGTGTACACATCTATGTAAATAGAGAAATGAGACTTGTTGAAACTGTTCTAGAAAAGGGGAGAGGAAAGGATGAAGGAGAATGATGGAGGGGGTGAGTTCAATTATTATATATTTGATATATTATAAGAACTTTTGTAAATGCCACAATGTACCCCCACTCAGCACAACAACAACATATATATATATATATATGTATCCTTTTTGGAAAAGTCTCCTCTGTTCCTTACAATTTCTAGCATGCATTCTGCTTCCCTTGGGCATTTTAGTTTATTGTCATAAGGTCAATTGTGTTGTGGTCTCTGTGCTTATGAGGTTTTTGGAGTGAAGGAGATGGAATCTGGAAATGTGCTCAACATCATTTCAGGTTGTCCTTATCTTTGAGGAGCAGAGGAATTGACGTGATGACAGAATGTCTTGGTCTACTTTTTGTTGCAATAACAGAACATCTGAGACTGGATAATTTTTTTTCTTTAGTTCCATAATGTATTTTACTTATTTATATTTTTTATTCATATGTGCATACAATGTTTGGGTCATTTCTCCCCCCTCCCCCTTCCCCCTCCCTTACTACCGCCCCACCCCCGCTACCTGGCAGTAACTATTTTGCCCTTATCTCTAATTTTGTTGAAGAGAGTATAAGCAATAATAGGAAGGACCAAGTGTTTTTGCTAGTTGAGATAAGGATAGCTATACAGGGCATTGACTCACATTGATTTCCTGTGCGTGTGTGTTACCTTCTAGGTTAATTCTTCTCGATCTAACCTTTTCTCTAGCTCCTGGTCCCCTTCTCCTATTGGCCTCAGTCGCTTTTAAGGTATCTGCTTTAGTTTCTCTGTGTTGAGGGCAACAAATGCTATCTAGTTTTTTTTAGGTGTGAGACTAGATAATTTATAAAGAAAAGAGGATTATTTTGATTCCCAGTTCTGGAGGACAGGAAAGTGCTAGTATCTGTTTGGCTTCTGCCAAGGGCCTCCTGCTGCTCCATGCATGGCAGAAAAGCTGAAAATCCTCCAGCTAGGTGCAGAGGGAAGGAAGAGGGGTTGACCTCCCCTTGTGACAAACCCATTTCCATAAGAAAAATCAGTCTGTTCATGAGGACTCCTGTTATGGCCCAAACACCTGAAAACATCTCCACCACCTTTTAACACTTTTACATTGGAGACCAAGCCTCACCACAAGGTTTGGTGAGGACAAACTATATCTAAACCACAGCACAGAACAAGAGGAGAGCCAAAGGCACATGGAGGGCAGCCATCAGGGTGACAAAGAGCCCTGAAAGCATTACATTTGAGAAAAAGTAGAAAGACGAAAGAGTTACTCGGTTTAAACTAGGGAAATATGAGGGAGTGAGCAGCCATCATAGCTGTTTTCAACAATTTGAAATGTTAGAAAGAGACCCCAAACTAGAGTTGATTTATGAGACAAAAACCAACCGAAAATCAAACTAAAATCAAAACGAAACAAAGAAACCAGAATTAAGACACTCAGGCAAAAACTTCAGTTTTTTTATTTTTTATTTTTTATTTTATTTCAATGCGATGCAAAGAAATGTCTCACAATCAAAGCCAGTCCATTACAGAATTGGCTGCCTCAGGAGGTGCTCACCAAGAACTATACAAGTACACACAGAGGATCACGCAGACAATTTACATCATGACAAGGTCACTTTCATGAGTTAGACTACTGACCTTGTAACAAAATACCTGAGATAAATCAGCTTAACATGAGGACGGGTTTATTTTTGACTCACAGTTCTGGAGATTATAGTCCATAGTTACTAGGCCCTATTGCTTCAAATCTTTGGTGACACCACAATACATGGTAGCAGGAACTCAAGACAAAAGAGACTCGAGCAGCTCATGGCAACTGAGAAGCAAAAAGGAACAAAAGACCAAAGTCCCACAGCCCCTTCAAGAGCTTCCCACTAGGCCCCAACTCAAAGTTTCCATCACCTCCCAAAGGGCACCAAGTGTTTAACACAGGCCTTTAGGGGACATTGTAGACCCAAACTGTAGCACTTCAGCTCTGGAAGACACTCATTCAACTGACAAAAGATCAGTTTGCTATTGTTGTTAAAAAAAGAATGACTTCTGAACTTTAGCAGTTCAAAAATAACAATCATTTTACCTGCTCATAATAATTTGGTGATTTTAGTTTGGCACCACTGCATAGCCTGTCTGGGCTCAGTCCTGTAGCTGCAGTCATCTGGTGGCCCACTTGGTGCTGGATGTTATTCAATCATCTCACTCAGACGCTTGGAGTCCAAAAGTTCAGGGGTCCCTCAGCATCTATGGGTGAATGGTTCCAAGGTCCCCTTTGGATACTCAAATCTGCAGATGCTCACATCTCCTGTAAAAAATGCTGTAGTGTCACATGTGACCTATGCAACCTTCCATGTGTACTTTAAATCATCTCTAGATTACTCACAGTACCTAACAGAATCAAATGTGATGTAAAGAGAAGGTTTACAGTATTATTTTGGGGATGTAGGTTGCCGACAGGCAAAGGGCACTGCATTCACCCATCTTTGGGGAGGAAGCCCAGGCTTTCCTCATGATGGCTTCACATTCCCAGGGAGAGAGGGGAACCTGCAAAGCCTCTTTAGGCTGAGGCTCAACATCTAGGCCCCTCAAGGGTGCACCAGTGCATTTTACTGGTCACAGCAAGTTCAAAGTCGACCTAGAATCAAGGGGGTGGATAAGGACTATGCACAGAAGAATAAGAATTTAAGGCTTTTTTTTGTTATCTACCACAAACATTTGTTAAGAACCTCCTATGTGTCCAGAACCCTGCTAGACATGGGACTAGAGAGGGGAAGCAGACATTCAATGGCCACATTATCATGAGTCTGTGGTCCAGTAGAGGGAAACAGACCTTAGTAACATGGTCACACAAACAATACAATGTATGATGGACACTTTGACAGAAAGACACAGGACACTCTGATAGCATCTCACCGGCAAGTAGACTCCTTGGGGAAGTAGGATGGCTGGGTACAGTGGGAGCGTCCACTTTTGTATGTCTGCTCCTGAGTCCTTGCCCCATCCCTTTCCCCTCTCCTCTGCTCTTACAGGGACCTATTTGCTGACTGTTTTCTGCTCTTGACTCCCCAGATAAAGCCCTTCCATGTCTCTTCACTGTCCAAAGTATCCTCCCCACTTCTCTATGCTTTAATTCCTTCTCAACCCCAGATGTCAATCGATATCTCTTTTTCATGGACCTCCTCTGGCCCCCAAGTTTAGACCACATCTTTTCTTAGGGGTTCCCTAAACCCTCTCTCCATTGCCTATCCATTTCTTACCACATCAAGAGTCAAATGTCTCTTTATTTTTCTCTATTATAAGGTCTGTGGAAAGATCAGTGTAAAGCAACAAGAACAATTTCCTGAAAAACTCATGTTGGCATGAGTGTACAAATGCAGGCGGGGCCATTTTCAGAGGTGTAAGGAAAAAAAGGAATCACCCTTTTATTGAAGTTCTCCTTTCCCCGCTGTCCCTCCTCACATTCAAGTTCACTGGGTTTATTCATGTGTTATGCCATGCCTCTGGTAAACCAGCCACCAGCACCCAGATGACAGGAGGGAGTCAAGGGGAATGTCTGTCACCCAGAACTCTCTGTGCACCCGAGCCCCATCCATGGCTATTGGTTTCAGCCCAGAGCAACTGTCAAGGACAGCTGTGGGAAAGCACAGTGGCCTGCAGAGCCCTTGCAGGAATGCCCAGATCAGCAGCATTCCCGCACAAAGCAGCGATTTGCTCCTGTGCAAATGCTGTAATGATTTCCATGCAGCCATTTCCCAAAATTCTCTAGTAAGCTGCAAAAGTAACAAAACAGGAATGGAAAACTGAGTTACTAGAAAAGGAGGGATGGAGTATTCTAGGACAAGAAAGTGACAATCCCATCACTCAAGATTGATCCAAAGGTCTTCCTCTTGATCTGCCCAGGGAATGCAGGGGGGCTGAGCAGGAGAGGGCAGAAGGTAGGGGGTTCTGGGGACTTTGAGATGAGACTCAGGGCTGACCTTTAGGAGAGGAGCTGACACAGTCCCACTTCAGGCAGAAGAGACCAAAACTCTCCTTCGCAGAGAGAAGATAAGTTTGCTTTCATTTGATACATTTGCAAAACTCTTCATAATTTAATGTTAGAGTTCTGATGTATGGGGAAGTTAGTGTGTGTGTGTGTGTGTGTGTGTGTGTGTGTGTGTACATATGTATGTGTACCCTTGTGCATGTGCACGCATATATACCAATATTCATATGCGAATTTTCAAATATTGGGCTCTAGTTTTACTTGCAGAATAGCAAATTGGAAATAGTAAATTATAGGCAATAGTTTCAAATTCCAGTGCAAAGATATTTAAAACACACTTCTATCATCTGAGCTTCATACAACTTCCCTAGTAAAGAATCCTTTAGAAGTATTATCTCGGGTGCACTGAGTGGGCAGTGCTCTCCTTGTGGCCCAAGCCACCATTGGCTCCAGTCTATGCTGTCTTGTTTCCAGGGTTACCTTTAGCAATCCCTGAGTATCCAGGTGTGAACAGTCTTACATCTGTGTTCTGTGCTGACTCCCAGGCTTCCCTCCTGATTTGAAACCTAGAGTACCGGCAGGTAGAATGTGGATTATTTTTCCTTATCTTAGCCTGCTGAAATGGACAGTTTCCTTTGGAGGGAATTCGACCTTGAGGAGAAATCACTCAGCTGTTAGGAGTGGGATAGCTGCTGTGGTTTGTGTACAACCTACTTCAGTAGGTTTTCTGTTACCTATAACACAATGCACAGATTGGGAAAATTATAAAGAAAAGAGGTTATTTCAGCTCATGGGTCTGGCCAAGGTCAAGGAGAGGCATCTGGCGATGCTTTCTTGCTGGCAGAGTTCCAAGGCGGTACAGAGCATCACTTGGTGAGATCCCTTAAAACCAAGAGGTTTGCTTTGCAAGATATGTGAGCCCTTGGTTCTTACGTTGTTCATCACCAGCACAACACGCACGTGTGAAGGATGTGTCAGGCCCATGTGGCACTACTGTGGAGACATGTCGTCAGCTCGGCACAGCTTCATATCACTCTCTGACTGTTCTAAGCATGGGACAAGGTTGCTATCCCCATATCAGAGCAAGCGGAGAACAAAGATGAAGTCCACATTCCCCAACCTTGTGGGAACTGCTCTCGCCCTTCTCCCCACCCTGCTCCTCCCGCCTGTCTGCCTGAGTCTTTTGAACTCCTCTGTTGCAGAGATACCCTCAGCCCCGGGGCCAGAAGAAGAAGAAGGTGGTGAAGTATGGCATGGGTGGCATGATCATTGTCCTGCTCATCTGTATCGTTTGGTTCCCGCTTCTCTTCATGTCCTTGATCAAATCTGTCGCCGGGGTTATTAACCAGCCTCTGGACGTCTCCGTTACAATCACCCTGGGAGGGTATCAGGTAATCCAGGTCTCACTCACCTTCTGGATTCTTACCTAATGTCTCCCCCTTTCAGGACAGTGCCAATGTCCTGTCAAAATGTTGATTGTTCCATAAACATATGACATATGAAGTAAGGTGCAGGAGATGGTAAAGGCGTAAGTCATTGCCTAGCATGCACAAGGCCCTGGGTTTGAATCCCAGCACTGCAAAAAAAAAATTCTATCTGGTTTTGAGCACAGGAACAATCAGTGCAAAAACAGACCCAAGGCCAGGTGCCTTCAGGGAACTCAGTGGTGGTGTGCTGGGTGAAGGTTTTCTTTTAACATAAGATGTGGAGAAGAGCTGGACAATGCTGACAGCACTATGTGCCTTTGTGTTCCAGCCTATTTTCACAATGAGTGCCCAGCAAAGCCAGCTGAAAGTTATGGACCAGCAGAGGTTTAATAAATTTATGAGAGCCTTTTCTAGGGACACGGTAAGTAAACAAATGCATGTGGTAGATCTCTATGAACACGTTCATCTAAGTGAGCCCACTGGTTGTCATTTCACTTTATATTTAATACTTTGCCATGGCCTGCGGTGGTTGGAGGAGGACTTTTCTGGAATTATCATTATATACGGTACCTGGCCACTGGCTACCTTGATAATCTAAGAAGTTATTTCTATGTCATTGGACATAAATGAAAATAAACATAATTTGAATTCAGAACATTTTGATGTAAGTTAACAGATATTGATCCATTTTTACACAACATTTTAACTTTTTAAGCTGCAGTATATTCTTTGATCAATATCATGGGAACCTATCCTAAGAAAGTAATCCAAACTATGGGAAATTGGCATTTGCTTAACTGCACATCCTCTATTAGCAGAAATTGGAAGTAATTTCAGGGCTCAAGAAGATGATTGGTGGAGGAAATTATGGCAGATGTATGAAATGAATTTACTTCTAGTTACCCTCCAGGTCAGCATGAGAGAAAGCTTCCACTTGGTATTTCATTCACATGCTTTGCTGTCTAAAGATTTTCAAAGCAGTTTCTTTTATAAAAAATAATCATTACAAAGACTATAAAAGGCACGACAATTTTCTAATTCAAAACATAAATGGAAAAATATAGACTATCACATTTAAAAATATTGGTGCTGGCAGAGTAGCTCAAGTGGTAGAACACCTGCCTCACACCATGAGGCCCTGAGTTCAAATCACAGTACACAAACAAACAAAAGTTAAACAGTAAGAAACACATCCTGTACTACATAAGACAATGACAATATTCTGTGGCAGAATTGTAGCTGAGATTATTCTTTACACTATATTTCAACTTTTTGATGATATGCTAGCATGATTTTCATCATTAAACTCAGTTTTGAAATAATGTTTTTAATTTTAAGAAGTGATAAGGTAACAGATACTTTTGTGTAAAATTATCACCCATATTACACACTGTCAAAACTAATCTTGAGAAGTGAGAGACTGTTGAGATGCTGCCAGGAGGTCCTGGGTGGATTAAATTCTGTCTCTCTCATGGGAAGGACATTACATTATTGAGTTCTCCTTTGTTGCTTAATTGAAACGATTCCAGAGCTGTTTAGGGGTAACAATGCCACCACTGGTTGAGCAGTGTGACTAGGAGCCCTCGTGGGTAGGGAGGCAAAGGACGATGGAACACAAAGCCCTCAGGAAATGTCCTCTTTCTAGGCAGAAGCTCTGTGTACAGTCAGCATAAAAGGAGAGTCAGTGCTTTCGTTACGGCTTCATGTATATGATCTACTCATGCACGTGTTTGTGAACATACAGGGTGCTATGCAATTTTTGGAAAATTATGAAAAAGAAGATATAACAGTAGCAGAACTGGAAGGAAATTCAAATTCTTTGTGGACCATCAGCCCTCCCAGTAAGCAGAAAATGATTCAAGAACTCATGGACCTCAGTAGTAGCTTCTCTGTTGTTTTTTCATGGAGTATTCAGAGGTAGTTACTGTATTTCCATGCATCATTCCCCTTCCCCAATCTGAGCTCGGGCGGGGGGTAGAAGGGTAGAACCATTAGGTTAATGTGGACCTTATGCTATCCTTACACCTTGGGAACGTTCCTGTGACACTAAAGCTAACGTGTTTACTAAATAATGACTGCCCAGGAGTCAATGATCGAACTAAAAATGCTTTGGGCTTCTTTTCTTTCTTTTTTTTTTTTTATTATGGAGTTTAAAGAGAGGCTAGCAGTGAATTTTGTGAGCAAAAGAGAAAAGTAGAGAAACAAAAAGGATTATGGTTAGTAAAATGAAATAGAGTCTGTGTGAAGTATCGAAATTTCCATGATGGGTTGAAATTTTGTATTAGTAAGAAAGAAATTGTAGCCTCGGCAGGAGGCAAAAGTGGGAGGATTATGGTCCAAGGTCAGCCCAGACTGGCCCTTGAACTTGAGATCCTATCTGAAAAACATAAAAGAAAAGGAACTAGGGTATGTCTTAAGTAATTACCCAGCAATCACAAGTCCCTGAGTTTAATCTTTGCTATGGAGAAAGAGGGAGAAGGAGAAGGAGAGGGAGAGAGAGAGAAAGAGGGAGGGAGAGAGAGAGAGAGAGAGACAGGGAGAAAGAGAGACAGGGATAGAGAGAGAGAGAGATCCAGAGAAAGAGAGAAAGATCCAGAGAAAGAGAAAAAGCCACTGAAGGCTGATCATCATTTGCATCCCTGTGACACTGGATACACCTGAGTGTTTTTCTCCAGCCTCTGACTGTAAGAGCACCTAAACAGTCTCAGAAGCGGGCTGAAATCCCTTCCCCCAACTAGAGCCAATAGCCAGCATGCAGCCATGACTTTGTCTGCTGTGTAGACAAACTATGCCATACTAAAAGTTCAAATACTGCAGCCAGTGCTCTATTGACACACTTTTAGGAACCTCAGCACAGCATCCTGGTTGATTCTTTAGTTCCCTTCATCAGTCTTGAGACTCAGGGCTCCAGGCAGTTCATGAGCAGGCTCATTTGGGGCCACAATACCAACTTCTTGGTAAAAATTAAGAAATCATCATGACAGGGACAGACGAAAGCCTTGTAGGGCCCAAAGGGAATGCACAAGGAAATGGGAAAGAACTACTTTGAAAGGGTCTGGTTGCAACTTCTTCTTTCTTTAGCTTATTTTTTGTCACAGATGTCCCCAGTTACTCACTTCCACTAGTGTATCAATTGCCAAAAATTTACTTTCCAGGCCTTTCTTTGAAGAGCTACCAAAACAAAATAACAAAAAGTTAAAAATCATCTTCTGATTTAACGTTCCTTTAAACATGATGCTATTAGTCACCACGGGGACCAACACTGTGGGTTAATAGAAGAATGTCTGAAATTCATATTAGTGCATCAAGACAGTTGACTTTTGGCCAGCAAACTCTACCTGCTCATCTCCAACTCTGTCTTAAAAGTGTTTATGGCCTCACTGGGTTTTATTAACTTGGTTGTTTAAGAAGCTAGATATAAATGTGAGAGGAACAGATTGGGTTGGAATGAAACTTCTGGACCCAATGAGAGCTTGGTAAAGTGCTAAAAATGAGTTCAGTGAGTTTGGAAATCTCTCTTGCAGACTTTGAAATAATCATTAACACTGAGCTTTTCTTTTTTCCTTCACAGAAACATGAGTCTGGGTGCAAAAGCAGAAATAGCAACAGATAAACTTTCTTTTCCTCTTAAAAATATTACACGAGAGAATATAGCTAAAATGATTGCTGGGAATGACGCAGAAAGTTCAAAAACGCCAGTGTAAGTTTCTTTTTCCTGAGAATATAGCTTTATTCAGCTTATGTAGCTGATATGAAGTCTCCATGTACAAATATGGAGTAGTAGTAATGCAGCTTTCTTCATTCTTTGAGAAGACCAATGAATTTCTATCTGGAGACCCCAACTAGCTAGGTTAAAGACACTTCGTGTCAGCCCCTGGGCTCTGTCTTCACCCTCCTTGGGGTTGTGTATGTGCTCTGAACTAGTGCCATGCCCAGGGAGAGCCTCCTTTCGTGGTGAAGTGCTTTCCTGCTGGGCTCTGTTGAGATGCACATTGCTCTGCTGGTCTCATGGTCAGTGCTTCTGAGTGGGCCCCATTCTGTGGCTATAGGAAATCATTGTGTTGACTCCAGTGCATGTGGGAGCATGGGAACTCCTCAGGCTCTCCTGGATTCATCTGCAAGGGCACCCAGTGGCACTGTATCCTCTTGTACCACAGGGACATGACATTCAAGTGTCCTCCTTAAGGGTAGGACAGGGCTGCACTAGGATGACCCAGGCTTTTTGTTACCAGTGTTTGTTGCAGATCTTTGGTGCCTACCTCAGATACCTGCCCTCAAAGGATGGAAAAGGTTCAGGATTCCTTCTTAGGGATCCATCAGTGTCAAGCCCTCTTTCCCCCTACACCACCTCTGTCCACCCAGCCCATGGAGGGTCATCTTGCCTCTGGGTAGCAAACCTTGCTCCTACCAGACAGTAATCACCAAAAGCTGAGGAAACACCCCTTTCTGATGACTCCTGCCCTGGTTCGCTGTCACTCGACACCAGACACACTGAATGGTGGGAGATGGGGCAGGAGAAGCAAAGGTAAAATAAAATTGATTGGAAATAACACATCTCAAAGTATTTTCCTGCCACATAAATACCCCCATTTCAAAGAGGCAGGCTAAATGAAAGCCAGCAAGAAAAAATGGCGTTGGTCTGATACTGATAGAATATTCCAGATGTCCACCAGCTGCTCTCCTAACTTTGTCCTCCATTCTATCCTGGCCTCAGTGCTTTGAATATAAAGACCACCAGGATTCAGTCACTGAGACTTAGATCCCTGACTAGGATGGTCTTCATGAATCACTACAGTCCATGGGCCAGTGAAGACCATCAAATTGTCCCCCATCATTTCCAGATGAGAACATGGCCTAGATGTGCTCCAGGTCACTCAACAGCTAAGAGTCAACCATGTCCTCAGCTTTTACTCTTCACCAGATCAGTTCATGCAGTCTGCTTGATATTTTTCAAAATCGGATAACTACGTAGTGTTATAGATAAATGTTAAAGGGTCCTACTGAGAAAAAGAGCCGTACCTTCAGAAACCAGTGACAGATGTGGAAAATGCCATATTGTGCTCACTTGTGTACTGGTAAAAATTACACGGACATTTCAGTAGAATACAGTGAACACGTTCACTTGCAGGGAATTCTGAGTAAAATAAAACTCATAAATTAAGATGTTTGTCTATTATTATGATGTATTAAGACTTTTGTCATTTGTTTGGTAAGAGGTCAAAAAATAGCAACAAAAATCTATTTTAGGTGGGTAAAACAACTAAAACTAAATTACATCCTTTTTTCTTAATGTGCAGGACAATAGAAAATATCTGCCCATATTATGTGAAAGCGCCCAGTGATTCTAACTCAAAACCTATAAAGCAACTTTTATCTGGTAAGAATGAGAAGTCATTTCAGAACTTTGTAAATCTTTCTTTTATTCAATTTCAATTGAGTGTTTATCAAGCTATCTTCCAGGTATCTTCCCCTGTGTGACAAGAAACATAAAAGGTCTGTGTATCTAGCTAGAAGGAATTGTTGACACACTTGGGAGCCTTACTCTTCATTTTCTTTTCTCCAGCGATAAAACACCTGACTGATTTAACTTATCCTTAGTGACTTACAGAAATGATCAGCCAGCCTGCTGACTTGTTTCTGTTAGCATCCAGACCCTTTATGGATGGCTCCTCATACATGGCTCAGTATGATGGTCCCTCCCAGTCAGAACAGTAAAAAGACAACACGAAACATACTTGATTCAGTCCAAGGCCTAGTATCAAGGTTGGGCTTTCGTGATTGGATTTTCACAGTATAACAGTGGTGGCAGTAAACTGATGTTTTTGGATTAGAGTTATGCACCACGTGACATTCTAGACAACCACAGACCACGTATACATGTGACAGCATATATCATGTAGCCCAGGTGTGTAGCAAGTAGGTTGTACCATTTAGATTTGTGTAAGTACACTCTATGGTGTTTGCACAATGACAAAATTGCTTAGTGACAAGTTTCCTAGGATGTATCCTGTCCTAATATAGTCATGCATGACTATATTTTACTTATAAAGAATTGCTTGGCTTTATCTCCTAAATTCAATGATCCATTTGGTAAGTGTACGCAGCACATATTCACTCATTCACCAACATGGATGGGTCACCATGCACAGACACTGTGCCAGGCAGTTTGACTAGGCTCCATTCTGCTCACAGTTAACTGGGAGGATGGATATGGTAGTAAGAAGTTAGAATCACACATGGAGATGGTCAGGGTGAGACATGAGCAAAGGCCTGAGGACAAACACAGGCCACTTTCACTCCCTCATTCTGGTCTTTGTCAATGGTGAATGAGTACATCTTCAAGGTAATTGCGAGATGCACTGGGACATTTACATTTCCCTTTTAATCAGAAATAGTTCAGGAATTGTTTACTCTGCAAGTACAAATTGTTCAACGGTCAGTCACACACCACCTCCCACCGTGAAGCACTTTGGTCCATCCTCAAGCTCTTCCCAGAATGATCCTGTTGGTCTTGGCAGTTGACCTCACTACTGACTGACAGCAGATCCAAGCTAGCCAGGACTGCTCCTTAAACTTCCTCCCTCCCTTGGAACATGCCCTGTGTCACAAGGTCCTTCCTCCTTCCCTTCAGGGTCAAGATAGATGTGCCCTCTATCCTTTCTAAGATCAGCCTCTCCTGTGCCCCACCCCAAGCACTCCACCTCCCACTGACTTCTCTGCCTCTCAATGTCACCACAAGGTGACATAAGCATAAGTTGATGATTATCAGCAGGTTACATGTGAGGAAACTGAGGTTCAGGATATAGGTTACACAGCTAGTACATATAACCGGTAGTATATATGGTAGAACTAGATCCAAACCCGAAGCTTGTAACTGTCTCTGGTCTTCAGACCCAACATTATTTCTTTTCCTGAGTGTTCTGAGTAAGTCACGTTGTTCTTTAATAAGCACAGCTTTGCTGGTATCTTGCCCTTCCTCACCCTTCTTATCCATCCATCCGTCCATCCATCCATCCATCTTTCCACTCAACAGACATGTACTGCAAGTTCTTCCATAGATTCTTGCAACGTAACATCTATGATGAAATACTTAAGACCCAGTTCCTCCCCTCACAGGGTTCACAGCTCACTGCCATGTTCCTCTGTATACAGGTGCTATTGCCATTGGCCAGGGTAGAACCTTCTTAGAAAACTCTGTGCATTGTGACTCCAAGCTTTTGCTTGCCTTCTCCTTTCTTGTGCATTTGCATTTGTTTTCTGCTTCAACAGAAGCAACCAGTGATGACACAGTATGTTCTGAGGCCATGAGTCCTGAAATGAGCTCCTCTCCCTCCCCCACCTCACCTCCACCAATTGAAATGAGCCAGCAAAACTTGATTCAAAAATCATTTCTTAGGCAGGTGTGGTGGTCCATGCCTGTAATCCCAGCACTTATGACCAGCCTGGGTTACAAAGTGAGATCCTGTCTCAAAAGCAAAACAAAACAAAAAACAGGGAGAAAAAAGTCACTTCTTTGAAGCAGTAATGGATCACATCAACCAGAAGTGATCTCTCCAAGAGAACAGACCTTGACCTTGCTGGCTCTAAGGCATTTGCCACACCACCATGTGTTTGTATACACTGTCTTTTCTCATTAAGATAAGGAATGTTAGGTGCAATTTTGTAGTCCTTAGCACTGAATAGTGTCTTCTTACTAGGGTGGCAAGCGGTAAATGCTGATAATGTAAGCAAATCACCCAGTAGCATCAGGCGAGTGGTTTGGGCTTTCAACCTCCTCAATTGTTTGGAATTCACAGCACAGCCTATCCCTGAGGGTGAGGGACCCTCTGCGTCTCCCTAGGACTTGTCTGTCTTGTACTTGGGCAGCAGTGACTGACCTCTTCTGCTGAGAAAAGGAAACTACCTACTCTCTAGAGCCACTCCTTTCTCACATGCATTGTCACACTCATGTGTTCTCATCCTGGAACTGCTGCTGCAGATAGTGACCAGGCTTTATCATCTGCGAACCACCAACGTGCACCAAATCCTACCACTCTCATGCTGCCTTGATTTTGTTTTTCTCCTCTTACAGAAAATAATTTCATGAATATCACCATCATTTTGTTCAGAGACAATATGACTAAATCCAACAGTGAGTGGTGGGTTCTCAACCTGACTGGAAATAGGATATACAACGAGGAGTCACAGGCCTTGGAGCTGGTGGTCTTCAATGACAAAGTCAGCCCCCCCAGCCTGGGGTTCCTGGCTGGCTATGGGTAAGGACTCATTTAATGATTAGCAGTTACAAGATTCTACTTCTGCAGCATGTAACGTTGAGAATGGGAAGCTAGGATTCCAAAATTGTGTACAGATGCCATATTAAAAATCACAAGCCTTGCCCTTCCTGTGGAAACATGAGAGACCAGAGGCCCAAAGCCATCAGCATGCCTAGCAAGACTCACACAACCTGGAGTATGACTTCTTTACTCTGTTCCCTCCTGTTATACAATAGTTTGATACAATTCAGTGTCTAAACTTGGCAACTGGCATAGAGTTATCACTTTTCTGCTTTGACAGCCTTCTGGCCCTCAGCAGAAGGATTGATTAGACATCACAGTTTTGAACACACCCAAACCATTTCACCATCTTCTGGTGCTTAAATTCTAAGACACACAGCCCCACTATAAATACAAGTATAAAATGTTACATTTCAGAGAATTAGCCTCATAAGAAATCGCTTTCATTCAGAGAAAAAACAGGATTTTTAAAGGGAAAAGAGCTATTTTCAGAAAAGCATATACAGTGCAATTGTGTTTCTACCCAGTGTATTGTGTTCTACCAAATATATTACGGTTAGCGTGTTCTCCTAACCATATTTAACTGCTGGATGCAATTTCTTCTTCTGCCTTTTTCAGTATCATGGGACTATATGCTTCTGTTGTCCTTGTGATTGGGAAATTTGTCCGTGAATTCTTCAGCGGGATTTCTCACTCTATCATGTTTGAAGAGCTTCCAAACGTGGACCGAATTTTGAAGTTGTGCACAGATATTTTTTTAGTTCGAGAGACAGGGGAACTGGAACTAGAGGAAGATCTCTATGCCAAATTGATATTCCTGTACCGTTCACCAGAAACAATGATCAAGTGGACTAGAGAAAAAACGAATTGATGTCCTCAGACCCAGACCACAAAAGAAGCTGACAATGGAATTTTTTAAAAAGCACAATATTCTTGTAAGAGCTAAGCATTTCTAGTTTGATGGAAATGGTTTCTCTTCTAACAGGTGGCCAAAAGGAAGTGATTTCCTTTTACAGTCAAAGCTACCTTGCTCGTGACAGCGCTGTTGAAGAAGTTATTTGTACTTCCACAATTCTGAAATCAGGGCTACTTGCTTTACGTTTTAGTCAACGGTGTCTTGCATTCTGATTGACTATGTGCAAGACTCACGCAAGGGTCCCTTCCCACAGAAAAACAGAAGAGGGAACAGCACTGTAGCTTTCTTTTTGGGGGACTGCACACCTCTCAGGAGATGTGGTCAAGGGCATCACAGCTCTTATCACCACTGGGAAGCTGCTGTTTGGAGACCCAGGGAGCTCTCAGCACACTCAAAATATGCAACAGCAATAGGAGGTGGAAAACCCTACCCATGTTCAAGGGGAAGGAGAGAGGGAACCAGCGAGCCAGGAAGGTGCCTGTTGGAGGCTCAGCCTCACTCTCAGCAAAAAGATAACATAGTCATACTCTTACTGCCTTATCTTAACTGAAGATTCATACAAAATCTTTCCATTGAACACCAGTGACTTCTCAGGAAAAACACACAAATCAGCAAAGCAAATATGTGGGCACCTGCTTGGCAGAGGACTGGTAGTGACTGCCCACAGTGATGGTGACTTCTGCTTGGATGGTCCCCACTCCACCTGAAGCAGAGATGGAGGAAGGGCCAGCGTAGCCATGTGAGGCTTCCATACTTCAGTGACAGAAGTCACCATGGCTCTTCTGCCTCCCCACCCCACCAATGATGTGCTGTTCCCATTTCCATGGTTTAAGGCAGTGGTTCTTCCAGTATGTGACATTCTCCTTCCTGTTTTTCAGGTATATCAGCGTTTACATATTCCAATTCACATTTTTACATCTGAGACGGGTTTTTTAAGTTCATAATTATGAAAGAAATATGTATATTGAGCTTGGGGAAATTAAAAAATGGCCTTTTCTTAAATTATTATCATTGATAATTCAAACTCTTCATGAAATAACAATGTAGCATGAAAATTAAGATTGAAATGTAGTTTTCATTCCATATTAAAAATACAGTTTCTGAGAACCATTGAATGGGCTAGAATATGTCAAAAAAAAAAAAAAACCCCAATCCTGTGTACTTTGGGTTCAGGGCTGACTGAAAATAAAGCACATCTTGCAAAGCCATGTGAAGAGCACTTTGTATTCTTCCTTTTTCATATGAAATAGGAAAGGGAGTTGTTTTCAATACAGTGTGCAAAGAGTTTTTTAAAAAACAACTGGTTTGGTTTGTTTTTTATGTGGGTGCTGTATGTGACTCATGGAAGCAGGGAATGGCTGGTAACTCAGTAATTTCCAAGGAAAAACTGCAATAGTGGATGTGGAACTTCAAAGGAATAGCAGAGCTCAAGTGACATTCAGTGTGTTCTGGAAAATGAGATTAGCGCATGTCTGTTTTTACACTGTGAGGGCCAGCATGTCTCTGCCCTGCCAAAATTAACTGCTTCAGCTATCAGAACAGAAAAATCCAACCACTTAGTGGAATTCTGGATTGATAGTAGGAAGAATCACAGTGCATGGATCTGGTTGTGAATCGCTTTTAACGAAAGTCAACAACAAATTTCCAAAAAGCAAACTGTAATATGTTCAGGAAAGAGTAGACATAGGAAAGGGCCAAAGGATATCAGAATTAAAATATTTCTCAAGAAAACAATTCCCAGGGTTTAAGAAAGAAGCCTACACATTTATAAGAGGGGAATTTTTTTTTATAGTGTTGGTGATCAAACCCAGGGCTTTGGCATGCAAGGTAAATGCTCTCCCGTTGTGCTCTACTCTAGCCCAGAGGGACAAATTTTGAAGGAAATTTTCCTAAGGACAGAAAGCCCTCCTTCAAGGCAGGCCTAGGTTGGAGTGGAAATCACACAGAATGAGGAAGCCTGGTTACAATCCCTGGCTACTGTTGGGCTAGGAACCCCTATCAGTGGGTCCCTTACCCTCCCCAGGCCTCATTTATTTAACAGTTTGTGAAGTCCTGAGGCTTTAACCAACATTCCAGGGAATAAATAGTGCCTACTTAAGCCAAATGCCCTCTACTGAAGCAGCCTGGCCTTAGATTGGGCTCCCTGAATACAACTTGGAAACAGAGAACCACAGGTGGACGTTGGGAGTGATCCTGGGAGATACCAGAACCAGTGAGGAGGGCAGGGTGAGGCAGAGAGAGAAGCAGCTGCAACTGACCTTGGCCTGGTAGCAGGAGTTTAGGGGCTAGGGAGGCCTTCACTGTCCTGAGGAAAGCTGGGGGGAAGGCGTGTGGATCTACATCACCCTCTCAGGGCACAGTCCCTGCCCCTGGAACTTGTCCAGTTAGGCAAGTCCCTATGCTTCTGAGAGACACGGTAGAGACCAAAGAGCATGAGGGCAAGCAGAGCAGATCCAAGGAGACGGCAGCATGCACCATGATCTATCTACCTGAGGCCCTCTCATATCCACCAGCTTTTTACAGTAAACTTTGAGGCTGCCTCCCTTAGAAGAGAAGAGTAGAGTAACACAAGCTGTAGTCGCTGCTGTGGCCACTGGTTTCAAGGCCAGACGCAATACTCATCTTGCATCACCTGCACCCCCTTCTAGCTGCTGTGCTGACCAGGCAGCCAGACCCTCAGCCTGAGGGGCCGAGGTCCTGGTTTCACCTCTCCTCAGGCCACAGCATTACCTCATTGTCATTCAACTGGCACCCATGGAACCCTAGATCATCACTGAATGCCAGTACACTCCTTTCTGCCTGCCGGACAGCAGCAGCCTCCCTTCCCCAGGACTTAGTTCAGTAAGAGACCCCCCTCATGCTATCTGGGGACTAGTCACTGACTGACTCTCTGGACTGGTCACCCCTTCTGACATCATTTTTTTCCCAGTTTCTTCCCAAATTCAGGCACATCATTTCTTGAGTTTTCTAATTCTGGTACCTTGTTGTTCTTTGATGTCTTCTATTTTTTCATTAATTTATTTGATATCACTTTGAAATACTGGATTATAGTTTTCACACATTTTGAGAGTGTACCTTTTCAGCTAACTTCTGTTGTCTCTAGGAACTTGGCCTGTTTCTTTCTTACACTTTCTTATCTGGTTAGCATTTGCTGTTGGATGTAAGCATTGCCTTTCTCTATTGCCTCTTGTATGGGACATTCATTTCTCTGACTTCAACAGGCAGAAGCTCTTCTAGCGTGGTGTCTCTGGCACTTGTCCTGGGTTTTCACGTGTCCACAGTGCACCCTTCCCAAGGCTGCCTGCCCTGTCCTCTCTGCCACCTTCATAGTCCCCTTTTTTCCCAGTAACAATACTTCGGCTCCATGTGAACTCTGTGCCCAGCAGCTTTCCCTTGATGAGGACACTTACTCTGTACTAGTCAGTCACTTTGAGAGTTCACAGACATGGCCCAGCCTCATCAGACTGTCCCACCATTTCTTGCATCTCCTAACGGGAATGAGGCTCAGGAGTTGCCACTGATGTGGTGACCCAACCCCAGCTCTGTTGACCTGTCCGTGTGTCTCTTTCCTCTTCCAGCTGAGGAAGGTCCATATGTCTGGCCACACATCACAGTCCATGGTGTGTGCCTACCCTACTTCACCTTGGGGTTTTGGAGAGAGGGATGAGGAAGCATTGAATACTAGGCTTCTATGCCCTTTGCCTGTCCAGAAGTCCTCCAAACAGTCTTAATCTTGGTCATCAAAGAAAGAATATGTTTAATTTCAGCATCAGAAATAACAGTCTTAAATTACATTGGCTGGGTTAAATTAATTAATTATTTGATTAAAAAATGCCTTGACCCACAGAAGTGCAGCAGAGGAGGCTGAGGGGTTCCAGAAACCACAACAGTACCAATTTGAAGCACAGGAACTTGATCTCAGAAATCTTGAAAATAGGCCCACCTAGCTCAAGACACCTCCTGTGCAACCACCTACTCAGCTTATTGGCTTTCATCTGGAAGTTGAGAAAAGAATCCAGGAGCGAAAGTCAAGGATGAAATGAGAGGATGAACACTTTGAATTTCATTCCAGACCTTGCCCCACTAAGATCTTGAAAGATATTGTGGGTGTTCCTGAAAAGAAAGTACTTTCAACTAGTGTCCCCAGGTCACCAGCTTTTGCATTGAAGAACAGAATCTGAACGCCCACCAGTGAAGATGATGAAGAGGATGGACCAGTAGTGATAAAACCTCAATCCGTGCACATCATGGAGTGTTTTTCCAACACCCAGAGCCCCAACACCTAGACCCATGAACTATGAAAAATAAACCTTTTCTTCTTTGATTCTCAGGGCAAGGAATACTAGTTACAGAAGGAGAAGAAAATAAAAGAACCGCAGAAAGGAAAGGTGCCAAGTTCAAGGAACTTCCTTGCCTCATTTTGACAGAATTAACCTCCAGAGAGAATGGCTGGGGTGTAGCTTAGAGGTAGAGAGCTTTAGCAAGTGTGAAGACCTGGGCTCCATTACCAGCAATAGAAATTTTTAAAAAGTTAAGATAAATGAGCACTAGAAGGTGTTTAGAAGGTATGGTCTAATTTTCTCTTTTTCAGGTAAATGCATTACGTAATTAATGAAACAAATTAGCAATAAATAATGAAGTACACCTGAAGTAAAAAAACAGTGCTTTGGTAGAACCAGTGCACAGAAGTGACTGGTTCTCAGGGCCTTCATTGTTTTGAGTAAGAGGTATTGTTAATAAAATATTGTTCTTCATTTATTTTAAGGCAATGGTACCCATAGTCATGTTCTGATATTTTTACTGATCAACATTTCCTATTATCTATTTTATTGGTATGTTCGAAGAAGTAGTTGGCACCAAGCATTGGTGGCTCAAGCTTATAATCCTAACTACTTGGGAGGCAGAGATCGGGAGGATCACAGTTTGAGGCCAGCCCAGGTAAATAGTTCATGAGATCCTATCTCAAAAATGCCCAACACAAAACAGGGCTGAGAGGTTCAAGTGGTAGGGCACCTGCCTAGCAAGTGTGAGGCTCTGAGATCAAACCCCAGCGCTGCCAAAACGAAAAAAAAAATGTAGCTGACTGTTGTCTATGGTTTCTTTGCTTTTCAGTTTGTAAACTTCTGTTCCTGTATCTCTTTATTCACTTATGCTGTTCTGTATTATTCTCCTTACTTCTTGGGTTGGGTGCATAGCACATTATTTTTCTTTTCTAATATAAGTACTTGAGGATAAATACAGGATGTCCCAGATCAAAAATATGATTG